ACAATTCTTATGCGGTCAAATGTACTTGTTGCTATATGCCTGAAGAGAAAACATATTTTACACTCTGGAGGCATAAGCATCTCATTTTTTTTTTTCGTTCCTGTTTGCGGCATATATCAGAAAATGCATTTCATTACCGCAACGGCTGAAACTATTGTTTGATTACGCTTACCAGAGTATGAACAGCGGAACTTGCTCACTTTTTTTATAGGATTGAATGCACTTCTTCATCAAACAAGATGGTTTAGGAGAAATAATCTCAGTGCGCAAATGTGTTTATTCTATGTGTCTTAGCCTAGAGCTAGAGAAATGCCTAGTGCGAGGGATTTTTTATACAATCTTAAAGTGTTGTTGGATTTACTACAATAAGAGCAATGTCTTGTATGAATGAGACGAAATGGATATTTAGTTCTCGAGAACAAATCTGTAGCGAGGTTTGCCTTCACGGAAATCTTCAATGGCCTTGTTGACCTCGCTCATGGGATACTTTTGAATCCAGGGCTTGACGCCGGTCTTATCGGCAAACTCAAGCATCTCCTGAATATCGGAAGGAGAGCCAATGATGGAGCCGCACAAGGTGATTTGTCTAACAGCCAAGAGACCGGCAGGGATACCGGCAAGAGGAGCTTCAGGCAAACCAACCAAAATGAAAGTTCCGTTGGTCTTGAGAAGATTCAAGTTGGCAGGCCAGTCGAAGTGACTGCTGTATGCAGTGCAGATGATATGGGTCAAGGTGGAGTTGTGTTGCTTCATTTCATCTTTGTTGGAAGTAACGACATAATCGGAGCAACCAAGCTTAGCAGCATCTTCGCGCTTCTTGTCTGAGTGAGAGAGAGCAACGACTTCAGCGCCCATAGCCTTGGCCCATTGGACGGCGAAATGTCCCAAACCACCAATACCAATGACGCCAACCTTGGAACCCTTGGTAACACCATAGCGCTTGAGAGGGGCATAAGTAGTGACACCAGCGCAGAAGAAAGTGGCAGCGATTTCATTAGACATGTTTTCGGGGATCTTGAAAACGAAGCGGCTATGACCTCTCCACTTGTCTGCATAACCACCATACGCTTCTTCACCAGTGGGCCACTTGGAGTTGTAGGTGAAGGTAGCTTTGCCGGAAGAGCAAGTGTTTTCGTGACCGCTCTTGCAGTCATCACACTCTCCGCAAGAACCTGATTGAGCACCAACACCAATACGATCACCAACCTTGATGTGAGTAACGTTCTTTCCAACAGCTGTGCAAACACCAGTGATCTCGTGTCCGACAACACAAGGATAGTTGGTTGGACCCCAGCCAGAGTCTACATGAAATGATAAGGTAAGTATGTAATGCTTAAGAATCGATATGACCTGACCATGACATCTACTTACCGATAGTATGGATATCACTACCACAAATACCACAGTGAGTGATTCTCATATCAACATCGTCGTCTTGGAAAGTCTTAAGAGGAAGCTCCAAGTTTTCTAATTGTTTACCTAGGAATAGGGCGAGGCTTAGCACTTTTGATCTTTCATTGTTTTCGTATATGGTTACTACATATAATAGACATTAAATCTTACCCTTTCCGGTGGAAGCCCATCCGTTGAGGCTCTTTGGGATGTTTTCGCTTGAAGATGGCATGCTATACTACGAAAAAGAAAGTATTCTGATGTGATGTCTTTAAAAACCAAATCGACTCTTTTATATCCGCTTAAAAGTTTCCAGAACGGTGTTTCATTTTGCTGGACTTGAAAAAAAAATAAAACCGACTAATGATAAATGAATGAAGTTCCGTTCACGGCGACAAGGCTTGCGTGGCCTTAGAATTTGTCAGCGATATGGCTACTTTTGAACAATTTCGTTTACTCTTCTGGAACAGTACCCCGATTCACGTCAGTATCATCAGTCTTTAAAGCTATAATTATATAAAAAAAAAACATCAATATCAACTATGAAATTGCTATTTTATATCGCTAAGAAACACATTGCAGACAAAAATCTAACGAACACAATGCTAAACGCTGCACTCAAAGCGTCTTCAAATTACTGTGATTTGGAAGACAATTACGTCGCCGATCCGTCACGGCTGACCAGATTTACAGGATCGAAGCACTTACTTATCAGGTTACCAAAATGGAAAAAAAATCATTGTTTCCGCTGTGACGTTTAGCTGCAAATCGATTGTTTTTTTTTTTTTTTTTTAATCGCGCTTGTCAACTGAAAGGTTTATCCGAAAAGCCAGTTTCCAATATGCAAGGGCGTATCCCTAAACTGCCTTCTTCATATTTGTCATGTTGGTACACGCAAGCTCTTTTGACGAATACCTTTCTAAACATGTTATGAAACTGCCCCTCTCTAGTGGCCATACATTACTTTTCAATTGGTAATCGTATGGTTGCGCGTCCATTATCCACCTAACACCTCGAAGTCATCCTGTTTGATTTTCAGGTGATATCACACTTTCAAATGATATTTTTTATTACCAAAAGATAACGAACAACCCAAGAAAGCGCGGTACAAAGCATGACAGAGTGCGTTTATTTGAGCTATAAAAAAATACGGACATTAGTACTGGGGCCATCCATGCATCTCCCATTATATCCAATGTTTGACTTACCTTCTTCTTGATACGGAGCTGGTTGGTGTGACCGCACTTCTTCTTGCGGCAGTTAGTAGCACGAGGAGGAAGACGAGCATAGCACTTGCGGCAGATCATCTTTTCGCAGTTGTACTTGGAAGCAAGAGCCTTCAAGGAAGGTTCGATGATACCACCACGAAGACGGAGGACCAAGTGAAGGGTGGACTCCTTTTGGATGTTGTAGTCGGACAAAGTGCGGCCATCCTCGAGCTGCTTACCAGCAAAGATAAGACGTTGCTGGTCCGGAGGAATTCCTAATGCGATAGAGAAAAAGAGACAATTCAGTGTCAGAGCCAAAATTCAACATTGTGCGCATTGGGTTCCACTTTTTTTTTCGAGTTGTTGCCACCATGGTCGAGTGAAAGACATCGTTGAGCACAAAAACTATTGCGAAACTAACCCTCCTTATCCTGAATCTTCTGCTTGACATTGTCAATGGTGTCGGAAGACTCAACCTCAAGGGTGATGGTCTTGCCGGTAAGAGTCTTTACGAAAATCTGCATTGCGCTGGAAATGTCGAACCAAGATGAGAATGCAAAAAACCGTAGTAAACTTTTAGTACGCTGATGTATGTATGATATCCACGATGGATGATGGATGGATGACTTTGCGTACCTCTGTTCTCGACAAAGAAAAAGGGGGAACACTGGATGGCTAGCAATACTCTACTGATGTACTGAGGGGTTCGCCGCTTCGGTGGTCACGTGGTTAAAGATTCGGCCTCTCCACTGACTTTTTTTTTTTTTTTGTTGCCTCATTTTTAAACAAAAGTCAACTCCACACAACACGGCTCTATGGATGGATCCACTTAAACATAGAAAGCCATAGTAAATCCACTCTATTTGGGCTTATAAAATCATTTCTTTTTTATTTTTGGGCAGAATTGTACAATACGGTTTATCCCTGGTCTATTATATTACAGCTAATTAGCTTAGTTATGCTTGAGCGGCATGCTTCTCAAGCTTTTTGAAAGCAAGATTGCTTGGTACTTCTTCAATGTCTTCTTCAAAGAACCGCTGAACGGCACCTCGCTTGTCGTCCACTGAAACTGCTTTGCGAGAAAAGAATGCTAATGCGTCCAAGACAGTCGTGATGTTGTTGAGCTCAGCGCTAGGAACATCCTTTCCAGTCTCTACGATGGCGTCTTTGATAATGTTGAACTTGAGAGTGGTATCTGCCAAGCTTATCTCGCTCCAGCTAGATTCATTGATATCCTTAACATGCTTTTGGACAATCTCCTTCAATGTCTTTTCGACTTCTTCAGCATCGTTCATCAAAACCTTGCTCTTCCAGCTAATACCAACACGAAGAAGTTAGCATTTACGCCGAGCACGGGTCAAATGATATTTCAAACATTTACTTACGAGGGGATATCCTCCTTGTCTTGATACTCCACATTGAAGTTCAAATCGACTTTGTCAACTGCGTTTTGCAATTGTTGGTCTGGCTTCTGTTCCTCCTGTTGTTTCTTTGCAAAGGGATTCCAGTTGCTCACTACCGCAGACTTCTCCATTCGCCAAACGGCTGAGGTGTGAAGTGCTGCTGTGTATCTGGTTCGTAGGAGAGGGTATGCCCTGACAAATGGTACTGATGAGCGAATCATGTCAAAGAATGTTGGGGGCTGAATGGGTAACAAAAAATTGAGGTCGCTGTGTTTGGCCCTCAAAATTGCAGTCACGACCTGTTTTGCTTTGAGGGTTTTTCATTGGGTGCCGTCACGAAAACTACTGGCTGGTTTGTCGATTCTAGCCAGTGTACCCCGCTTGCATTGTACCTCTAATCAAATGTCCTCTGACAAGCGTAAGGAGGCACCAAGCCCTCCTGCCAATGGTGTTCTGATCAAGCGTCAAAAGCAGGAAACTAACGAAGAGCCATCGAGTGCATTGACACTTTCAAGCTCTTCCGCTACTGGCAAAAATGTCATTGTTGGAACGGTAAATACCAATCAATCATAACTCGCGCAAATAGTCGAATACTCCTTACGGTATCTGATCGACGCATCCCTTTCAATCTACAGATAAAAAGAACATCCGGACTGCAAGCACCTGTTATGCTACTTAGTGGACACCAGGTTAGAATTCGTAGATCAAAACATTGCCTTCAAAATGACACAACCCACTAAACAGCTTTTTCGAACCGTAGGGAGAAGTATTCACGTGCGAGTTTGATCCCTCAGGACAGCATATTGCATCTGGATCTCATGATAGACAAATATGTAAGTCGATATTCAGAGTAATTACGGCAAAGCGTGATGTAAATCACATTTATCTAACTGACATCGCAACCCACAGTACTTTGGAACACATATGGAGATTGTGTAAATTACGGAATGATGAAGGGTCATACAAACGCCATTCTAGAGTTACATTGGGCAAAAGATGGCAGGTATGTGTACAAATCATGTTTACCACGGCGTGTTGTGCTCGATATTTTTCTAACTTTCGTAATAGACAAATATATTCATGTTCTGCTGATCAGACGTTAGGAATATGGGATGTAGAATCTGGCGAGCGTGTACGAAAGTGGAAGGGCCATAGTCTCGTCGTCAACTCCTGCAGTGTTTCTAGGAATACTCCAGAACTAGTCGTATCCGGTTCTGATGATGGTTGTGTGAAGATTTGGGATGCTCGAGAAAAAAATGCTGTCGAAACCTTTCAAGACGACTTCCAAGTTACATCTGCATGCTTTAGCGATTCAGGCGACATGGTGTTTACCGGTGGTATTGATAATGAAATCAAGGTGAGCCTATGGCAACCATCACTCGCTATGTCTCGACACCATTCTAACCTTTGACTTCTAACAGGCTTGGGATCTTCGCAAGAAAGCTGTTGCATATTCACTTACTGGACATGCTGACACCATTACTGGTATAAAACTGAGCCCCGATGGATCATATTTATTGTCAAATTCTATGGACAACACCAGTAAGTCCTTCGACTCTTTCTTGATTCAAACTTAGTATATGTAGCGCTGGGGTACTAATCATAGTAATTGTTGCAGCTCGAATGTGGGATGTCAAACCATTCGCTCCTGCTGATCGATGCGTAAAGGTTTTTGAAGGAGCACCCCATGGATACGAAAAGAATCTCATAAGACCTTGTTGGTCGCCAGACGGCAACCAGATTGCCAGTGGCTCCAGTGATCGCTCCGTCGTCATTTGGGAAGTGTCATCACGGAAGATTCTTTACAAATTACCTGGCCACAAGGGATGTGTTAATGACGTAGACTGGCACCCCAAGGAACCCATCCTCGTCAGCGCTAGTACCGATAGATCTCTATATCTTGGAGAAGTGAAGCCAACCCAATAGTTCATCAATGGATCCTTGTGTGGTAGACACTCTAAGGCACTGTGTCATTGCATGGCAAATGAGAATCCATCCTTGTTTAAAAAATTTCATTGTTATTTCGGAGAGGTTCACTTGATGAAGGCCACTATTTGTCAACCTATGTACAATAAATCAAAATAGCGTGATCCGCTTCAATTCACTTCAATACTGAAAGAAAGGATTGAAATATGCCAGATACGGATGGCATTGCGCTTCCCCGGGTCTGTACTTTTATGCATGCATTGGCTAGTGCTGTGGATTATGGATCAAAGGTACATGGCGGATCAATATGTAGGGCTCGGAATGCATAATGGTGCCAGAGACTGTGGTTTGCATCATGCTCAACCCTGACCAAAAGTGGATTGTAATGAACGTGTACTGCTTGCCTCCTGGACGATAAGCCTTCTAAGCCAATGCTCCTAAATGAGCTGAATCGAGACCCGGGTGACTTTGACTCCTGTTTTTGCACAGTGGACCTCCAGAATTATTTTATAGTGAGGCGCTCAGTAAGAATCGCTCTATGATCTGGGGTTCCATATAATGATAGTTGCTGTGCATGCATTGAAAGTATGCTTAGGTGCTTAACACGCTCTATAGAGAATATAGGTGCTAACAGCAACGCCATGCCACTGCGGGATGATCAAAGTGAGCCTAACCGAAAGCTTTACTATGAGCTCTACTCACTATTTGTTAGGTTATCATAATGGAAAGCTTAGTTATGTCCTGCTGTCAATAAACTTTCTGTCGATGCACTCACGGCTTTCCGATAAATTTGCTTCTTTTCTATCTGAAATCTTTGTGGACAATGGCATAAAGCCCCTCATTGTATTTAGACTGTTGTCTTTTCATACCTTGTACATAATGTGACGTATGGCCAAGGGTGCGTCTTGCCAGCTAGCACTCACATTGAGCAACTAATCCCTTAGCATTACTTTTCTGCTATTGTGTATTCAGTAGAGCTTTCTCACATATATTATATTAGGGAAAAGGTACTTCATGAACTTCCGCATATATTAACAACTATATCTAAAAGAGTCGTTTCATGCAATATTTACTGTTGTTACTAACGTTCAATTCCTACTATGATAGCCTTATTGATCGCTCACAGCGGATGGACAGGGAATATTCCTCAATATGGTTAATGTCCTTCCTCTCTTTCCTGATATACCCTGTATGAAACAGCAACTAAAAAACCAATAGGCAGTTGTTCCGTAGTCTTTGTTTGCTGACTACCTGGACTGAATAAAAGGGGTTTGCAGGATGAAGCAATGTGGATTGTCAATCTCAATAACCAACCCTTGCAGGAAGATGCCAGCCGGTCCTTGTCAGCTTTATGATGGACCACGCCAATGGACACTGGTGAAACTCAGGGATGTTTGTTTAGAGGAGTATCTCTGGATAAATTTATTCATCCCATTACTCACTAGGGGATATTCCATTTATCAAGCTAGAGAGCTAGGTTTAGCACCATAGACATACTGAGTAAATATTCTACACATCGTAGCCACGTTGAGCCCGATCGCACCTGAGAGAGTGAGCATCAATGAGCGCTAACAAGAGCAATGGATTTACATTGTTGGTTCGTGTGATTTTACTCGGTGGGTGGTTGCCAATGAGTATCCGGAAATAAAGCGGGTTCCTGAACGTGACGCCAAGTGCTTCTAGCCACGCCGTGTACTTTTCTATTTTCTTTTACCCCTTGGCTAATATTGTAACATTTTGGTCTCCTTACAAGACCGAATCCAGCTGGGGTCTTTCTGACCTTAGGCGAAAATATATAAGCATGATCCAGACAAAGCAAAAGAGAATAAAAAAGCCATGCCTGTTGCCACACTTTCCAATCACCATTCTGCACTCGATTTCAATGTCTATGCCAATATCTTCACCCACCTTCCTGATTCGCAATCGGTCAATGCCTTCCGCATAGTCAACAAGAGTTTGTTCGTCGTATCACAAAGTCCAAGTTGTATTGCGGCACATTTGATACAACGATATGGCCCATTGTTTGCATTGCATGCATTGATAACCGTCCATACACCATTGCTTCAGCGGTTTCCCAAAATTCCAGCCAGACTGTTAGAGCTCGGAGCAAGGTATCCGCGAATCTTGGCGCAACGGATTTTTCAAGGTTATGGTGGACATAAGGGGCTGCCGAAAGCCACCATCACACTTTTACTCCAGAATGCCGAGCAATGTCAAGATATCATTCATACCAATGATGACGATCAGTTACTGCTGGACGGTATGCTCACCCATTTGTCTGTAACGGAACAAGAGTTTGGTGATAGCCATCCTGGGTTTATCGGTATGCAGCAAGCTTTATTACGTCAACTTCCAGGCTACTATCCTCTCCCTGGACCTGAATATTATGGCGATGAGCGTGTACACGATCGCATTCAATTTCTTTTCTCGCATTCTGGAAATGCAGATATGGAAAAGTCTATTTTCCGCTTGGTCATTTACTGCCCTCGCGCACTAGCTGTCCTAGCACGCAACGGTTTCAGCGTGTCTAGTCCTTTGGATATTTCACTTTTCATGGTTCGATTCATACGGTACGGTTTGGAAATGGAGAAGAAACATTTTACTAGTGTTTCGCTACGCATTGCTGTACGACAGCTTGTTCGAAAGCTAGTGATCGCTATCACGGCAGAATGCCTTGAAGAAATCATTGAAACCATGGCTAGAGTTTACGACCAACAGCAGGAAGATCTGAACCGTATTGTAGTTGTTATCGACGATGAAATCGTTTGCGGTAACAGTCAACTACAACCTGTTGTAGATCAATTTTATCAACACATCAAGCGAAAGAGTTGGTGGAGATGGTAGCTTTGTCGCTGGGAGCCCATTTCCTGTATTATTACACGTTCCATTGCTTTGTACATATTCATTGTTGCAAGATCATTTTTATTTCGTCCAACTGCATTTCTTTTTCTTTTCACATGCACAACTTCAAACTACATCACATCATTACAATTTTTTTTTCTTTTCTTTTTATAAAAAAAAAGATGTAACAGAACAGAAATGGAAACGGAAAAGACTGGGGTATCATGTTGAGGAGGTTCCGGCGAACAAGGCAGGAGTCAAAAGTGGCTTTCATGAGATAGTCGCTGAACTTGGCTCCTGTTGTATGATATCATTTGAGTCGTTATCATCGTCATCGCGTTCCCATTCACGTTCGAGGCGTCTTAGTTCGCGAGTGAGCTCAGGACTTGGCATGGAGTTAGCATGCCAATCAGAACCAGCAAAATTGCTCACTTGGCCATGAACGCCTCCTTCAATTTTCATCAATTCTGCCACAAAACCAATGTTGGGCGACATGTTGGGTCTGGCTTTGATAACATGCCTGTAGGCACGACGAAGGGTCCAGCGTTCCGATTGAATAAGATAGGCTAAGACAGCTGTGACAGATCGAGACTTGCCAGCTTTACAGTGAACGTAGATAGGCTGGTGGTGATGCTTTGCATTTTCTGTAATACCGCCAATAGAGTGACGTTGAATGTATGCGTTGAGATCATTTGAACAAGTCAATGGTAAGAATCAAAAACGGTGAAAGTTTACCTATACACTCAACTGCTTCTCTCAAACAACGTTCCACATTTCGCATTTCCACCGTATCCCTAGCGGCAATTTTTCTGTACAAGAATTCTTCTTTCAGACCAGGAACATCATCGTCGCATTCTTCTGCCATATTCAGTATTCGTCTTATTTTGCGATCTCGTAGTTGCTGCATTTGCTCCAAGGTAGCGATTTCTGGCCCCACAAAGAGAAAGCCAGCGATGATTTCGGAGATGATGAATGAAAACTCGCCATCGGTGGCTGGCGGGGATCCAGCGGCCGTGCCTCGCCTTGGGCTATCGTCTTCATCGTATAAGAGATGTAGTAGGCGTTGTTGTCGATGGAGTTCGGTTGGCATGGCTGTTGGTGGGTCAGACATATGTGATTGATCGCCATCGGGTCGTCGTGTAGCAGTTTCTTCTTGAACAGGAGGACGATTAAGGTTGAGGGTAAAATCACGTCTAGAACGAGTTGCTTGGGTATCCAAGGTAAATAAGCTCATCCTCCTCTGATTGAACCCACTCGTGTTGATGCTGCTGATGGCTCCAAGAGTGCTACTGACCGATCGTCTGGGCATGGGCCCATTGGGGGTCAAAGAGAGTCTGGACATATCGATGTCAGTTGATCCATCATTACCATCTGCTCCGAAGCCAGCCTTTTCAAACTCTTCATCCTCCTGTTGACCGCTAACAAGATGCTGCTTGGATTGATCGTGCTTTTCAAACGCTTCATAACCTCCTTTGAGCCACAGGACGCGTGCACGTTCACCAGAACCGCTGACACTGTTCTCTAAAATGGCTTTCTCCAAGACACCAACAAGAGTCCACGCATGCGAGGTCTTGTCTTCTTCATCCATGCAGTCATCGTAAACGACAATGTAGTCATCTTCCTCCCGTATGGACTCCAGGTCCTTGCTAAATGCAGCAAGTCGCTTTAGGTAGCGTTGTCGTCCGTTGGGAGTGGTAATGAAACTTTCGAGGTTAAAATTGGATATGGTTCCTCTTCTATAACGTTTGATCAACAAAGTAGGTAAATTCACATTCAAGGAACCACGTATACGTAATTTTTGATAATCTGGGAGGGTTCGAACATCAATCAATAATGGTTTCTGGCCCTGAGAAAGCTTCTTGGCTAGAAGCTCGGGTTGAATGGCAAGCGATCGTTTGATGGCCAAGGAAACAAAGCCACTTGAAGAGTGTGGGTTGGTGTTGACGGTAGTGAGCTTCAGAACTGGGCGCTTGGATACTTTTCCTGTCGAGACATTTGCTGACGGTGGAAACAAGGATGCGCGTCGTGGTGAGGAAATGTCAGTGTACGATGGAATGGGGTCGTCAGGCATAGCATTCATAGAGGCAGGTCGTGAAGAAATCGGTTCTGGAACGGAAGTAGGCAATGCGGGCGTGCTTGAATTGGAATGGTTTGGATATGGGTGTCTTGGTGGTATGATATGGGGGTAACTATTCTGACGAGTTTGCTTTTGCTCTGTGGCTGCCGTCACGATCACAGGCAAGTTGATGCCGCCAGACGAACGTTTCGAATAAGCAAGTGGAAGGGTGATGCTGGAGCTGCTCTTTGAACGTTTATGCAAATAAGAGGAGTCGTTTTGATATGAAATGCGACGGGTCGGTGTACGCGGGATACGTGGGGATCCTGGTAGCTTGGGCGATGAAAATGGGTCACGAGGGGTCGATGGGATGGACCGGTTAGCAGCCTTGGTGTCCAAACTGACTGGCCTAGCTGGACTTTTCAAAGGCTTCAAACTCAACTTTTCTTGTGGGTTGAAGCTTGGGCTCGCAGGTGTAGAGGTAGATACCCGTGGCATAGGCAGCGGGTCGTCTTCCTGGAGATGGGGTGGGTGGATGGATTCTCGAGCTTTCAAAGTCAAATCTGGCGTCGATAACGATGGACGAGGTTTAAGTGCTAACAGATTTAGAAATGATGAAGACTTGTTCCCAGCAGTCGATCGGTTTTCGGCCAAATGCTTGGCTGATCTGTGGCTGCTCGAGTCGAAAACATCAGGTGATCCAAATCGTTTTAACATGTCAGCCAACTGCAGGATTGGCTTCCTCGATGGTGGAGACGCCGTATTTGAAGATTCTGCATGGCGTTTCTTTTTGCCACGTCCAAAGAACATTGGCAATGCAAGTCTTTCACCTTCTTGTCTGCAGCAAAGGGGCAAGTGTCTGCTTGAAACTTTTTCGTTTGACAGTCGGCCCAACTAAGGTACCTATCCTGAACTCCCCTAACCCCAGCGCTTTCCTTTGAGCGGCAATTGAGTTAATGAAATTCAGACATGGCTGTTTAACCTTGCTTTAGCAAAGCTGTCAAATAAAAAAGAGAACGGTATTCAATTGTAACGTCCACCTTTGCACTGTTTGATACAGTCGACATAACGTCCTTGCAAGGTGCTGCAGGCAAAATCCAGTATCGAGCGGATGAAAGGATGTCTCATCCACCATGGTCATGGTAGCGCTTCAAATCTCATGCAGTACGCTTTTTTTTGTAGAAATCAGCATCAATTGAATAAAATGTCATTGCTTGTGCTAGGATTAAAAAACTCATCAGTTTTTGCCAAACAAGCCGGATTGTCGGCTGGAATCAGCCTGTTCAGGCGGTCGGATAAGCTTTCCGAGTTGATATGTGACTTCTCTCAAAAACACACAGTGTCAAAAGATCTCCCTTCGCTTTTTTCCCTTGATGGCAACGTCAAGTCCTTGGAAATGGGAGAAGCAAGACGTTAAGGAATGGGTCGACCGTCTATTTGGCGAACAACTAGCAATTGCTTTCGAAGGTCCGTTTACTTGCTGACGAATTGTTGGATAAAATGAGTGGAAAAACTGAATCTGCTTTTGCAGACAACGATGTCACAGGTCATTTGCTCCTTACAGAAGTTAATGAAGAAGTCCTTCGAGAAAACATTATAGTAGAATCGTGGGGTTTAAGAAAACGCATTTTAAACGCTATCAATGACCTTCTACAGAGATACCGTATTGTACCTTCCATTGAGCGTTTCACAAGCATGCACCTTTTCATGACATCCATTTAAACTTTTACATGATTTCAATAGCAGCAGATAATACTTCAATATCACCACCCAAGCCTCTTCCAAGATCAAGTGTAGCCATTGCTCGAAACAAACCATTAACCATCGATGAAATATGGAGAACCCTTGATCAACATATTAACAACGTCGTGATCCCAAAATGGGAAAATGAGAAGTAACGATCGCCGCGCTTTTTGAAACATCCCTTTGGGTTTTTTAGTAACGGTTTAACATATAAACTTAGGAAGCCATTACTTGAACGGTCAGCATACGCATTCTGGTTCAAACGAAGGAGTTGCCATGGATTTATTCAGGATTGCGAATTTGCTCTAGACCATATACTCAACCATGTATGTACTTTTTGTAACCGCCTATACGTTGGCAGTGTACCACGTTTGCTCAAAATGTCTATTACAGAGAATCCCTCGTATATGTGAGGCGTTAGCGCAATCAGGAGCTACGCAAATTGGCGATTTACTACGAGTCTCTGCCAGCTTGGAAGTTGCATGCTGCGACGCGCGAAAGTTGATGTGGCAGATCAAAGTTTTACAGGGACCAAAACCACCAGCACCAGCAGATTCATCGTTAATACCTCTAAACAAAAAAGAAAAATTGGCCCATAAAGCTGATAAGAGTAGTAGTGACGACGAGAGTCTCAGTAGCGATCACACCTGGAGTTCCATGATTTCTGATGACGAGACGTATTTGGACCAGTCCGATAGTGACTGGAACGACTTCATTGTGGAAGATGATGCGATAAGCGACGAAGGCGTGGCCGTTGAATATCACAGTGGCGAAGATAACCATTTCTATCCATCATCTCAAGGAACAGAGGAAGAGAGCGACGGAAGCCAATCGTCGTCATCGTTAGTCAGGCAGCAGAAACGACCAAGGGACAGTTCAGATTCTGATGAATCCGACTCCTTTACCAAACGGGGAATATCCAAACGTATATCCAAACCGTCTCCCGTGTCTGAAAAGCACACTTTGTATGCACGTTCGAACCGTCATCGTTCAAGAAAAATCAAGCGCGTTCATGATGAGGAAGTGTCGGCTGTTTCAACGCAGGATTCTGAAACGGATACGGCGGCAATGTCCCAAAAACGTCGTCAACTGAAAAGCGCAGAGCAATCTGATCATGGCAGTTCCGGAAAGGATCAAGAAGTTGTTTCCACTGAACATGAATCAGATACTTCATTAAGCACGCTGAGCGACAGCTCAATATCAGTATATGAAAACGAGAAGACAGGTTCTAATGGGTTAAGAAAACACCAAAAACAAAGAGCAGTTTCAGACACCAGCGAGGTCGACGACGATCCATCCATTAGATATCTCCTGAGTACCTATATATCAGAACAAAACCTTCCGCATGTTACAAATACCTTTTCAATAATGTCAAACGCGTCTATCCTCGATTTATTCCTGAGCTTCAGCGCTACGAACTTTGACGATCTGAGTAACGATGAGCAAGAGCTACTGGAAGAGTTGAAGCCAATTTTTTCCCAGCTATCCGGCGACAAAGATCTAACTGAAATGGTCAAAGATGACGAACAGCGATTAAGCCTTATCAACGGCCTTCAAGTGGTCCGAGATATGCTAAGTGAGAAAGTAAAGAAAAAGAAATCAACCCGCGTACGCAAAAGAGCAAGTAGGCTGCGCAAGAACAGACGGATTTTGCTAAGCAACAACGAAAGTGATACCAGTGATGGAGAAGTATCTTCACTTGAAGTAAAGTCATCGACAACTGATACACTACTCGCTAGCAAAAAGGGTTTTCGAAAAATCCGAGACGAGTCAACAACCGTTTCGAGTATGCGAAAGCATCATCAGCAAATGTGGAAGGAGATTGAAGCACGTGCTGAGAGGTAAGTAACTGAATACATGGTAGTTACGCTATGAGCTGTCTACTAACAAAGGGGAGAATGATGTGAAACGTAGTGAATTGACCAAAAAGCAAGAATCAGACACTGATATCACTATGAACGTGGGCGACGTCGAAACAGCTAAACGAGTGACCATATCTCCACATTTAGCACGTCACTTGAAAAAGCATCAGGTAGTGTTACGCGCATGTTACGCTATGATATTTTCAGGAACGTACATTTTAATTTGATTTGGTTTTAGATAGAGGGAATCCGCTTCTTATGGCGTCAAACAATGATGTTGCAAACAGGGGGTGTCTTAGGGCATGCTATGGGATTAGGTATAGGATCAGTCTCAACCGTATATTTCCATATGTTAGCCAAACTGAACAATTTGTCACTGAAGGAAAAACTCTTCAGGTCATCACATACCTGCATACGATATTTCGTGAAATTGCTAACGGCAATCCAGATCTGCCTGAAAAAGTCAAAGTATGCTTTTAAGAAACATGGGTCTTTTCTCTGTCATGACACTAACGACGTTCCATCCTTTAAACAGCCAGGACGTATTCTTATATTAGCACCAGTCACCACTTTGAAGAATTGGGAAAATGAATTCAAGACATGGATTCCTAGGTCTGAACAATCCTTAATACGACAGGTCATCAATTATTGTGAGTGAGATTGGCTTTGTGGTATCATGTCAGTGGTGTAGTGAATGTTTATATTAACCTGAATGTCTTCCTAAAATGAAGCATCGTACAAGGCTACAGGTGGATATTCTCGCGAAACAGTCTTGAGAACTTGGTTCAAACGAGGAGGAGTGTTACTGATGGGATACGAGGTGTTCCGACAAACAGTTAAAAACATGGATAGCTCACCCCATCCCATTCGGAAATGGCTGGTAGATCCTGGTCCCTCCGTCGTGATCATCGACGAAGGTCATAGAATCAAGAGCAACAAGTCGCAACTGTCTAGCGTAGTAAAGATGTTCGATACTAAATTCAGAATTTGCATGACTGGCTATCCGCTTCAAAATAACTTGGAGGAATACTATTGCATGATCGACTTCGTTTATCCTGGATATCTGGGAACCTTATCTGAATTCCGCAATGCCTACAAGAATCCCATTGAATACTTCTATGAAGACATCTCGCCTGCTGAAAGATTCATATCCAGACGCCAATTATACAAATTACAGCGTACTCTTGCAGATCTCATTCATCGGTTTGTTTCACTTTCTACACTGAATAATAGGAAGGATGGTTGTCGATTACGTTATTCACTGCTATTGTTCTCACATACAGACGAGATACCGCTATATTGCAATCTGAATTGAAGCCAAAGAAAGAATTCGATGTCTTTTGTAAACTGTCAACGGAGCAGTATGATGCTTACAAGGTGAGCATCATACTTAAGGCCATATACAGCGATTGTCATTACTAACTTTTTCTTGAAGCGATGCCTTGATGATGCTGGAGTCGGCAGAAGTTTAGCCCCAATTCAGGCGCTACAAGTATTGCGTAACATATGCAATCATCCAGCTGCTTTCCTTGAGGTAAATTGATTGAGCTTACGACAATAGATTTTGAAGAACGGAATTAACGTTAACATTTAAACAGCAACTTCAGAATGGGCAGAGCCGAGCCTCTGATGACTTTAGCCAAGGCAGGAAGAAATTAGACTCTAATACAATGGCCGAGACTTCAAACGTTTTGTCGCCTACACCCTCCTCTCCAGACACTCCAAATGTTAGCCCGATCTCATCTGGTATGAACGTTGTACCTGGCTTTGATAAAATGATTGACGATGAGGAGGTTACCATTTCAAAAGAAGTAGCAAGCGCTTTCCAGACAACAAGAGAATACCTGCAAAATATTTCTGGTAAGTTTGCTTGTTAGGAACATTGGCCATGTCTTCAAAGGTCAGGTTCTGATATTGTTATAGATTTGGAGAGCATTGAACTCTCGTGCAAATGCACTGTCATGATGAAACTTGTCAAAGAGAGCATAAAGGTTGAAGACAAGTTAATCATATTTTCTCACAGTATCCCGACTCTCAGTACGTATAGCAGTCATCTGATGAAGACATGGGTATTTTGTAACTAACATTACGATCCTCTAGATTATATTAGCAGGCTTATGAAAAGAGAAAATATCGATAATCTCAGAATCGATGGTTCAACGCCAGTTATTGTAAGTTGATTGTTAAAAATGGTCGATCGGAAGTACCGCATGCAGCTCATTACAGATACAATACATAATAGCTACGACAAGAGATTATTGACAAATTCAACAAAGGCAAACGATGGCACGTTATTTTGGTATCATCTAAAGTAGGTGTATGCGCATGCCATGCCAATCTAGTGGCAATAGCAAAGTACTTTTTTAACGATTTCTTGGTAACAGGCGGCTTCAATTGGTATCAATCTCGTATCGGCTAATCGTGTTATTTTATATGATCTGGACTGGAATCCATGGTATGAAATTATGAGCATCACGTTATACTCTGCTGTTCACCTAACCTGACTCCTTTGACTATAACAGTCATAACGAACAAGCTGTTGCGAGAGCGTATCGCTTCGGACAGAAAAAAGATGTGTTTGTATATCGACTGCAAACTTATGACACTATCGAACAATCCATCTTCCGCATTAATGAACACAAAACTGGTATATCAAGGCAAGTGATATTATTATAGTCATTGTCAAGAGGCATTTAAGCTAAATCTTCCTTTTTATTGCGTAGTCGAGTGGTAGACGATAAGACGCTCAAGCCCCAAAAACTGGTTGTGATGAAGGCATTTTACAAACTACCAGCTCCGTCACCAATCGAACCTTTGATGGCATCTGCTTATACCGTTATTGAGGATCCAGTGTTAAAGGTGGTTGCTGAAGCGTAAGTGATATGATTATCATATAGTTAGTGTTGTTAGCTCCCAGCTGATCTTCTTGTAGATGTAAGCATAAGTTGGCTGACATACAGCTTCACACATCCTATACGACGGAATATGCGCATGAAGAGTTAAACGAGAAGCAGAAGGAAGAAATCGAACAACAGTTAACTCTAGAGAATAGGATACGCAACGGTGAAGTAATGGAAGTAGCGACCGCGACCCAGGAAATAATCACGATAGCAGACTCACCCCCTGAAACTGATGCTACTCAAACACCACTTCTACCGCATCCCCAGCTTCCGACTACCTATCGTCCGCGTGCCTCACATCATCCCAGCGCAACTCCTGGCGTTCCCTTTTCAGCAATGGGATCGATTCCACAGCCTTCCACCAAGTTTTCTGGCAGTGCATTTGCATCACCGGCCCTTCTTTTCCGTGCTAATTTACAATATCAGCAACCAATTTTGACACCAAGCGGTACAGCATCTACCGAATGGAAGCGACCACAAACTGTTAGTCGATCAATGAACTCGACTGAGCAGCCATATCGGGAGAGCAATCACGATTACTCACAAAGCACAAGTGATTTGCCTCATAATAGGCAACACACTGCCAATCTACCTTCCAATATACCCAATACATTCCGAGGGCCCAACAACATTGCATACCCAAATAGTACAGCGTACTATCGTGAGGACACTCTGATAGATACCGCTGAACTTTTCAGACAACAGGTAGAGAAGTTTAAACTACAATTGAAAGATTATGGAAACAAGTTTCCAGGCGGAACAAGTTCGGGCAATCTTCCAAACAATTCATCATTGCAATAAGTGTTTACACATTATCAGGGAAACAGTGCCTCTCTGTTGTCTCTGTAATAAACGTATGAGTACCTGTTTAGAAAAGCCGAGCATGCTAAATAAAATTTCCTGCAGCTTTTTTTATTTTTTTTAATTTTTATTCCCTTTTACACAAGACCGTCAAAAAGTTATCCCTAACGTTCGTGTTGCATGACACTGTACCTCATTCTGGGCAGACATGGAGCAAGGATCCATCCTGTATCCAACAGGGATAGGGATAACATTCGCTACCTGCCGCTCCTTGTCCTAAAGGATATGATAAAGAGCAACTTGAATGATAGAATTCGTTACATTAAAGATCACAAGAAGACGGTGGTGTTCTTCGAGGTAAGTGACCATGCATTCCCCCAAACGACCCATTTGACACTGTCAATCCTTCCTCATGCTGAGACTTTTCTCTACCCATTCACAGCATACAGAACTACATTATATTGCCATTTCCAAAACCAATTCACACCACATGCTGCTACACCACCTTATCATTATCCAAAGCTATTTATCGTTTATGTACGGACCGGCGTTTGCTACCCGACTATCCACCTCTCAACCCTCACCCTTTCAACCGAATCGAGCTTCAATATCGCCGATTTCGTCTTCAGAGCTGTCATCGGCTGCAGCTCGTATGATAAGTTTGTGTCGCTTAAACCCTTACTTGGCAGTACAGCCTATTCAAGTCAGCGAAGATCTCCGAAAGCGGTTCAGAACGAGTCTTCGGGAAGGTTGCGATCATGCCTTTGCAGCTTCTGAGAAAAGGAAATCAAGCTTTGGTTCAGCTTTTCAGGCGTTATCGATGCAATCCATGCGAGAGGAGCCAACTCCCTTGCCAAACGGAAGTTGGTCTCACGCTATGCTTTGGGTACAAGATAAGCTTTTGGTTCGGTGTAATAATGGATCAGCTGATCACAGTCCGTATGATATAGACAGCCATGAGCTGTTGGCTGTTCTTATACTCGTTCAAGGCTTTCTGAAAGCTCATGGAACGAATGATAGTTTATACCCAGGTAAGCCAAAACAAAAAGAAATCAGATAGTAATATGACCAAGCGAACATCCTAGCTTAATTTGTCCACCCACGCAATTTAGGAGATCAACCAGCATCAACTGCTCACCAAAACACTAAACCGCAAATGATCCGAAATTCAAGGTAGGCTAGGTCAACTCGACCTTAGTATTTGCTTGCCTTCATACCCTCATCCCCAACTGCATCATTCCCTGAAATAGATCCAGCAATCATTCTCTAGATACCCATCATTCCCGGACACCGGACTCCACCAATTCATCCACCATTGCTACACCACCGTCTAGTGGTGGTTATGTTCCATCTTCCTTCGCACTTAGCAACAAATCCTCGGCCTCCAACATCACATCCATCACCAATGTGACTCCTGTGGTGTCGTTTAGTACACCTCCTCAGCTCTCCTTAATGCTGTTCTCGAATCAAAATCCATCGATACACACCGCTGACTCCGTCTCACTTTCTGATAATGATTCCATTGCACACTCTGAGCCTGTTACCATTTCAAGATCGCAATCTCGTCCAGAGTCATGCCATTCAGGTTCCTTCGGCTCAACTTTATCGGCAGACCACGAACCTCGCCCCGTGAGTGTTCCAATTGGCCACCACCGTCGGAGCTCCCCTGTCCCCAGTGATCCACTCTCGTCTTCGCTTAGCCTATTGTCAAGCTCCTTGCCAGCTTCATCAGCTGTATCCTACCCGCTATCTACCAGCCAGAAAACCGGTGGAGTAAGACGACCTGTCAATGCCATGGCCAGACAGCATCAACGATCACGAAGCTCTGTAGACTCCCTGACCAAATTATTACCGCCTGTGACTCCTGAACCGTCCGAAAGTAAAGTGACAACGGCTTGGTTCAAAGTAGGTGAGGAATTACAGGAGAAATGTGTATACCTCGGACAAGTCAGTGACGGTGTCACTCTTGTTATAATTTATGATCCGCCAAAGGTGCGTTAAGACGTGTTGTTTACGACTTGGTAAATGAACCATTCTAACCCAATATCATATATTAGCAATCCAACCCTAGCCTCAGACCTCGCCATCTTACCAAATTGCAATCGCAGCTAAGAGTCAGCCTAGCGGATTTCTCTAGCTTCTTACTTACCAAAGAACAAACGCATTTCTCCATGCTATCTGTTCTTACCAACTACCCTGGCCTCGTACATTTTGTATATATGGATGGTACTGGAGTCATGGTTCGACCTATTGTCACCGACTTGCGGTATCAAGCCGAAGTATTGGGCCAAGGGCGATGGAAGGATTTGTCTGTCGATATCATCAACACTGCCGTAAGTAACAGACATTGTGAAATCATCCTTGTTGATGTTTGGATTATATGTTATGGCGGTTCCTGACGCTTTTTTTTTTTTTTTGGTAACGCTTGTAGCTCCATAATTTGATCAAACTGGCCACTCAATACCGAGACTCTAGCTATACGGGTGTGCATATCCTCGGTGTGCCTAATCACTGCCCAGTCGCCACTCGACTTCACTATGTATACCAAAGGTTTAGCAAGCGACAAGAACTCTATGCGCTGTACCTCGATGACATTTCCAGCGCTCAAGTTGGCCATCTGCATGAGAAATTAGCTCATGATTTGTCAAAACAAACCGTGTAATGTGTTTGTTTGTATGCTGCCTCATGTACTTTTACACTGCCGTTCTTTTGTTCTACGAAGAGAAAGGAACGGCAATGAAACAGAACAAAAAAAAAAAAGAACTTCCCCCTCCCCAAATGTAGAAAAATCGTTGTGTAAATACAGGAATACCATTTTTTTTTAAAACAAAAAGTTACTCTGCATGCTGCTTTAACCAGTTTGGCATTTCATACTTGGGCAGCTCTGACCGCCATATACCTGATAACAGTAAAACATGGCATGCCAATAGGGCCAATGAGCTATTTGTTGTAGATGGGTATGTCAGCCAGCACACCTCCATGGTAGCCAAAACGACACCTCTGCGGGGGGATATATTAGAATGCATTTTGCTATGGGCTGGAATTTCACTGGTTCTTACTTTGCTGCTGTAGTGTATGCAATGGCTCCCTCCCATTTCGACTGCCAGACCAGGTAAGGCAGGGTATGGAAGTACCATGAATAGAATTGGTAATGCAAGCTGCGAGAGAAGACCATGCCAATAAGGTTGCAGGTGAACATGGCATAGATGATATCGTCGGCGGAGACGGGCGTGGTTCCCGACCATCCGCGTTGAAAGACGCCAAAGACCCCACCTTCTGATCGACGACACCATTTGCTGAACAGGAAAGCCATCACCACCGCAGCGTGTCCAGCCAGAAGAAGATTTGCAAAATCTTTGGAGGCAAACGTTTCTTCCTCAATCATTCTCCAGTTTACAGTCCATTTGTAATCAAACACACGACTGAATTCAAAGGCTTTGGAAATATACGCGGCGGAATTTTCTTGTAAGAACGGCCAAGCAATCAATCTCTGCTCATAAGTGGTGAGTAAAATACGCATGCGGATTTGCACTGAGGTTATCACTTACTTGAATTCCTCCCATGACGATCAAATTTAAAATGGTCAACCAAGCTCCTTCGGCTTTCCAAAGCAAAAGGCCAAAGGCAGGGAAGAACAGGAGGACATTCATTTTCACCGACACGCCAAGGCTGTGTGCAATTCAAAAAAAAAAAAAAGGTCAATACATAGACATTGGAAAAATGGAAGTGATAAAATGCGCGCGGCTCACCTGAAAAGTATGCTGGCAACACGGTATTGCTTGTGGATCATGGCTAGAATGGCACAGTAAAGCAGGAACATGGCCACAGGGTCATTGAAGCATCGCAAGACATAGATAGAGTGAAGACGCTTGGACAAACACAGCATCACGATAAGAAATGGAGGTACGCGCTTGGACGCCCGATAGATGGAGAAAACGACATATTGCGTGGCGAGATAAAGTCCGGCAAAGATGTATTGTGCGCGTCGAATGTTGGTGCCTTTGTCCGTTACATGATACAGCGCACTGTATACCCACACAAATCCAGCCGGGTACCTAGACGAGATGCAGCCAATGAGACAATGCAACCACTCCTTAACTCCATATCATGGTACTTACACCAATGGGCCAGTGTCGCCTTTCAATTTCGTGTAATCACGCTCTCCAGCGAGAAAACCGCCCACTTCTTGCATATACGCAACCCAATCAATCTCGGTATCTTTGCATAGAGATTGTACAGAGTTATTCATAGTAGACACCACCGGAGATTTTTTTTATATATCGCTTACATGAAACTCGCTGAATGATGAATAAGTTAAGAAAGAATTCACCTACGAGAAGGGCGGTGCCCATGTACCAAAAGTAGGCTGGATCCATTAGCAAGCGCATAGGAATCGACACGAAATCTTGGACATTATATGTTTTCTGCGACGATGAGGATGGTCGTGCTCGTTTGCCCGATGTCTTCTTTGCCAACTTGGCTCGAGATGAGTGAGGCATGATCGAGGAAAGAAAAACCGAGAGTTCGGCACGTGGAATTGAAGCTTCACTTTAACGCCATGGGTCCGACTACGATTGATTGATCCCGCTTACGGACAAAGTGGACCGTGCTTTGCAACCCATCCACTAACAATGAAAGGCTCTACAATGTTAATTCACCCGCTTCCTATTCGCCTTGACCTTCTCTTTTTGTTGCTGTTTATTAATGCAAAGGTGGATGGATGGTTGATTACATTCGGGATCATGTAACGTAAGTTCTATACGCTTTATCTAACGGAAGAAAAGTTTTTTTTTTTTAAAAAAAAAAGATATCTACAGGATTGGATACTTGTTTACGATGGGCTGGATATAAATCAAACGATTAGTCAGTTGGTTTGCATTAATATACCGTCCATTCCATGTTAAGTTCGGGTACATACCTGAAATGGGGTGGAACTGAAGGAAATAAGAGGGTTTTAATAATGTTACAAAACAGCTACGCTATGTAGGGAATGGAATCCTGTTCCAATAGCTGTTGAAAATGTTTATCGGTAGCCAAATCATCTTCGTCGGTTTCTTCCACAGCATTTTCTTCTTTCTCTTCATCTTGGCTAGAATTACTATCGGCTTCATCTCCGGATGTGGACGACCTTCGCCGTTTCAGAGTTGGTTTGGACTCGACGGATTCTGGTTTCGCGTCGTTGGAATTGTCTGCAATGATGGTGTTGGTTTCATTTTCTGTCTCCACCATTCTTGTATAGGACGGGTGCTGTTTGATTAAATTCACATAGTATTGTTGCAGAACTGGCCCTGTCGCTGCTAGACGCCAGTCAATTAGTCGTAAAAATTCCAATTCAAGCGAATTGAGTTCTCGTAACGAGATGCCTCCGACCTTTGCATAGTGAGAATTGGTACAATATGAGTCGCACAGGGCTTTGGCAGATACGGTGATGGCTGTAATCAAAAATCGATGTACGGTCAACGACGAAATGGTGAAATGAGGTTGTCGCTCGCAAACACGATCAATATAGATGAGAAGCGTCAACAAGCAGGCTTTCTCAACAGAGGTATATTTGACTATTCGCCTTAAATAGTCCGGGAGGGTGATATTGGGTGGTGCCCGCGAGTGAAAGTGGGTGAGTGTGGAGGGTGTCAGTGGTATTAAATCGTTATGTGATATCAATCGTCCGAGCATGTCGGCTAGAGGTACGGGATTTTTAGTTGAAGACGTGGACACATGCCCATGCAAAACATTGACACTTACCGAGCATATGGATAATGTTACTTATATCAGCAGCATAAAACCAGTGAGGAACCAACGTAGTCTCCATCGTGACATGTCCAACACTAGTGATGTTTTTGTTGGAAAAACCTTGTGTAAGAGACAGGGATGCCAGTTGAATGCAACGTCAAATTGACCGCAAAAAAAAAAAAAGCGATCCGAGAGGTCACGTGTGCGCTTGGGACTTTTTCTGGACCAATCCGAGTTTCATCCTGGGTTCTCGGCACCCAATCAGAGATCAGTTACCGACTTTTAAGAGCCAGTGAAAGAGTGGGATCAAGTGTTACCAATATTACCTTCAGTCCATGTGATTCTACAGGTCTTTTCCCCTAGCACTAGAAGCCGAAGGATACATCAGAGTCATTTCATTTTAATTAATTTATATTTTGAGACCGTGTTGCATTGGCTCATGTAAAATTCTTCAAGGCTCCAACGCTTGTGAAGCTGAATGCGGCTATGGAACGGCGAAGAAGGGACTGGCTGAACCCCCGAAATCTAAAAAATCTATTTTTTAATTTTCTATTTTTTTTTAACTTCAGCCCTTCCTTATACCCATGCCCATGCGAGCTCCAAAGGCATCTCCATTGCTGCCTACAGCTGCATCTATTTCATGGGAACGATGGGGTCGTACGCTGACATACCAGCGACTGCACGAAAAACTACAACCTAGACTGACGTGGAGGCGAAGATCTATAGTGTACCTAATCTCCATAATTATCATCGCAGCATGCTTCCTGTCTTATTTCGTACAATACATACGCATGACAAGCGTGCATAGAGCAAGAGACAGTTGGCTATTATCTCGTTTTCCGGAACTTCAACCCATTTGGAAAGACATATCGAAAGATAGTACTAATTTGCATGAAGCTATTACTCTTCGATTCGAACGCCGTGATCAGTACGGTTGCGAATACCATCAACTATCTTATGCTACTTTAAAACAGATTATCGATGATGAACTTGGGCCCGCTAATCCCAACCCTTCATTCACCCATGTTCGTACGCCATATTTAATCACACCAGCTTTTGACCCTAGTCAACCAGTCACATTGAAACCCGGCCAAAAGTATTGTGTTCGATTGGTTGTTCCACGCCAACTGGTGACGCCCAGCAATACTGAAGGATATATGCCTATTGATGGATCTCCTTGGGACAGCATTATGATGACGATGGTTCGAAACTCCCCATCCAACACCACTATTCCGGTGCGCATGAATGTATGGGGTGGCCATGCGACATTGTATGATGCCGATGAGCTAAACGCTGGTCGTCAGGCTCAGGATAGACCACCTCATGAATGGATGAGTCGTAGTGGAATTCACATCTATGAAGCGGAAATAGCCCTCATGGACGAGGGCATTTATACCCTGGAAACTCGACTGGAATACACTCAGGGTCTTTGGAACTTTGAACGAGAAACCATCATCTCCTACCAACCAGAGATGGTCAACCCACCAACAGGATGGGAAGTAAAGATCCTTGGACGTGAGAAGGATCATTTTGATTTACCCTTGTGTACTCGACCTGATCATCCTGGACGTTGGCTTAATATCAACGATTACGCGCCAGAGCGACAAAAGCAAATTCAACCCAGCGCCGTAGACTTCAACGGAAATTTTTGGGCTCCCTACACCTGTCGATACCGACCCATTACATACCAAGACTTTACAACCTGTTTAGCAAAGAAATTCCCTCTCATTCATTGGTTTGGCGATTCCAATTCTCGTAGAGCTATTAAGAAAATGGTGACGGACGGAGAATGGTGTAGCGACGCATCCCTCATCCAGAGTAATGCTACCATTCAACGAAGCTGTCACTGCGAGGATTACGGAGACTTATCATGGAACCGTACGTTGTTCGATCCATGGTCTCGAGCCGCTCAGGTAACAAGGATACCTGCTGAGCATGTCTCCTCTGAATGGGGCACCATTGACAGAGACGAAGACAAGTCGGAACTTTGGTTCTACAAGATGGACGGTCTTACCAACCTGAATGATCCTGGGTGGGAGGAATCGTTCAAGGAGTACCCTGACCCCTCGGAGTTGTTGCCATATGTTACTGGACTGGCTGTCAACCAAGAATGGGCCAGTCGATTTGGTGAACCCTTGAATCTTCCAGGAGCTGATATCCGGCCTCAGCCTAAAAAGGAAGAAAAGCGATCTTATCATCTGGACAAGCGGTGGTACCTGACACTCGCCCCTCCTAAACTCATCATCATTAGTTTGGGAAATTGGGACACTTCATGGATGCCCTACGCAGAATTCGAAGTCGCCGTGCAGAGATTAATCAACTACATCAAGCAGCGCTATATTCCCTACAAGACCGCCGTTGTTTATAGAGCCCCTCAATATTACTGTTGCCGGGTCGATACGTCCGAATGGCAACGTAGACTCAGCACGCAAAGAATGGAAGCATATGATCGCTATGCGAGAGATATGCTGGTGGAACATGTGGGAGCCAAAGTGTGGGATGTGTATGCTTTGGGAGAGTCTCGCAACTGGCAAGACAAACAGGTGTCGCTTGATTGCCCGTCCAACCATGTTCCTAGCGACGTTGTAGCGGTTGAAAACCAACTGTTAATGAATGCGCTATGTAATTCGGATGATTGGTTTGCCGATATTTAATCCACAGCATTTATTTCCCACTTTTTACATTTCCCACTCACAAAAATAAAAACTTACCACGTGATCCTATTTTTGGTCATTGCCATATAAGACGTTTTCGGCCTTGGCTCATTTTTTGACGTTGACTTTTTTTTTGAGATTGCAATTCCATGGTCGAACCTCCAAATGACCCTGACGCTGGCTGTAAACTGCTGGATGGGTTCGCTATCATCATACAAATACTACTTGCTTCAAGTGCCCTCGCAACACTAGTCGTCAAAAGGGCCAGGGAAAGACCGCAGCGGCCAGTTAATATATGGTATGGTTATTTTCAACTCTTGGCTTGCGCTGTTAACCTGAAAACTAATGTGGTTTGATAGGCTTTTGGATGTTGGAAAGCAATTTTCGGGTGCCATTGTCATCCATGGTCTCAACCTGCTTGTATCATATTCCCGCGGCCGACCGCATCATGGCGGACCCTCCAACCTCTGCGTTTGGTATTTCTTAAACGTTGGTGTCGATACCACCGTGGGAGTGTGGATTCTTTGGGTCATATTGCGATCGCTGCAGTGGTCACTTATGCGAGTGGGAGTCACAGGCATTCGCACAGGTGACTATGGCACCCCTCCGTCCATTCTCAATTGGATCAAACAGACGATTATTTTCATATGCTCACTGGTCGGCATGAAGAGCTGTGTTTACGGCCTGTTTCGTCTTTGCCCTTGGCTATTCGACTTTGGAAAATGGGTCCTGAGCTGGACTCGTGACAACTATAGAACTCAAGTCGTTTTTGTCATGTTAATGTGAGTGCCCTTTGTGACAGCGTTTTTTTAATTCCCTCATACCAGCCATTGAGCTAAATAATGGCCTCTTTTCTCTAGATTCCCCCTTTGTATGAACGCCTTTCAGATTTGGGTGATAGATACCATTGTAAAGAACAAGCTATTTAGTGTAGAGGAGATTATTGAGGCAGATGAGCGCACTAGGCTTCTTGCTGAGCCTAATCATAATACCACCGAGTCAACTGCGACCACCGTAGAAAATTTGTAAAGCACATATTTTTTTTTCCATAAAAAACTTCTTCCCTTTTGAATCGTCATGTTCTCCATTGCTCGCCATGACGAGTCCGAAAATGACGAACGATCTTACGAGAAGCGTTTAGATCGTTTGTCCAAACTTAATGAGAGAGTCAGCAAGAAACGAAAGCAGACAGGTGCTGATCAAGGCGACGACGAGGCCTTACCTCAAGAAGAACTGGCTACTATGGAGGTAGAACAGCCTGTGGTAGACACCACGGTCGACAATGACACCACTGCTGATTTGGATTCAGCGCTTGTAGAGGAAACTGAATCTAAGAAGGCGAAACGAAATAAGCCAAAAAAGAAGAAGGTGAAGCAAGACGAACCACTTCAGGCAGAGGCACTGGAAGAAATGGAGGTTGTTGAGGAAGACGTAGCTGAGTCAGACAGATTAATACCACCCACTCCGGATGAATTAGTAGAGGAAGCAGGAACGTTAGAGGAAGTTGCAGAGGAAGAATCCATGCTCCAAGCGTTTCCCGATTTCACGCCAACTGAACCCGACGTGAAGGATATTGCTCAACTCAAATCAATGGGTATCCCATACTGGCTGGCCCACCCCACCATCATTGAGCAAGGCCAGACGACTCCTCTTGCAGAAATGTCAGGTTTATCTAAGAATTTGCTGGAACGTTGCCGCGAACAAGGCATTGACGAATTTTTTGCTGGTGAGTTTAGATTTTTGAAGTGGATCTATCGCGTTTTCATATGCTTACCCTGTTTTTTGCTCTCCAGTACAAACAGCTGTTGTACCAATCTTTTTGAAATCACCATCATTGTACGATAGTCGACGTCCACCTGGTGATTTGTGCGTTTCAGCACCCACTGGTTCAGGCAAAACCCTTGCCTATGTCATTCCTATTGTTCAGGTAAGTCGATCCATACAATGAATGCTGAAAATAGGCGTTGGGTTCAGCTGCTGAAAAATATATTACTTTGCTAGATCCTTTCAACGAGAGTGGTAACCCGGCTTCGAGCGTTGGTAGTTCTTCCTACGCGTGATTTGGTCAGTCAGGTGCGCGAGACTTTTGAGGCTGTCACCAAAGGCACTGGATTGAAGGTATGTAGAATTGTGACTCGTGTGGGTGTCATTATGCATATAGCCTATTCTAAATTTTCTTTCTTTTAAGATTGCAACGGCCACTGGTCACCACTCCTTTGCTCAAGAGCAAGCACAAATCGTGGATAACATGGATGACAGGTAGGATACAGCATTAAGTCATATACCGTAGTGCTATCGACACTAACCTCAGCTATTCAGTCTGCTGGGCGGATCGAGCAAAATCGATATTCTAATTGCCACACCAGGTCGTTTGATCGATCATTTGAATGCCACACCCAACTTTTCACTTCAGCATTTACGGTTCTTGGTTATTGATGAAGCTGATCGTCTTCTTAATCAGAGCTATCAAGACTGGCTCACTCATATTCTTCGCGCCACTCAACCACAAAAAATGGAACACCGTCTTCCTGCCGACCATCTGCAGCGAGACTCTCTCAAGTATGGACAGGTTTCTGACTGCATCTTATTTTCCACCGTCCAATGCTAACACTACTTTTCAGTGTACCCATTCATGATGCTATTGCGCCATCCTATTTAGAATCTCACTTTGAGCTCCCCGTTTCTGACATTGATACCCCCAAAATGCCTTGCGTACAAAAACTACTGTTCTCAGCGACACTGACGAAAAATCCTGCCAAGATTGCCGGACTACACTTGACCAACCCTCAATACGTTGCTGTTCGATCTCAAGGTCAGATTGGAAAGGATGACGACGGTAGCGGCGAGAAGTACACTACACCAGAGACACTGAAGGTAAGCTATTGAATCAATTCAGGGAATATAGGTTTTTAGAATGGAGCACTGACGTTGGACTCTAGGAATACATGATTGTCTGTCCCAGCGAACAGAAGCCTATGCTTGTTTTACATTTGCTGTATAACTTGAATGTCAAGGCCGCCCTCTGCTTTACCAAATCCGTCGAATCCGCACACAGATTGTTCATGCTTATTACATTCTTTGAGCGAGCCCACGGAAAACAGGACGATGGAAAAATAGTGGCAGCAGAGTACTCTAGTGACCTCACACAGTCAGCTCGACGATCCATACTGAAGAAGTTCAAACAAGGCGAGATTCGATTGTAAGTATTGATTCATTGGCTGCTCTGATAGAGTGCCGCCCACGCTAACATCTGACCATAGGTTGATTTGTTCCGATTTGATTGGTCGTGGTATTGATTTGGATGCGGTCGATACAGTCATCTCGTATGACGTGCCTTTGTACATGAAAAAATACATCCATCGTGTTGGTCGTACGGCTCGTGCTGGTCGTGAAGGTGATGCCTATACCCTCGTAGAGCAGCAAGAAGCACGTCACTTCAAGGAAATGCTACGCAAAGGCGGCCACCTCTCCGATGTGAAAAACCTCAAGGTCCAACGACCTACCCTAGAACCATTTGTCGACGACTACAAGATTGCCCTCACAGAACTTGGAAGCTCATTGACGACTGCCAAGACGTCACTTCTTCGCTACCAGGCATCCATACATGTGGATGAAGAAGAGGAAACAGAATCCAAGGAAGATGCATTGGAAGTTGAGTCGGACAAGGAGCAAAGTGACAATAACGACTTGGAAAAAAGTGATATAGACATGTAGACATTGTTCTGTGTTTCTTGAGAGAAACAGTATATTATGGTAATTTTTCATTTGTATAAAGCTTTCATTTACATTCTCAACTCGGATTTTTTGGCCCTAGTAAGAGGACTGGGTACATGCAGATCGTGTGTAAGCCTGCCAAATTTGACACATTCACAGCACAGTATAGGAAGATGGGATGGGATCTTGGCTGATATATATCTCATTTTTTACATTCGGCCTTGAAGAATACTTTCAATTGTCACACTAATAAACTCCTTTTTGCTGGCCAAGTCTACTCCAAAGAACAGCGAGAGCTGTTCACGCACTAAAAACAAAAAAGAGAAGCATCAGTACACAATTTCGCGCGCTCTAAAAAGCTTTTCAATGGTCACATATGACTTACCCTGCTTCTTGGTCACGGTCATAAGGTTGGCAGTGGCAAGGATGTTGCGTATTTCAGCAACAATTTCAGCATCAGTAGGCACTCCGGTCAAGCTGTGGATACTATGATTGCTCAAGGCTGGAATGGAGTAAGTACTTCCCCGAGGATCAAGTAGGTGATCAGGAACTCCTCCGTAACTATGAACAGACATGGCTTTCGGCGGCATTTGCAAGTAATCTGAGCCGGCGTAAGACGCAGCATAAGGGCTATGTGCGCCAGCATTCGACTGTCTACCTTTCTTGTGAGTTTTCACGGAATCACGGTAATAATCAAAGTCTTGGCCTTGTCGGTTTCGATAATCGGTTCCTTGCGACATTTGGGTATGATACGAGCGATAAGTATGAGCTGTCAACCCTGTTTTTTCAGTTTCTTTGGAGCCAGTTGATCCTGCTTCCCACAATTCATGTTCATATGTACTCCACTTCTTCAAGGGGATCATCTTTTCATCGAATTTCTCATCGTCGGCCACAATGATCTGTTTCTTTTTGTCTCCCACCACCACACGGGTATTACCCCATGAGAAATCGTCAAAATGCCAGAAAGCATAAATGGGGATGAAGAAAGAGAAGATAGGAATGGCGAAAATATAGATAATCATCCATCCAATATGTTGCCACTGTCGCTTTATGATGAAGATCAAAGCCTGTAAGCCATAAATACCAGCCAACATACAGAGAGCAATCAGTGGAATCGGCCCTGTTTTGCTTATAACCACATAGACGAGGTAAACCAGGTAGATGACGGAGGAAGGAAGCGTTAATGTACCGACCAGGTCGATCATGACCACGAAGCGCATGGAGAAACAACAAAATCCACATAGTTCTGGCAGTAAGACTAATTCCAGCAAGTTGTGGATAGTGGAATTGATCCAACGTCGGCGTTGAGATAGAAGAACGCTCCATCGGTCAGGAGCAATGGTCTTACATTGTGCATGCGGTGTAAACGTCATCTTGTACTGAGGAAAGTGCTTCATCATGAGGGTGGTTAGATATCGATCCTCACCAAGATGCAACAAATTTTTCTTGTGCAAGGTATCAACATGATTTTCCGAGTATTCTTGGATGACTTGGGGAGATATGATGAGAGGTAGGTTCTTGTTAGGGGTCCTGATTCTGTACATGCAAAAACAGCCAGGTAGACAAGTGACAGAGCCAAAAAGCGATTCAAAGGCTTTGGAAAGATGGTGAGATATGTAGTATTCATAGACTTGAATCATGGTCGTCCAGCTATTATCTTCGTTACCAAGACTGGTTTCGCCACATATACCAATGATCTTTCCATCATGAAGCAAGCAAGATATCATTCTCGTTAAGGCGTCCGGCATGACTTCGGTGTCAGCGTCGATCATGAGCACATATTCGTAAAAGCTTGGATCTACGCCAATGACGTTCTTGATCTGATGGTACATCTCCAACTCCAGTGGGGTCATTTCCGATTCAAAATGAACTTTGTTCAAGAAGTTCATGCAGATAATTTGAGAGTCTCGTTTTCCTCGGTTACCGGGCTTGGACCGTTCCGATGCCTTGCCTACCTTGACCACAACAACATAGGGCACAACGTGGCCTTCATGCTCGTATAATCCTGAGTACACCTTGCCGTAGTTTAACTGCTTACTTCCTTCTCCAATAGATTTGAACATGAGAGGTTCAGGGTCTAACTTGGGATTATGTCCAAGGATGTCTAGGACAATACGAGGCGTAGGTCTGTCGTTACCGCTTCCCATAATCATACCATCGGCAATCAAGAAAATGAGCTTTCGCTTATCGTCATATTCCATGACAGTAATGGAGTTGATGGTCTTTCGAATGGATTCTTCGTCTTCGGTATAACAAGGTACTTGGCAGATGACGAACTTGTCATACTGCTCTGGAGTAGGTACGCCGCCAAACTGAAGTGCCGCCAGGAACTTGATCAACGTGACGAAACACATCACAAGCGCAAAGGCCAGGAGAAGGTAATTGGTAAATGTACACCTTGCATCATCACGATAATCCAGCCTTCCGATGTAAAATACATTATCAAGACAATTTTGATTTTGAGCCAGCTTTTCTGGCGTCATGGATTTCTTGTACTTGTTCCACTCGGCTGTGGCATCCGTGCCTCCAAACTTGGTGAATATCGTTTCCACCACTGGATCTAGGAACCGATAGTTGGGCTGGGTGGGAGCGTAAGAAGGAAACAGCTTGGCTGTGCTCATGTAGTCCGTTATATCGTAAACTTTGTCATTAATAGATACAATCAATCTACCCCAGCCGTTGAAATCACCCTGTATGGTCTTCATAGGGATAACCAGATCGCCTTTCTTGTATAAATTCATAACAGGCATGAAATAATCCCAGATCCAATTCTTGTCCTTCATTTTGTCGAGATGAATGTCGGGTTGCTGGTTGCCCGAAAGGTGAACAAAAGAGGAGATGATGGCTGTTTCATTTGGTGTAATCTTGATAGTGTCGTCGGTGACTAAACCAGGACATCCAGCGGTCAAGGGTATAGGGAATGAACTAGACAAATCATGACCAGCAAGAGGTTCCATAGCGGATTGTGTGCTCGCATAGACAGTGGTTCCGTGATCTGTTACAGCAAATCTAGTGACATCGTACACTTTACCACGGACACTGACGTAAAAGTCATTGAGTAGATTATGGTTGGCAACATCCTGCACCGAATAAAGTGACTTCGTACCAGGACAAACCAGTTCACCAAATACAGCAATGAAGAACAAAGTAGAAGCCGAAAACATGAAGATCAAAAAGCAAAGTACCACTTTTTCACGCCATGCCATTCGAACGTCTTCACGCTTCATTCCACCACACCACTTGAGGAATGTACTTGGGATCCACCATGTCAGTAGCCAGACAAATCGGACCCACCAAAGACGCACGGTGGTGATGGGCACCTCTTCCACCTGCTCTTGTTGCACTGGAGAGTAATCGTCAACCATTTGGCTCATATCCAGATTTGGCCCATACCTGACGTAAAGAGAATTCAATATGACATGCCAGCGATTCTGATCATCACTCAATGATACTTACCCATCCGCCGCAACTTTGCCTCCCCAGTCTGATTCTTCTCCCCATTGACTACCTTCGTACTTCTTTGCTTCATCGTCGCTCTCAATGTAACTTCCCCTGTCATCATGAAAGTCAGGATGAGGTGGCAGAAGAGACATTCCATTGTTGGCTGTGTTGGGTGATAAGAAGCCGCCAGCAGGAGAGTGGCCAACAACCGCAGCCTTCTGATTCAAGCGATACTCTTTTTCTTGGCGACGTATGGTGTCCTCAATGGATTTCCATGCATAAAATTCTAACCAGACGTTGTCGTTGCCAACAAATACCTGTTGTTGCGTCCAATTGTGCTGTTCTATCAGGTGCGTCACGCGGTCTCGCTCAGTTCCATCCGTTGTCATGGACGGAAGTGACGCATAATGCGATACGAATTCAGGAATGGGATACATGACCGAGTAATTGACGGAGCAACGAGTGTGTAAATCGAGAATTTGGAGACCACGAACTTGCATTTTGACCTTGCTTATATTGAACTGGTCAGGAGCTTGAAGGTCATTTGGACGGATATGAAGAACTTTATAGATGCGTGTTCCTTCAATTGAGGTAATTAAACTAGAAAGCGTTTCACCAAGTTGATCTAAAGCGCTTGTCATGCTTGTGGCCTCTCTGTCTTCAGCCTGTGGACTTTCTATTTTATCCTTGGGTTTGTCATTCGTTTCATCTATCTCAATGGTTGGTCGTTTCATGGACGGTGCTCTCATGGATCTGGTGGGAAGCTGAGCCTTGATGATGGTCCTATCGTCATGCGGATGTGACTTTGTAGCCAGGTTGTCGTTTTGAAACAAATTGAGAACGAAGTCATTAGAACTGCTGGATCGAAGGAGATTGATGAAATCAGGAGACACGTTGTCCGTGTTTTTCTCAAGAAACGAGTCGATGGAGTAGTAGACTGGTTCGGAATAATGATTGATGCCGAATGTAAAAGTTTGGCTGGACTTGGCGTAACCAACATGGGAGCTATACAATTTGTCAAGCAAACCCAAAAGATTGGCGTCTGTCGCATCGGTCTCGTTAACAAGGTATCGTTTTGATTCTTTGTCGATGGTGCCAATGAGTCCTCCAATAGTACGAGGAACGCCAGTAGCGCTTCCAGTGAGAAGTGCCATACAATTGCCGCTAGCAGGAGGAGTAATGGTAGGCATAGATACACCGTCTTCGGCCATCAACCTCTCTCGTGGCTGTTCCTGCGCTAAGAAATTATTGATGGCCTCGTTTGCAACATTGACGGTGAAGTGTTCGAATCGATTGGATTTAAAATTTTGAAACCCAAATTGGTCCAATATGCCAACAAAATTGCACACTTCTTCCTCTGGGCAACATAGCTTTGTGTTGATCGTCTCAACAATCCAGTTGAATATTGCTCCATACATTGCTCTGGAAATGGCATCTCGTTGTTGCGCAGCAGCTTGAGCGTTCAAGAATGCCGTGCATAGCTCCTTTCCGACGTAGCGAAGGTGGTACGTGATGGTGGACTCCAATTTGGACGGCGATACACCTAAAATGCCAGCGATTATGTCCAATTCCTCTGTATTCTTTACTGAACAAGAGTCTTGAGCATCAGAGGCAGGGTCGACAAATTGCAAATTGCCAAGGTGTAAAATGGCTGCCAAAACTTGGAAAAGCTGGGTGACGGTTTTCGACTTAAATCCACACACCTTCAACGCAGCCTTGAGGTCGCCAAATGCAATTTGATCGCCTGCGTCAATTACCTTTGTGTTTCGGGTCTGGCTCAAGTAGGCAAAATACTCTGGTGCATGATTGATTCGGAGAGCTGTACGTTCTTCTGTGCTTGTTCCAGACAAAAGAGAGTAAAATACATGAAAGTTACGTTCGTTTTGTGGCACCTGGGTCAGTCTTGAGCGATCCAGGTTGTAAGTCATGGTTTTCAAACCAATGATTCTGCCACGCTCGTTATACTGAAGTTCCTGAAACTGGCCAAACCCAGAAGCAGAAGTATTCTGAACCGTTCTAGCCGATCCGAACTGTTGCAAAATGGTTTGCGCATTGACAATTTGCTTTTGCAATTTCAATGCTTTCTTACTGTGACTTGACAGTTGAAGAAGCTGCTTCAGAAGATGACCTTGACTAGTGGTTTTTCCAGACCCTGTAACACCGCTGCAGAAAATAAGGGCAATGTCAAATCAAGTATAAAAAGAAGAGGGTTTTAGGCGTTTGACGTTTACCTCAGCACAATACTTTGGTCTTCGCTTGCTCTTCTCAATTGGTAGTACACACGAGCGGCTAAATCATAGATGTGAGGTTGAAGCTGAGGTGGATCGGTAGTGTCGAGGTCACGGTAGACGGTGGCGGCGTACTGTGTAAGAGAGGCGTCGTTCACACTCTCCACGGCTTTGTAAGTGTTTACAACAATGAGATGATGTGCTCCAATACGAGTGTAAGGCAAGTCTCGCTTGAATCGCATATGCAGTGCCGAGACAATCGACTCCTCTGTGGGATTCGGCAGGCCGCATATGTCTGGTTTACTTGCTTCGACTGTCGAGTTAGAATCCATCTTAAGGCAACACAGTCGCTGCTCCGATCAACAAGACTAAGAACAAGAAGAGGAATGCATCGAATTCAGCCTTCCAATATCAGTGGAAAATACGAGCAATTAATTTAGATGGTTGGTCTCATCCACCCATTGTTTCATTTTGTTGCCCTGAAGATGAGGGGGGAGGATCAAGGAGAGAGGTTTGATTGATTGACAAGACGCGCATATTTAGCAAAAGCCAGGAGGTTCCTGCTAAATGCATTTTTAACCCTATGGTGTTTTGATTTAATTATTTGAATTTGTATTCTTTTCTACAGAATTTGTGTTGCATCAAAATGGGATGGGAAGAGTTCTTTTCTAGGATCTCATAAGCGTAGGACTTCCGTCTAAAACGCTATGGGAAGCGGATGGAGGAGTCAAGTAGAAGCCAGCCATCAATACAAAGTAGCTGAGGATCAATATCGATCTATGTCGTCCACAATAAATAAACCCAAAAACGAAAGAATGTAGAAAACTTCAAGTTAGTAACCTCTTCCGCCTCGTGCAAAAAGTTCTCATGGCGAGGTGTTGCTCCTTTTTGATGAACAACGAAAACAGAAAAAAGTAAACCTTACCCTTTGAAATAGTTACTTTTTCCTTCTTGATATGTGTATGTTAACAAAAACACAGAAAATATAACACATATAGCATCCCATCTTGGGAATACCAGGCTACAAAGAACATGGGGTGTGAGCAAAGCTTTAGGTGATGCAACACTAATACAACCCTCAGTCTCCATGTGAAATACCACTTACGTGAAAGTATATTGAGATACATCCATCATGCCCCAATTGTACCACAGGGAAAAGCCAACCATGGCAGGGATCTGGATGAGACAGACCTGCAGAGCATATGCAGAACCAATTTCAAGCGACAAAACAATGTTTCCATTCAATGCAAAAGAAATGGCGTTCATAAACTCTGTGATATTTGGTACCTACAAGAGAAGTGAGATGTTGGTTTTCTACTAAGGCAATCTGATGATAAAAAAATGCGGTTGCTTACCAATGCAAATAAAGTCAAACCCAAAAACTTTTCGTCAATAGCCAATGAGTCCATCACAGTATCGACGGTGTCTACTAATATCTCAGCAATAAGACTGTACAATAACGTACATCCGAATAAAATAGTGAATGACTTTGATTTGCTCCAGTTAGGAGAATCATGTCCAGCTGCCTCTTCGTCCTCATCTTCCTCAGGTTCTCTTGCATGTACCCATGTGACTGGTGGAACAGAGGATGGAATACTCTGGGCCAGGTTTTCGTTAAGATTCTCGGCCGTGATATCATTCCGATTTTCATCCAAGCTACCAGATCGCAAAGGATTGGTAGTAACCACAGCAACATGGGAAGTATTGTAGGGAAGATTGAAGGCAGTGGATGGATCTGTCATGGAGAGCATAGCATAAAAAATGAGAAAGTCAGTGCGTGGGCTAATATCCTCATGGACCATGACAACACCTACCACCAGTCGAGTTGACTTGACCATTGCGCAGGTCGGTTTGAGACTGGTTGTGACTGAGATGAACGAGTTGGGAGATGATATGAGTAGGAAGAAGTTTGCGGTAATTGGAATCTTCATTGCCGTGCTGTGCGTGAGAACTGGACCACACCATGTCAGCATGCGTGTGTAAACTGAAAACGAGAGCAATGAAGTATGCCTAGCGAAAAGGAAGGTTAACAAAGGATCCACCGGAGAGACATATAGGTCAAAACATCACTTACAGTGGGAAGGACTAAGGCACACAACCACATCAGTGGCTTGACGCTGTTCTGGTACACAGGATCCATGGCAGGGTTCATCTGGTCATAATAACATCTTGAACAAGCAAATACATCATTTTGTGGTGATTCGGGACAACCGGTGCATCGAAGTTCAAACTGTTTGGCATAGACGGGTTAAGCTATGGATATTCCTGGTAAAAAAATAAATAAACAACATCCGCTTTTTACTTACACTTCCATACATTTGATAAAACAGAGTAGGTGTCAGCGCAGCAATAATGGCCATAATCAACATAGTTGAAGTGACTCCTGAAATAAAGAAAAGGGGCATCAGATGTTTGCCATGAACAATACACAACATGCACCATACATACCTGCGCTCTTAGCATTGAACTTTTGCTCTTTGCGCTTCACCGCTCCACTTAACATAGAGCACCCTGGCATTAACAAAACACCAGCAAGAAAACTTCCAATCAGAGACCCTTCCACCAAGGCGCTTTTACCTCGCATCAAAGCGACACTGTACAGGATAATTTCGATGATGGAACCGAATGTAGCATTGATCACCGCGCCCAGTCCCATACTTGACTGTGCAGAAATGGAACTGACAGCCATTCCAATGAAGTACGACAGGGGAATGACAGAGCCCAGACCCAGCATGAACACAAACGAAGCACTGGTGAACCAAGCGTTTGGAAATCTTTCGTGAAGGACGTTTTCGTCAAAGATGACGAAGAAAGCCACGGGTAGCAAGTTGATGAAGATAATGTTGATTCCATCATAGGTATACTTATAATACTGTAATCCGATAGCTTGATAGGTGCACAGTAGAATAACTGTTCGTTTGTTAAACGAAGACGAGGATGGCATAAGGGTTGAGCCGCTTGATTTAAATCGCAAACTGAGGGGATGTTTTCGGAGATGCCGGGTTAGAACATAGGTCAACTTTGCCATGGGGATGGTAATAACACACCCCCAGCAAATTGCCGACACGAAGAGTTGGAGAGGAGCTAAATATAGACGAACAAAGAACAAATTTGATGAGTTATGGCACCAATATAGCTGAGAATACCGTCTGAATGCATACCAAGAATTGTGTAAAACAAGAAGTAAAATGCCCAACCACCGGGACCAAGTGACAAGAGTTCTTTTGTATTGTCTTTGAATGTCTCTAAACGGTTCTTGCGTTTGTGACGGCGTCCACTAATCAGACCCAGATCCTCATCCATATCCGAATCACCTTGACTGTCTTCTGAAAGCTGGCGATTGTCGTAGTTGGACAAGGACTCGGGTTCAATGTCGACCAATCGTTGTACATATTTTCCAAAAGGCCAAAACAGATAATTTGCTAGACCACGTAGAACTGAAGCATACTTGTAACCATCTGGTGGCACAAGTAATACTAACAAGGAGAGTATATGCATAACAAGCGCCAGCCACCATCCAAATACAATGGCCCATAGAATATTACCAGGGTAGAGAAATAGTTCCGGTGTGGTGGTGGGTGCAGAATGAAGAGCGCTGTTGGCTCTACGCACCACAGAGCGTGATTTCTTGTATAATGCTGGCTTCCATATAGGCAAACCGAAAGGATGGGATTTATTCATAGCCTATAAAGTGATCATAGAGGAGTTAATGACAAAAGATCCCCACCCACCGCTGCAATTGAACCCTGACTTACATCTTGTCTATCCTTCAACGTCATCTCTCTATCGCTGTCATCGTCTCGTTCTTCTTCTTCCTCCTCCTCCTCTTGTTCAGGTATACTTTCATCGTTCTCATCATTTTCATGGTTGCTGATATCATCGTCCTTACTATGCCTTCGGGAAGTAGATGGTCTGTATCGTTTACTATCATCCGTGTGACTTTCTTCATCGTTTGAATCAAAAGAAGACGAGGCTCCAGAGTGTCGGGCGGTATGATGCTTGGACGACTGGGATCGCTTCAGCTGTTTGCGACCGGAGGTCACCAGGTTGGACGAACTACTTTGACGAGAATGTTGACGGGTTGAAGAGGTACGACGGCGTGCCGATGGCCTTCTTGTGTGGTGTAGAGAAGAGGAACTCATAGCATGTTGGGGTGTTCGACCGGACATGGTTCTTTGCGAACGGTCGTGATTCGCAGAATGGTCCATGTCAGAACCTGACTGCCAGCATTTTAGCATCCGACCCCAGCGGCAGGAGAACCGCTGAAGGTCACGTGCCCAAATAACCACGGGGTGTGTGTGACCCAGTGAGCTGCGAGTTGCCTTTTCGGGAGCTGCAAGGTCATGTCATGGCATAACGTTGGGTGAAGAAATCCAGGCAAGCGACATCGCATGGTGAAGTTCTTGAAGCAAATAAATGGCAGAAAGTACCGGCGATACGTGGTGTGCCTGAAGGAAAAAGAGAAAGAGAAAAGTGGGAAGATAAAAGCCTGCAGCCAGAGGTTGGTCTCACGTCACGCCCAAGCGGGGGATGGAAAAATTTACCCACTTTATTTAGAGAACATCATCGGCTTTTCCAGTGTCGCCCAACCCTTCTTCTACCCTACCCATTTCCCCCTCAACCCGCACCTCAACAACCTCTTTGTTGTGAGTGCCAGCGCGTGTAGAAAGAGTCCCACCGAATCCATCTCCAAGGAGAGACAAACCCGCCCCTGTGCTATAGATTATCAGCTCTCGCTCTGCAGCTGATTTCGTCCGCTCACACCCCCACCGTTTGATTCCCATCCAAATCATCCCTTCATCTCGCCTTACAGCAGCTACAATTTCATCTCTTCAAATTAATCGCACCTTTATTTCATCCAATTCATACCATGACTACCTTACACAGCCAGACTATGTTCCAAGAACAGACTTGCCTTCAAGCCAAACCCGCACCATGTCGCTTTCCCCCGCCGTATGGCCACCTGTTGGCCACTACCGGCCTTCAGAATACTGCCTTGAGACAGGCCACCGTACCGCCGGATTTTCTATCCGCCAACTTGAGGCGCCCGCCATAAAAAAGCCTATCAACCACCATTCCCATCGTCGTTACCCCCTGTATAATCATCGCTCTGTCTCACCGGATTCCCTCTATTACACGCACTCGACTCTGTCTACTCCCATCTCCAAAAAGTCTTCTCGTCGTTCAGCTTTTCGTCGTCCCCTTCCAAAGCCTGACGTTTCTCCTGTCGCTTTTAATTCTTCTCCTCCGCCTCTTTACCAGTTCTCTACTAAATCCATTGATGACACTATTCATTATGAACAAGAACCTATTCCTCAACTAGCTTCGGATCAGGACATTTTGGATGACATGGAAAACTGGACTGCTTCCACTCGTACCAATACCCTTAGTATGGCTGGATTGTTGTCTCCACCTGGTTCTCCATTGTCATCCTTTGATGACTTGCCTCCCTTTGAAGAAGACTTTGTATTGTTTCCTTGAATTTTCTCTTACCCATTGACCTGCTTTGTGTTTGTTGTTTTTTTTTTCTTATTTTATTAAGGGTAGTTTTCCTTTCTTCCTCTCTGAATCCTTTTTTCTCTCTACCGGCCGTCTCAAAATAAACTTCCACAACAAAGAAAAAATTCTCTATGTTTCACTTGGCAGGTCAATGTCTGATACAGATAATACAAAGTGATGGAGGCAGGTCAATGTCTATTACAGATAACACAAAGTAACTCGAGCATGTCGTAACCCGTCCTTCACTTTCATGTAGTGGACGAAAAATCTATTCCATATGTGACCCATCATGTCGCTCGCTTGTGTGTTCATACTGATGAGCCATCATGATTTCCTTCATATTTGGGAAATTTTCGGCCATGCTTACCGTGTACAACCCTAGCGGGTGATAACTCATTGGAACATAATGACGGTCGTTCCTATTTTATTGTACATCACGACTGGTTTAAAATCCAATGATTCAAAATGTCGGCCACCCATACCGTGTTAACGATAACCTTCATCTTGATGACGCTTAAAATTCTTTGTTCATATTTATTGTACACCACGACTCGTTCTAGAATCTCAATGTTTAAAATTTTCGGCCATCGATACCGTCTATAAGCTGATGTTGATTCTATACAGTATTAATGAATGTTGGGGTTTTACAAACTAGCTGTCTTCAACAGACCCTTGATTTGATCAACGCGGTCGTGTAGGTCTTGTGCAAAATTGACGCTCTCCTTTCGCTTTTGTCGTGCAGTATGGAATCCAGGTTGGCATTGAATTCCATCCAACGCAAAGAGGGCTTGCATTAATTTCTCAGAGAGGTACGCTCCGGTGTCTTGTAACTTCTTTTTAGTCTTAGGATCTTGCTGTCCAGACGACAAAAATCGGCCAACCTCTTGCTCGTATTCCTTCATTTTTGTGCCAAAGTCATGATTCACCTCCTGCATGATATGCTGGATACGCGTAACAAGACTAGCTTCCTCAGGATTACCTGACGCTGTCTGTTCTGTCTGCTTTGCCTAATCCATTGGATCAGTACCATGCAAAGAAAAAGTCCATAAGCTTGCACTTTGCACTTACATTCGGTCTCTGACCCAGCATCAATATCTTGGAACCCGCCCGCAGTCCGTATAAAGATAAAGGTGATGAGTCGTCCTTCATAACAGCTGCAGGATGAATGTCAGTTGAAATCCAGCTACGTACCGGGGAAATGAATCAAAACTTACCACCAGATGCCAGCAGCTTCATGGCATTCACAGGAACTCCGGTAATCTTCTTGCATTTCTCCTTTAGATCTCCCAACGTCGCCTGTTCTAGTCCATTAGGGAATTCATCGAAATTGACGTCGTATTTGTGACCTTTCCACTTCAATTCTATCTCAGTATCCGACATGTCAGTTTAGGGTGAAAACGAAAAAGTGAATAGTGTCAGTTCGCACTGCGGCCTTAATTTTCTTCCGCACGTGGATTGTTTCAAATCTGACGTGCCTGTTGTTTCTTTTGCTTAGTACTTATAGCGAATCTTTTGACATGCCTGCATCCTCAATAAATGAACTGAAGCATTATCCTTGCATTGCTTCATTAGCTTGAGCTGATTCAAAAGTTTATTCGAATGAGCCACCGACAGATAGTGTAGATCAGTTCTTTACGCACTGCTAAATATGGACCATTCCAGCTACGACGCTTTTACTATTAAGAAAAAGTCTATATATCCAGCGTACAAAACTATCGGTACTACGTCTAACCTATCTAGCGTGCTTCAGCTTACTTGGATTTGGTCTTGGTTGCCGTGGTTGTAGCCTTCTTGGTGGTCTTCTTACTACCGGCAGCATGGCCATTTTGGAAGATATCGTTCTGGGCACCTTCCTTGTAGTTGTAAGCATTGCTGTAGGTAGGAGCATAATGTCCAGGCTCAAACATGTTGTTTCCTTCTTTGTTTTTCCAGTACATAGGCTGCTTTGCGCCAACAATGCATTTGGCCTTGTTGGTATCACACTTGACGGGAGGAATGGGCTTGCCGAGCTTCTTGGTGGTTGTAGAATTTTTAACGTCGCAGACAAATGGTGTCATATACTATAGCAACCATAAAAAAAAACCAGTAAGCACATGGTGCGACCCATTGAAGCATTGTAAACGGACTCACCATTTGGTCAGTGCCACCAATAGACTTGTGGATCCAGCTTTTTGGATACAGGAATCAGGTTAGATTAGGTTGGAATGAAACACAGTCATTTCAATTTGGGTACTTACAACCAAGAACATTGACATTTGCCGTTGGGGCACTTGGGAAGGTCGGGGATATCAAAGCTCTGCAATTGTCTGGCAGGACAGTCATGAACAACGGAGAAGATGACGAAATCCTCAGGCTTAACGTCCTCTGGCTTGTCTTTGTAGGCAATACCGAGAGCGCATCCAGCGACATCTTGACGATGAACAGCGTGCATATTACCCCATCCATTGTCAGTGTTGGTCCTGTGAAACATCCAGCATTTAAATTTTTCATTCAGTCGGTAAGTGTGACCATACATGATCAGCCTACGTACCATGGAACTGGGGCCGTTCTAGGGTTGGGGAAAAGTCCATGCGCTCCCATGCTGGTAAATGCCTTGTTATCAGCAATTTCCAGATCGGCTTTTCCACCGGCTGGGAGATGGAAAACGGCATTTTTATCTGGCTTATCATCCATAGAGCCGTGCCACCACCATTCTTTAAAGGTATAGTCTTGGAGAGGTTGAACGGCCTTGTTGCTGTTGGGATTTGCACGGTCTTGGCCATACATAGCAGGTGTCCAAACAGCCAAGTGGGCTTGCAATGTCCAGCATTGCGCAAGGAGAGCGGATAAAAATACTGCAGAACGCGCAACCATTGGTAAATTGTGTGAAGACAATGGAGCAGGATATGATTCAACTTTTTATATAGGAGATTGATCAACATAAGTTCATATGTAACAATATATGTGGACATACCATTGCAAGCTTGTTTAATTGCCAGAGGCGGCGTTGGGTTGCACCAGGTATATTGCAATATCTCTTTCCTACAGGGTTGTGCGCGGTGTTGCTAACAATCAAAACCGAGAAGAAAGGAGTCACTTATTTCACTTAGGATTATAGCTATGAACCAAACCCCTAATAGCAGCTCCACATCCAACACTTACTCAGTTCTATATCACCTATCTGGCTCGGTGCTGATATTTCCCAAGTTGGTGTATAAGTCTGAACGGAGCTGCATGGGAATCCACGGGAAAATGTGACACTTCCTCAATAATGAGGTGTTGTGTCACTAGTTAGGCAGTATGCTGTAATTCGAAAGACCTTGAACGCCAGGTTTAGTTCTGTCCATAGGCATCAAGACCAGTTTCGCACTTTTACTTGTAGCGGTAATATTGACCTCGAAGAGAACACATTATCTGTAAGTGAGTAGCGGAAGACATTTACATAATACAGTCCAATGTACATACCATTTGCAATAATGAAATACCGAGACTTGAGATTGTTACTAGTGCATTCGCTCTCATTTTTAAAAAAAACAACAAGCCCGCTAGTCTAAAATCCAAAAGGCCGGTTTACAAATGGCCACAAAGCCTGAACATGGCGTCCTGCTTTCGATAAGCGCATCATGCAAAGCGGCGATTGCTAGTTTTCCAATTCCGAGTTAATTTTTGGTGACGATCGAGAGGAGTTGTGATGATTATGCAGACATATACCATCTTTTCTTGATACGGCCAGCTCTCAACATGGAACACACCTATTTTCAGAGATGCAGTGATGACATACGTCCGACAGACCATATACAAAGCAGAAGACTTTGCAATACAGTAGGAGGAGATTTCGTTTAGCATGAGCATTAATGATGCGCGGGAAAAATTGTTCAACTCACATACAGAGCGCGCTTTATTCTGAGATGGGCAAATGGTCCAAATCAGTACTCTTGCGTCCGAGCCGTCTGAAACTGCATAAGGAAGCGGGACCCTTCACATCTCTAACTTCTCTTTTTGTAAAGAACTTTTCTCCATCAACCAAATCTCGGTGCGGAGTTTGCCTATCTTCATAGATTCGGAGAAAACGGATAGAATGTTATCAAGACACATGGCTGTCAAAAATGCATTGTGCATTTCGTCCTTTCAATGCCACTTCTCCGATTCACCAGGGACAAGTATCACAGAAACACATTTAAACGAATTCTCTTAAATCGAACTATTCGCTTACAGGAAACGAAGAGCCTGACAAAATATTGACATGCCTTATAACTTGTCATTGCAAATTTCGTCGTTACAGCTTCGGTTTCATACAACAGGATGTGTGTTTAAGCGAGTTGCGTTCATACATTCGAATGATAAGATTTTAACTTGTCGTATCGCCAAGAAGAACGTGGGTAACTTTTTTTAGACACCGAGATAGCAACGGTCGAGCAGTTGCTGCTTTAACATTCGATTCTGACTGCTTGGCGTACAGGGATATGATTGTGGCACTTTAAGGTTCATACAGGGTCCACTACCATCCAAGAATCAATTTAAAAGCACCGGTATTCAGGGGCATACTTCCTTATCAAATATTCGTTCCTTATGAAATTGCAAGAATCCCTTTGGCTGCTGGTGACGCTCCTTTGCGTCACTTGCATTCATGCCACCATTCTGCCTCAAATTCCCTCCTTAACCAACTTCAAAGAAGCCAAACATGCGACTGGATTCCAGCTCTCGTCCAAGACTGAGATTGTCGTGGATGCCAAATTCGCCAATGTAAAGGCAGACAAGCATTCACCATCTCTCCTGGATTATGCTCATACTTTCAGTAGCGATTTGTCTGAAATCGCTGGCCTCAAGTCTATCCGTGTCCGTACAGACTCTTCCAAGAACCAGAGAAAGTTCGGCAATGCAATCTATTTGACTGTACTCCCTCAAACCTTGGCTAAGAAGTACAAGTACCATAATGGTAATGCTACCGATGAGGCATACGAGCTAGACATCAATCAAGACATAATTAAGATTAGTGGATCTTCCGCGATTGGTACATTCTGGGGAACCAGAAGCGTACTCCAACAGGTTGCCATTCATCAGAAACAGCATTCCTCCCACGTAACTATTCCCGCAGGCAGTGGTGTCGACGTTCCTGGATGGGAAGTACGTGGATTTATGTAAGTTGTATGCTTCAATGCTGATTAGACCGATGGAAAACTTCTAACGCTTCATCGTAGGTTAGACGCCGGTCGGCATTGGTAAGAAGGCAGTTTAGTCATTCAGCCAGTTGGGGAGCTAGGCTAATACATTTTTGCAGGTTTGATGTCGAGTTTCTCAGCGATCTCTGTGTGTATGCCTCATTCTGGAAGATAAATGAATTCCATGTTCATGCTGTTGATAACTTGTGGAACCCTGCTTACCTCTATGGCCCAAATGCGCGAGTATTATTCCTATTCAAAGCTTTTCTATATGCACTTTTCATTGGAATCTGCTGACATTTCTTTTTTGGCAGTGAGTGGCAAAAGCTTTACGCAGGATTTCGCTTCCAAGCCGAACCAGGATCACCGTTGGAAGGTCTATCTCGACCTAAGAACGAGACGTGGAGCAAAAAAGATTTTCAATGGTTGCAATCCAAGTGTTTGAGCTACGGTGTCACTGTTGTTCCTGAGATTGAGTCTCCTGGACACGCTTTGGCTATAACACAATGGAAGCCAGAGCTCATGATCCAAGGAACCCCGGTAAGTACAGTGGGGCCATAGATTGACGGTAAATGGAACAACGTACTTACATGCCTGACATAGGATAATATGAACATTACTCAACCAGAAATGATTCCAACTATCAAGTCCATTTGGAAAGAATTTCTTCCTTGGTTCTATGGCAGCGAAGTTTCTATCGGAGCTGACGAATACGATGCCAGTCTGGCCAACGACTACATTGACTTTGTCAATACCATGGCGGACTACATTCATCAGCAATCTGGAAAGGTTAGTAGAGCAGACACTTTTAGACAGAAAGTAAAATTATTCATCTTACTGTTAACAGAGCATTCGAGTTTGGGGAACAAATGAGCCTAGCAAGGTAAGTCAAATTTGTGTATTGTCAGTACGTCAATTGGACAGTAACCAACAGGTATTATCAGACCAAAAAGATATCTACCAAAGTCACTATCCAACACTGGGATTTTCCAAGCGATGATATCCCAGTCAATTTGATGAAGGAAGGATATAACGTTATTGTAAGTAGTAGCTTACGCAATGTACACTGACGCGGCGTCTAAAGCACTAATAACAATGTATATGCTCATTTTTTCTTTTGACTGGTAGAACTCTGAGCAATCTTTCTTGTATTTGGATGGAAAATCGGTAAGGCTAGAAAACCTCAACATTTGTCTTTCGACTTGACTGGTTGGTTGAACTCAATGTTAATGCGCCATTAATAATTAGAGTGGCGAAACCAGCTTTCCACAAGAGTTGAATCAAGATATAATGTGGACCGGTGCTCCAGGTGGAAATGGCTGGGCTCCCAATATTTTCGACGCCAAGGATTCCAGTAACAACACTGCAGTTGATGAACCTCGCCTTCGCGGATCTATTATGGTATGAAAAACGATGATAAATTTGATTGTTTGCATTGACTGGCTAACCTTCATCCCAATAGCCTTTATGGAATGACTGGGGTAACAACGCTACCACCAAACTTGAGGTTTATTACTCCTTTGCTCGCAGTCTTGCCACGTTGGGCTTAAAGACATGGTCCGGTTCAGGATCGTCAGCCCTTACTCGCAGCGAGTTTGATTCGGTAAGTATTAGCAAACTCAAGTAATGCGTGTATCAAATACTGAATCAGCGATTTTGTACTTTAAGCTGTACCCGCTATTGAACCAGGTCGCACCAGGGCAAAACCTGAACCGAGTTGTAGCCAGTAAAGGCAAAACGGTTGTTAGTTATGACTTCAAAAAGACGAAGCATGGTCAAGTCACAGACAAGAGTGGAAATCACTACGAAGCAAGCGCTAAAAATGTCAAATTCAGTGATTCCGGCGCAACTTTTGAAGGCTCTTCCAAAAGCTATATCACCACCCCAATCGGCTCAATGGGTCCACCCTACACTCTCAGTTTCACTGTCAACCCTACCAGCTTGAGCGGTGTCCTGTTTTCAGGCACAGATTCAGTATTACTGGCCAATGACCTTACATGGAATGTTACAGGACAGCTCTATTCTTTGAATTACTCTATGCCCTTGCACAAGGCAACCAAGGTCGAAATCCACGCCACTAGAGAAGTTACATACGCTTACATTAACCAGGAAAAAACCCCTAGATATTGGTACACCGTCTTGGATATTTGGGGAGATTACATGCAAACAGCCAATATGTCCTTTGCCGCACCAATTCAAAAAATTGGAGCCGGATTTAAAGGTATCATTAGCAATGTTCAACTCTCACAAGGAGCTTGAAGCAATATGAAATAAATTGAAGTACTAGTATTTGGGAGCTTTATCATGGTTTCAATGTAAGATCGCCAGCTGTTCTCACTCGTGACCCTGTGCTGAGAAACCTTCCGCCACTTTTTTGCCGCATCGAACTCTTGGTTCTCTTTCACATTCTTTGTCATGTTGGATAACATTCTAGATTTAAATGGTCCATGGTTTTATGAGCCCGATACGAAACGCACTGTACTTCTTCGGGGAGTCAACTTGAGCGGCGGCGCAAAGCTCCCGAACGGCATTCCAACCCATGCCAAGGATGGATACTGGGTCGATTATGATCGCAACGTCAATTTTATCGGTAGACCTATGCCGCTTGAGGATGCTGATGAGCACCTAGGACGTATCAAGCAGTGGGGATTTAATTTCCTTCGCTTCGTCATTATATGGGAAGCTATAGAACATGAGGGCCCGTGAGTAGTTTTCAACCCGGCCAAGTAACTCCTACTTGAAAAAAACCTGATTAACCTGATTTTCGTTCAAAGTGGTATCTATGACACTGATTACATTGAATATATTATCCAATTGCTTTACAAGTGCAAAGAATATGATCTACGAGTATTTATTGACCCACATCAAGATTGTGTAAGTACTGAATCCTGTAAAAACCATCATTTCGCACATTAGGCTAACTTGTAAATATTAGTGGTCCCGTCAATGTGGTGGTTCTGGAGCTCCTGGATGGACACTTAGCTTGGTAGGACTGAATCCGTCGACTTTTCAGGTAACTGGAGCTGCCATTGTGCAAAACGTTTACGAGAACCCCGACACATTCCCAGCCATGATTTGGAGCACCAACTATGGAAAACTAGCAACATCCACCATGTTCACATTGTTTTTCGGTGGCAAATTGTTTGCACCAAATTGTATTGTTGACGACTTGAACATCCAAGATTACCTACAACAACACTTTATTAATGCAGTCATGCAAGTGGTCCACAGAATTCACAAGGAGGATAGCCACTTGGAGAATGTCCTAGTCACTGGTTATGATACCATCAACGAACCCAATGAGGGCTACATTGAGCTTGCAGATATTACCAAATTTCGGGATAAAGTAGACGATCTTAAGAAAGGGTGGACGCCAACGGCGTATCAAGGATTTTTACTGGGGTCTGGTATTGCAACCCAAGTTGAGGAATGGGACATGACATGGTCTGGACCGAAAAAGCAAAAAACCGTCCTAGTCGATCCTCAAGGTGTGCAAGCTTGGCTCTCGGAGGAGGATAGAAACCAAGCAGACAAAGTGTTTGGTTGGACACGATCTTCAAAATGGCAACCAGGGTGTATATGGGCTGCTCATGGTGTTTGGGACCGCAGTCAACAAACACCCGAAAAACTGAACTACTTTGCAGTTCATCCCAAAACTGGAGAGCCTATTGAGTTCAATCACTTGTGGATGGACCACATTCAAAAATTCGGCGAGGCTATTCGCAGCGTCCATAGCGAAGCTATACTGTTCGTTCAGCCGACTGTACTTTCATACCCCCCAGAATTTCCATCTACAATGAAACGACTGGCATATGTACCACACTGGTACGACGGACTGACACTGGTTCAAAAGACATGGAAGAATTATAATGTGGATGTCATAGGATTGAAGCGCGGAAAGTATGGCAATGGCCCACTCAAGTATGCTCGAGCACTACGAGTGGGTGAAAAGTCTATTCGCAAGTGCTTCCAGGAACAACTCGGAACGTTACAACATGAAGGCCGAGATCGAGTCGGCGAGTATCCTTGCCTGCTTGGAGAAATCGGCATCCCGTATGACATGAATAGGGTCTCTCCCTCATCCTCTTCCTCATACTTCTCGACCAATTTCATACAGACTGTTCTTTCTTACCTCTGCCTTGGCGCATTCCGCACTAGTGATGACGAGGAAATGATCAATAATCCAGCCTCGCCCCAAAATAGAGCCATGGATGCATGCCTCAATGCTTTAGAAGGAAATCTATTGAATTATACCCTTTGGACTTATGTGCCAGACAATTCACGAAAGTGGGGTGATAGATGGTGCGGCGAAGATTTGAGCTTATGGCAGCGTGGCCATGACGGTACCAATGCAAGAGACATCCCTGCCATACATCGACCCCATCCTAGAAGGACGGCAGGCGTTCCCAAGAGTATTGAAAGCATCCTTGCCACTGAAAAGCAAGCTGCCACCTTTAAATACTCGTGCATTCCCACTCTTGACACAAAGCACCCTACCGAGATCTACGTTCCCGAAACATACTTTCCTGCTGCACTTACAAGTGTTACTGTTTCTACCGGTACATGGGAAGTCGGTGAGCAAACAGACAACTACTGGATCATTCACTGGCGTCCAGTTTGGAGCGAAGAGGCTTGTACTATTACGCTTACTGGCGTAACTTTTAACCAATCTGCTCGATGATTTATAAGAAGAGTCCCCATTATTTGTGCAATAAAGTCTGAGTGTTTTCTTCGATATGCTATTATGTGTTTGGCATATCATGTCATGGCATTAAGTTAAATTATTTTTATTCATACAAACGCATAGTTATGTGATCTAGCCTTGCAAGTTGATGCACGATTACATGACGTAACTTTCGTTGAATGGGATGGTATATGGGTGTATCAGCAGCAAGTTACTAGTTTTACCAGGCCCACTGTTACATGCTAATCCAGAGGACGGCTTTTGTCCATCATTAGTGGAAACCCATCTTTCGCGATACAGTTATTTCAAATTCATGGGATATTTGCTCTGAATCACCGCCGGAGGAGACAAAAATGGTAATGCATGAAAACATAGTCCACTTACCGAACGCATGGATGTCTCTAAGATGGTAGGCTTTCAGAAGAAACGACGTTAAAATTCACGACGCAACGGTATCTAATAACAGTCTGGTGCTGCTCAGCTTCAAAAGCACTCGGCTTTCTGTACGTGAAAGGCAGCCAAAAAATGGGAAGGATGACGTACAGAGGTGGTGTGTTGTGATTTTAATTCCCGCTCGCCAAATGTGACCATTCACGCAGCAACCCTTTGCGAAGCTCACCTTTCTATCTACCCATTCTAGCATCCGTATAGGTAAGATGATCAGCCTCATCCATTCTACGATACATCCATCCATGCCGCGTCGACCACCGCCAGATGATTCCATCCTTTCGATGATGGAAGGATGGAAAGCTACGGCACAGATTCATAAACCACATTCTGCGGCAGGATGATAAGCACGTAATGCGGAGCCCATGTCTCATAATTTCCTGCCTCTCCATTTCAACAGATCACTATGGCTGATACAACTCCTAACTTCAAGCTCGTCCTTGGTAAGTAGCAACGTCACGTAACGCTGGGTCAAAAAACACGTCCAATTCTAAACATCTGAACCTTACAGTTGGTGACGGTGGTACCGGTAAGACTACTTTCGTCAAGCGTCATTTGACCGGTGAATTCGAAAAGAAGTATGTTGGTAAGTACTCTCCCAGCACCTATGTTTATGTATTCGTGTTTCTAACAAAGCCGAACCTTTAGCTACCCTTGGTGTTGAGGTCCATCCTTTGACTTTCCACACCAACTTTGGTGCCATCGTCTTCAACACCTGGGATACCGCTGGTCAGGAGAAGTTCGGTGGTCTCCGTGATGGTTACTAGTAAGCATCTATAGACTTTGATTGGTTTTGACGTTGGTTGCCGTGTCTTATATTTTCTTTACTACTTTCTAGTATTCAAGGACAGTGCGCCATCATTATGTTCGACGTCACCTCCCGTATCACATACAAGAACGTTCCCAACTGGCATCGTGATCTCGTCCGTGTCTGCGAAAACATCCCAATTGTTCTTTGCGGTAACAAGGTCGATATTAAGGAGCGCAAGGTCAAGGCAAAGACCATCACATTCCATCGCAAGAAGAACTTGCAATACTACGATATTTCTGCCAAGTCCAACTACAACTTCGAGAAGCCTTTCTTGTGGCTCGCCCGCAAGTTGATCGGTAACCCTAACCTCGAGTTTGTTGCTGCACCCGCCCTCGCTCCTCCTGAGGTCCAAGTTGACGACAACTTGATGCAACAATACAACCAGGAACTCGAGCAGGCTGCCGCACAGCCCTTGCCAGAGGAGGACGATGACTTGTAAATTCCTTACAGTGGAGTGTTAATACAGTAGTTTTTATGATAAAATCAATAGGAAATGGGCTCTCCAACTTGGTGTAGCTTATTATAGTCGTGAACTAGATCCCACAATGTAGTGTTGTTCCTTTGTCAACCCACCTCTTTGAAGGATTGGTATAGGTCCGATAAGAACAGAATAAATACCTTTAGCCATATTTTTTTGCCTGGTTTAGTGCATAGATATGGAGTGGTTGGTCTCTGGAGCGTTTTTAGTTGTTTGGTAGCTGTAGATGTGGCCATGGTCGCTCATTCTTGGAAGGTCATGCCGAATGCCTAGTCATGGCTTAGGAACACAGGCATAAAGTGGAAATTGGTCCTTAGACACTTTAAAACCCCGCCATCCGCCAACATTGGTCGCCAAATCATCTATTCCCGCCTTGCCAGCACTCTTCACTGCAGAAACGGTGTATAAGACTATGCAAACAACAGTATAAACATTTTCATATGAAAGTTTTAAATCATAATGTTCGGTAAGATGATAAACTGATACAAAGTCGCTTTGTATCAGTTTAAGTAGAGAATATTGAAATAGTGTATCTACAGCATGACAACATGAACCACCATATTCCAAGTGTTAGTTAAACTTCGTGTAGTATAATTCTCATGTATCTCTATATCTAGCTATTCTAACATGATAAGCAGTTGATACTGTTGCATTGGTGCTTCTGTAATTCACCATATACAGCAACCAGGAGGATCCCCAGGCTTACTGATGCAGCAATATGTGACAGCTACATACCCAAACATTGAAGAAGTACTTGACGTTTTTTCTTGTGTGTATTGAAGCAAAGTACGAATAAAATGGCCTTGGGAGCTATATTATGAGAACCATAAAGTTAGAGCGTGGGGAAGGTCATGAGTCAGCAACAATGAAACTCTCAGTCCTCAAAATATAAAAGCCGCTATTTGTTGCCAAAAATGTGGAGATTCTAAGTGCTATAACAAACGTTACATATAATGTCTTCATCCTACAAAGTCGATGTCGAAAAGGCTGTTGGCCATGAGAGCGCACCCGAGAAGGTATGGCAATGGAACGAGCATCGTCTCGGGCATTCTGCGATTATACTAATTCGGTAAGCCTTCCTGTAGGTCTCCTTCAACAGACGTGACCTTTTGCTTTACGCCTTGGCTGTTGGTGTCAAGGAAGACGAGCTTCAGTACCTTTATGAACTTGGTAAGTACCTCCGTTGCCACTGAGAGTTTCCAGCGCGAAACCCCACCGAGAATCCCCCGGCTAACTCTTGGTTCCTAGACCCCAAATTCACTGGTCTTCCCTTCTACCCCATCGTCTTGCCCTTGAAGGGTTCCGGATCTGACATCAACTCCTACAAGGAACGTTCCAGCGGTGCCCCCACTCCTGGTATTCCTCCTTTCGATGGTAACAAGCTTGTCCATGGTGAACAATCACTCGAAGTCATCAACCCAATTCCCACCAATGGTGGCGACTTCATCGTCCAGAAGAAGCTCACCGGTGTGTATGACAAGGGCTCTGGTATGGTCCTCGAAAGCACTGCTACCATGACCGATGCCTCAGGCAAAGTATACACAAAGATGGTGTCCAAGGCATTTGTTCGTGGATATGGCGGTTGGAACGTAAGTGTCAGCCAGGCAATTACACAGTGTTAGTTGCATATGACTTACCGAGCAATGCGTTATAGGGTCCCAAGGGTCCTAAGCCAGTGAGCAGAGCTCCTCCCAAGCGAAACCCCGATGCCGTCGACACCTTCAAGACCGGAGCCAACCAAGCTCTACTTTACAGATTGTCTGGGTACGTGATTGTAAGGTGATACTAAAATATAGGCACACATACTAAAGCCTGTCCCCGTTTTTTAGTGACTATAACCCATTGCACGCTGATGTCGAGCTGGCTCCTCGCGTTGGTTTCCCTAAGCCCATTCTCCATGGACTTTGCTCCTTCGGTATCTCCGCACATGCTATTCTTAAGGCACTTGGCGAGAACGATGCCTCCCGCTTCAAGAGCATCGAAGCTAGATTTGCCAGCCCTGTTTTCCCTGGTGAGACCCTCGAGACCTACATGTGGAAGGTAGACGGCCCCTCTGCCGGCGAAGAAGGTGTCATCTTCGTTACCAAGGTTAAGGAGAGAGATATCGTGGTTATCAACAACGGTTATGTTGTTTTGAAGAAGGCTGCTGGACAATCCAAGTTGTAATATAGTCTACTGAGAAATACTCCTATTAAATCCCACCTTTTTGTAAATCCAGATTTTATGGGGACCTGGAGATGTACACTTGTTGAGGTTGGCAAATTGGGGGGGGGGGGTTTATTTAATGTTTCATCTGCACGCTCTATTTTACAAAGGTTGGTTTTCATATCTTCAGTCGAAGCATATATACATAGGTTCTATTCATAACGTTACAAGTCCAGAAGATAGCTTTCGTGACCGCGTCATCATCCCATCTGCCCAAGTACTTAACGGGACCGCTCATGGGGACGGTATGAATCAACATACCAGTTCGTACGTCAATGACTTCCACGGACTGCGATAAAAATCCAATGATGCAGAGTTGCACGCTGGACGAAGGCGTGATTTTGGCAAATTCAATATGCAATGGCTCTTCAGACCAGCTGTAAACCGTTCTACTAAACAATGAGCCAGATAAATCGATAATGAAGCTATGTCGAGCAAGCGTGGCTAGAAATAACTGTGGAGCGGCGGTGGAAGGCAAAGCTACTGGATCGTGAAGTGCATCGAGCGGTTCGCCGGCCACCAGTGAATAAGGCGGTGGTACCGAGTATTCTTCAGTCAATGAGGTGGGAGGTAGGGTATCTGGGTAGAAAGGAAGTTGTTTGAGGGAGTTCCACGGTAGCGTCGTGTCTGAGCGAGAGGACCTGCCATGGTGTTCGTTTGAACTGGTATTGGATGGATGTGGAAGGTTTTGTTTCTCCAGCACGTGGTATTGATCTGTCACAGGCTGCTCGAGCTTAATGATTTGCACTTTGCTCGTTCTTAAATTGATAACCGTCGCCTCATTACGAAACACGGCAAGTACGTATCGTAACGTCGAGCGATCATCGGCGAGAGACAAACTACGAGGTTCGGCGGGTATCCAGAAGACCTTGATCCGCTGCCATGGTTCAGACTTTGCATTCCGAGCACGCTGCCATATGGCTACCTTTTCCTTTGTCACCACGGCAATGAAAGCAGATGCAGTGGTCAGATATAAATCGAGATCCGACACATCCTTACAATCGGGAATTTTGAAGAAATAGTCTTGAGGGATGATACCCCTATAAAGATAATATAGCTTTCCCAAACCCGATCCTCCAGCCAGTGTGAGCGACGATGGATCTTTGTTGTACATTTGTTTATCTTCTTTGGGCGTATCCAATGGTTGTGGCTCAGCAGTTTGAGTGGGTTCTGGTGGTTGACTATTAATAGTATTGCTCTCGGAGGGAGCGCCACTCATGGTGTTGTCGGACATGGACCTTCTTGCTGAATCAGACGTCGTCGTGGCAGCTCTGCGCCAAGCTTGACTATCCGGCACATCATGAAGTAAGTCTTTCCTTTGCGACCAATTTAGTCTTAGGACCCCGTAACAAAGAATCAAGATAGCGTCGAGAGAATAGCAGCGGACTTGTCGGTGGCGACTTGAAACGATCAAAATCGTTCGACACGACTCAATGACCTTGATACACCGTACACGTGTCCAAATGATGGTCTTGGGCGGCGCCGGGTTTAACAAATCAACTAACTGGAGACTATCAGAGCAACCGAGTAATAAAAAGCGATCTTCAAGTACACAGCACGATGAGTAAGGTACAGAATGAGGGACATTGGGACCATTACAAGCTAACAGAGCTAGCTCAAATGAAGGCATGGTTTCGGCAGTATAGGTAGGTGGGAATGAATGTTCGGGAACAGGAGGAGGTGCATTGGGATCATAGTCAAGTGGCAATGGAGGTAAAGCGTACATAGAGAGTGTAACGGGTCAGACCAAAACGGGACTAACAAATAAGCGGTTTCTTTTACAAGGTCTTTCTTGGACCGGGGAATTCTAAACGACGATGTAAATGATACAAGATATCCAAATAATCAGCTTCAGTATCGGCTGTTATAAATGAGTGACGAATCAAAAAGTCGACAATGACTAGGATGAAAAGGATGCAGCCAAGAAAAAAAGAATTAAGGGGACATTGACGATAAGGTTAGAACAGGCTAATCGTATCCATATTTTGCACAAAAACCCACTTACCAAGAGCACAGTTCAGCTTGAATTCTCCATCAAGTATCTTCTGATTGATCTTAACAACAAACGTGTTATTACATGGTCCTCCTACTACAATGCACGCAAGCTTATATGCCATACCTCGTCCAAAGTCCAAAGATAGAAGCACTCGACTTCACCGTCCTGTGGCTTTGGAGTCACGTCGCTAGGCAGTTCGAGATCAAAAATGTATTGTGTTTCCGGTTGAAGTCCATTCTCAGAATAGGTGAAGTAGGTGATGGCTCCGCAGTTACGTGACTGAAAATGCTGTCAGGTACGCCGTAGGATCGAACTTTTACACCCGCTTTAACCCTACCTTTTCTGCAATATGCTGGGGAATACTAGCTTCTTCATCGCATTCTTTCACCATAGTCTGATGAGTAGAGTATTTATAGGTAATTCCACCGGCGACCTGCAGAGATAAATCACTGTTACCTAATGTGTTTCGGCTCAGATGAATTAACAGACACTGCAATACATACACAATTATCCAGATACCCAGGCCATGTTTGCTTGGTCTTAGAGCGGCGGGCAATCCACATTTTGATTGTGCCGTCCTCTTCCTTGGTGTAAGCATTGAGATGACAGCCGAAGGTGGATATACCAAAGATGGGAGTAGCTGCTCTTTCCATGACAAACGCGACATTGTCTTGGCGGGAAAGATCTCCGTAAACAGGATACAATTCATTTCTCCAACCTGTTTGCACCCGGTGTAAAAATTTAAAATGGCCATTCTGACAGCAACGTGGATAATTTACTTACCAGCCAATGCCACAAAAGCCTTTTCCTCTCTCCATGTATCGAAGAGAGCCTTCACCACCTCTGTGCGTTTTTCAAAGGAATCAACCCCTGATGAAAAGGTTATATGAGAATCCTTTATTTCGAAAGGAGAATTGTCGAAGCGGTCGTTGTACTCCTTCAGCTTGGGCACGGTAGACGGCAGCAATCGACCAACTACATGAGGACCAAGACGGAATGGAATGGTGGAATGGTATTCGCTGGTTGAGATGGATTCATCATAGGGGAATTTGTCGCAGCTCTGAACTACCTCTAGCAAATTCTTGAATGGCATTTTCAAGAGACAAACAGACCGTGACTAGGAGCCGGATTTTTTGGCGTGCTATCAAAAGTCAGCTTTCCCTCAGTCATTTAGCGACGTAGGCTTTCTACTGAAAAACCATTCGAACCTAGGTTCTGACTTTGACACCTCGCTACGGGTTCAACGTTAGAATTTATGTTCAAGTTTACCTGTTCAACAGGCTGCTTCACCCTTGATACAATGGGTTCAGTCACAGGCTGAGTTAAGCAATGTGAAAATTAAAAAAAAACCTAACAAACCCTAGTTGCTTGTCCGAAGCAGCGCTTTCTTCCCCACAAAGCAGAATGGTGGAAAAATTACATATTAGCTACAACCAGATTCACGAAAGCTTGCGAAGTGCCGTCATTCGACATCGCATCAATGAAGAATTCCAACCGGATATCATGATCGCTATAGGTGGCGGTGGGTTCATTCCTGCAAGAATATTGAGAACTTTCCTCGAGAAGCGCAACAACAAGAACATTCCAATTCAAGTATGGGCATTGGAGTAGTCATTTTGACATGCCTCTTCCCGGTATATGATTATATTAATGCAGTTTATTAAATAGGCAATTGGATTGTCGCTCTATGAAGAGCTTGAACAGTACGATAAGGAAAATGAACAGCTTCAGAACCAAAGAACAGATAGCGGCAGTGTTACACCTTCTGTACCTCCCCCTCCTCAAGTCACCAAGACTCAATGGCTCAACTTTGGTGGAAGTGACTCTCTTGCCAACCTTGCTGGACGTAATATTCTGATTGTTGACGAAGTGGATGATACTAGACAGACATTGAGTTATGCTGTGCAGGAACTTTTACGTGACATTGAGAAGCAGGAAAAAGCCACTCCCGGTCATAAACCCACTAAGCTCGGTGTTTTTGTCCTTCACAACAAGGTCAAGCAAAAGAAGGCTTCCCTCCCTGATGATATCATGAAGAACTACTTTGCTTGTGTTGATATGCCAGACCATTGGCTCGTTTACCCATGGGATGCTATCGACATTGAAGAGCACACCGAAAAAGCCAACCGCAAGGAATTAGTAGATGAATAGTTTAGATTGAAGTTGTAACACTAATAGAACATGGCAGGCTGATCCCTCCAGAAATCGCATAACAGCTATGCGATTTGTTAAAACTACTTGCAGAGATCTGAATTTGAAACTGGGTAATTGAAGAGCAAGCCAAAAGATAGCATCAGAAGGCATTGGCCTTCAATGTCGAGCTGACAAGGAGATGAATGAATCTGACCCAGATATTGCCTGCGCAATGCCCATCTCTATTTATTTTATTTTGTTATTATTATACATGAAAATGCTGCTGTCTGCATGGCAACAGAGTCGCGATACCTAGTCTTGTATCTACCAAGCTCTCATACCACCACTACCTCGGTATTTCTAGAAAAAGAGAAATGTTCAGCATATATGGATGTCATATCAACGGAACCTGCCCTCCAGATAGAAGAATTCTTACCATTCTACCCCGTCCCTTATACTTGACAGTTGGCTCTCCAGAAGATAACCTGCTATTGATATCATCTCCTATGGAACGACGTCGTTCCCATTCAGGGGTGTATTCCCGTCTCTCTCTTCTTTCTCCTCTATCGTCCGAACGGTGCTCTGGTATGTCATTGCTAGGTCGACGTCGGTCATCTCTATCCTTTCGCTCTGGTGATCTTGATGGGCTTCTACGTGATTCACTGCGTGGTGGCAAATCTACCGACGTATCGCGGTGTCTTGTGCTCTTGTTACGACTGTCACTTTCAAAATCTGATTCGTCCTCATCACGATGACGATGAGAGCGCTTCTTCTTAGACTTTCGATCCTTTTTCGACTTTTTGCTCTTCTTTTTCTTCCTGTGACGCCTTTCTTCCTCCTCAGAGTCAGACTCGCTTTCAGACTCTTTTCTAGATCGTGATCGCTTACGATCCTTGTCGTCACCGCTCTCCTCTGAAGCAGATGCGTCTTCAATTTCCTTCTTCTTCTTCTGACGAACTTTATAATGTATAAGTAAAAAAAAAAGGGGGGGAGGGAAGATACAGAGGTGTCACTTACTTTTGACGCTAGGTGGGAGCTGAAGGACGAGCTCACCGCAGTTCGCAATCATGACCAGCTGCAGAGGACGATTGTTTGTATCTACCGGCTGGTTCTCCATGGTCTCAACTATTTCGTAGCCGGAAACAACGCGACCAAAGACAACATGTTTTCCATCCAAATGTGGTGTTGGCCGTGTTGTGATGAAAAACTGAGAGCTTTGAGTATTAGGTCCACGGTTGGCCATACTTAGCAAGCCCTGAGTGGTATGCTTTCGCTTAAAGTTCTCATCAGGAAAGGTTGCACCGTAGATAGATTCTCCTCCGCTTCCATTGCGTCTAGTGAAATCTGGAAATGGTTGCTATTAGCCATGCGACATGGCTATGATTTGAATGTTGTAATAACAAAGGTACATACCTCCTCCTTGGCACATGAAGCCTTTAATGATGCGATGAAAGATAGACCCACGGTAGTGAAGCGGCATGTTGCTAACCTTTCCTAATCCCATTTCACCGGTGCAAAGGGCGCGGAAGTTCTCTGCCGTCTGCTCTACTTCATCTGCAAAAAGTTCAAACACGATTCTGCCAACTGTCAAGTAGGTAAGTCCAACGATCGATCAAATGAGAAAGAGAGCGATTGAATATAACAGGATCCTTACGTCTTTGACCATCAATGTCAATGTCAAAAAAGACTCTAGGATTTATGGGCATTGAATGTCAAGTAATGCGCTGAATAGAAAACTTTCGATCTCCCAAAAAAAATTGCTTGCCTTTATTCCACCTCCACAATGGCACACGTCGAGACATCAGTAATGATCAAGCTCGCCTTGTTCACAACGGCCATGTTTTCTCTTCCTATTCTTACTTACTTCCAGACGGTTGATCGAATCTTTGATGGTATGTAATATTCGCCCTTGTCTCGCCTATACTATTTTCCACCGCTAACTTTTCATCTCATAGGCAATGCCTCGTATGCAGCCGGATCGGCCGCAGTAGTAGCCAATATAGTGCTGTTCTCGTATATCATTGTTGCAGCATTAGAAGACCCCATTCCAGAGGAGAAGCCAAAGGAAGAATAAGTCGCGATACTGACTCATACGCAATCATCGAGGACATTTCTTTCCACTGCCTTTTCATCGATGAACTCACTGAGTGTTTGACGCTCAGGAAACCAATATCTGTAAATATATAGATCCATTTGCTTACATTTGTCCAGTCATCAGTATGATCTCCCTTTTCTTGCCATGCCTATTACGCAACCTAGGTGGTCGTTCACTGCTGCAGACTGTGACACATAGGATCAATACCTTAAAAGATACTACCTGTCAATCAATTAAAAAAAAAAAAAGCCGCCTATAATACTTTTCAAATCTAGTTTATATGTCCAGGATGTTTGATGAGGGTTATAACAGCAGCTGTGAGAACAGTGGTGGTTCTGGAAAGATTGGTCAAACCAGCGCCTCAAGGCAGGAATTATATCAAAGTGCCTATCTTTTTATTTGATTGCTTTGCAAAATGACTATTGACTCAATGTATCTTCTTGCTAGAGACATGCTTGAGGAAGCCGCAGCAATCCTCCCGATATTGGTCAGACTACGCGTTCCATCTACCGACAGTCATTTTGGGACTTGCTTCTTCGGCCTATTCGGCCGCCGAACTTACGTGTCTGATCAGCCAGGTTTTGCCGATATACCTAGCTGTTTCATACCGAATGTAGGAAAGATCCCTCACAATCTTGCTTCATTAAAGCTTCAGTACAATGTCGACTGCTTGGAGAAAAATCGGTGTGCCGGTTACCAAGGAAGAAGAACCAAAAAGATATCGCTGGACTGCTGAGCAAATTTTACAACAGTTGCCACAAGAGTATGCAGTTCAAGGCAAGGTCTATATGGTTACTGGTGGTCACTCTGGAATAGGATACGAAACCACTAAGGCCTTCGTGGCCAATGGCGCTACCGTTATTATTGCTTCCCGAAGACAAGCTGCAGTGGAAGAAGCTATAAGTCGCATCAAGTCCGAGTATCCTGATGCAAACATGATCTTCTTACAACTGGACCTTTCGGACTTGGACAAAGTCCAACAATGTGTTCGTGACTTTGAAGCTACTGGACTACCGTTACATGGACTGGTATGCAACGCTGCGGCGCAAATCATAGGGTTTGAATACACCAAGCAAGGGTTTGAAATGCAATTTGGAACAAATCACGTCGGCAACTTCTTGCTTATTCAACTCTTGGTTGATCACCTTGCTAAATCCGGACCTCATTCACGCATTGCCTTGGTGTCTTCGGGGGCGCACCGCACTTCGCCAGTTAGATTTGATGATCTGGATTTCCAAGGTGGTAAAGTGTATGACAAATGGCTATCATACGGGCAAAGTAAAAGTGCGAATATCATATGTACTAGAGCACTTAACGATGCCTATGCAGCCAAAGGTGTTGAGGTTTTTTCACTTCATCCAGGTTCGTATTTCGGAAATTACAGAAAGCGTTTTGCGATATGCTAACCTAGAGGTAAATGCAGGAGGTATCCTCAGTGGCTTAAGTACGCTTGGTCCGGAGCTGGCGCTGCAAATGGGATTCATAAACGAGGTGGGCGAGAGCCATCCTGGGTTGAAAACATGCTCAGAAGGCGCTGCTACGCAAACTTACGCTGTAACATCGCCAGAACTTGAAGGCCAAGGCGGTGCTTTCCTCAAAGATTGCGAAATACAAGATCCAGAGACTGAGTTTACGCAGGACAAGACAGGGGAGAATGGCAAGCGACTTTACGAGTTATCCCTCCAGTGGGTGGAGCCTTATATGAAGTAAGGAATGAACCGCGGGTTCATTTTAGAGGCTGGCGTTTGTGGAGGTAAAGTCTCACCAGACTAATAAAAACTTTTTTATGTCGATGCTATTCACACTGTGCATACGCCGTGAGAACGAAGGCAATTTCAAGTGGGGTCATGACTTATTTAAACAATGTAGCATCGACCACCTCCGTTAACTTGATTGTTTGAACAGATTGTTCAAAAGGTAAACAAAGGCTCCGACAAATATTTGGCGGGTTGGAAAGACGCGGTATGGACTAAAAAACCGGGCAAAACACTGACCCCCCCCCCAACAACATGGTGACTCCACAATTGGGAAGGGATTTACAAGTGTGGGCAGACATTTCCCAACTGTATACCGCAAGGGCTTTTGACAAGATTGAGCACATTAAAAATACGAATAGCACGACACGGCAGCACCATATGTCCAACGTGTGGACTGGGTGATTTTACCTACCAACCAGACGACACAAGCTTAGTGCAAGATGGCTGACGTGGACGATGAAATACTAGGAGCGGTGAGAATATCTGATGATCAGGGACAAACAATATTGATAATTTTATAACATGTGGTTTCTCACAAGCTGTGGTACCACTTTACCGCGCACACGACGTTGCTCCATAAACTGTCCCACATGGTATAATACGCCAATTGGCCAGATGGTTACATGAGCACCAAAACTTGTCACTCAAGATTCCAGACCAGACTATCCAAATAAAAAAAAAAGGTTTTTCAAACTAACCGAAAAATGGTTTACAGACAGTCGAGAAAACGATAAAAGTATTGGTTCTTAGAAATAGAGCTTAAAAACAGGTTACTTTGAGGCTATTCATTTCGCACCAGTCAGAATCACTGCACAACATCAATGTGAAAGTTGTATTCAATAGTATGATATTGGTATTTCACGGCAAACCTTTGAGTAAAATGGTAATGGAAAATACAAAACTCCATTTTTCAGTGGCCATATCATGGATAGAACAACGGATGCTTCCCTGTTTTGTCATCTATTCTCCACACAAACCGGTTGATGGCCATTACGAAAGATTGCCTATTGTTCCTTTCACGCCGGTGTGCCATCTTGCCTTCCTGCCACGACATGATTTACTCTATCCGTGCACAATAGCTATGACGCCAATTCAGCGAGGTTCCAGTGGAAATTCGGTAACAGCAGAAGGCAGTTTAACACAGACATAACAGATGCCTGGTCCCCCACCTCCTTAAAAAAATTTTGGGCCGCACTGTATTGAATTTTGAAATTGTCAAAGTACCTTTAGCAAATACCGTCGTCGCCGTCGGTCGGCCCACTTGAAACGGCGCTTGGCCAGCATGTACAACCCTACTTCGCCTCGTTAACAGTATTGGCAAACCAATGAGCGAGCATACAAATTGAAGCACCTTACCTGCTTTTGTATTTGTTAAAATTCCATCACAAGCCCCGCTTTTTGTGTCTCATTTGAAAGTGAAGTTGGGAGACCGGTGAAAAAAATTCTCAAAGGAGTACAGGCGGCCATTTCAACCGATTTGGGCCAAGCGGCCGCATCGCATCGCATCAGATCAAAACATTGCGAAAAGTGAAAAATGAGTTTGGGTGGGTGGGGGAAAATAGTAATTCTTATTCCATAAAAAAAAGCCTGATATTATTACATTTATAAAGAATGGTTTTATATAAGTTTATCCAGGACTATATTAACTGGTTAGAATGTCAAATAAGTAATTATGGGTTTGCGTATGATAATTATTTCAAATAATTTCATGGTGACAAGATCATGATAAAGATTGGAATTCAGGAAGATGAGTTTTTTAGATAGCTTCCTCCTTGTCCAACTTCTCAGCATCCATACGGTGGAGTTCACCAGCATAGGTGGTGGTGGGCTTCCAGCTAGCAGACTTTCTGGGAGAGACTTCATCCATCATTCTGTCAACTTGTTCAAGAGTAAGACCCTTGGTTTCAGGAACGAGGAAGTAAGAGTAGACCAAGCAGCAGAGGCAAAGGGATCCCCACATGAAGAAGATCTTGGATTGCAAGTTAGCCTTGTCGGCACCGACCAAGTAAGGAGTGATGACAGCAATGATGCAGTTCCACAACCAGTTGGAGGCAGTGGAGAGAGCAACACCACGGGAACGGATGGGAAGAGGGAAGATTTCACCAATGACAACCCAAGCGGCGGGACCCCAGGTGGTAGCGAAGCAGAAGATATAGATGGCAATGAAAGCAATCTGAGCATTGACGGCAGAGATGTTGACGGGAACGGAAGCACCGGCAGCGTTAACGTAGGTCTTGTCGAAACCGATGGTGACACCGATGATACCGACGAGGAATTCACAGATGGTCATACCAATGGCACCCCAGATGAGCATAGAACGACGACCGAAACGTTCGACGAGCCAGAAAGAGATAGGAGTACTGCAGACGTTGACGAGAGTGAAGATAAGAGAGATCAAGAAAACGTTGCTAATGGCACCAGTGGATTGAAGGAAAGGAGTGGAGTAGTAAAAGACGAAGTTGACACCAGTCCATTGTTGCATCATTTGAATGGAAGTACCGAGAATGACTTTGCGGACGTTGGAGTTGGCCTTGAAGAGGGAACCGCTGAAGCAAGCAGCCCATGAACCAAAGTAACCAGTGTTGGGAATGACACGACGTTCATACTCAGCGTTAGCAACAATTTCAGACAATTCAGCATTGATGTACTCAGAGTCAGAGGGTTGACCACGAACACGGCCCAAAGCGACACGAGCTTCATCAATCTTTCCCTTCTTGACGAAGAAACGGGGAGATTCAGGAAGGAAGAAAAGACCAACACCGAGAATGAGAGCCCACAACATTTGGAGAGCAATTGGGATACGGTAAGAGGAAGAGTCAGTGAAAGTCTCGGTAGCGTAGGTAACGCAAGCAGCCAACATAAGACCGATGGTAACGCAGAATTGGTAACCGGAGACGATGGCACCACGGAAAGCCTTGGGGGCAATTTCAGACATGTACAAAACGATGATAGCAGAGACGAAACCAACACCGAAACCAGCAATCAAACGACCAGCGACAAGAAGACCGAGACCAGCGGAGGCAGTCTGGAGGATAACACCAACGATGAAGACACCGCAACCAAGAATAATAGTCAAACGACGACCGAACCAATCAGCAAGATCACCAGCAATGACAGCACCAAAGAAGGTACCGGCAGAGAGAATAGAGACAATGAGGGATGATTCCCAAGATTGGAGGGAAGTAGCATCGGGTCCATCAATCATCTTGATGAAGTACTCCATACCCTGAACACCACCGATATAACCAGAGTCATAACCGAAGAAGATACCACCGAAGGAAGCAAAGACGCACATAGCGTATGTTCTCCAGGTGACGGGAGCTTCGACGCGATCAAGGCCAGCATCTTGAGCAACAGCTACGTTTTCAGTGTCTTTGGCAGCGCTCATTGTGAAGGATAGAAGACAAAAGCAAAGATGATATTCTCTTTTACAGCAAATTTTTGATCCCCTTTTATACCAATGTTGCAGAGAAAATATGTGGGAAAGGTGGCAGGTGGCGGGTTAGCGGGGTGAGGTGGATGTGGAGGGTGGGGGGGAATGGGGGGTGGAATCCCAAGACGGGTCCCATCTTTCCTTTTTTTTTTTCAAACCGCCATCTCCCGTCCAACCTTGCACAAAAGCTGGAGAAGGATACTCCACACCCCCACCAAACAACCACAAAAAAAACTCATTATTGGCTAATTGGGGATACCATGCAAATGTCCTTTTCTTGACGCAAACGCTTTTCTCCATCAATAGATCAATGTACATCTCCCAGTGATCTGAACATGGTCAGTTCCGAGGTTCAGTATCGTAGCGTTTAAAGGTACGCCACTCTGGAGTAATCGTTATAACCAGTCATTTTGACCGTACGCGAAAGGATCTAGATGTGAGCGACAAAAAAGCTTATTAGATGTCTCTCCAACCAATAGGATTCGACTTTACGGTCTTTCCCCACCTAGTTTTTTTTCTCATGTGTACTGAGCTGTATTGCAAAAGAGGATGTTTATAGTAAAGAGGTCCTTACGGAGTCGTTAAATTCGGCGGCCGCCAAAAAGATGTACGCTCTCACTCACCAATGGTTGCTATTGGTTTCAGGTACAAACTGCTGCATTTAGAATATAACGAACCAAGCGTATTGCATGTTTTTTTGTTTTTTGTACCTCAATCTGCTTAGCTTTAAGGCACGGTCTGGACGATCCTTGATTTAGGATCTTGCGCTTATCAAAACAGTATTCAGAGCATAAATCACTCTGTCGACCGGCCTGAAACAGCTAATCGTGAAATAGCTTCAAATTCAGTTACCTGGCCAAAGCATAAAATGTCAAATCTCGGTTGGTGAGATGGGGCTGACGGCATTGCGAAATGAAATGAAAAAAAAAAAAAAAAAAAATCTCCCAATTACATTGCATTCACGATTCGTATGGCACTAAACATGCATATATCAAGATCCCTTTTTCACTTCTTGACGCTCGTCTTCAAGATGTTTATACTGATCGTCCGTTCTCCATAAATTGCAAGCAGTGTTGAGTTTTGCATGTGGAAATGTTAAAAATAGGAACCCCCTTTCATCATTTTGCATTGGAAAACGGGTATATCACTACAAAGGTGTTTGATCTGAAAGTTTTGGCTCGCACAGGTATACACCAAAGATCATTAACATGAAATAGTTTGACTTAAAATCCAAATGTTATTGCAGAATAAAAGAAATCGTTTATATAAGTTTAAACAGGGACTATAATTATGTCAAATAGGGTAATAAAGGAGTTTTGCGGATGATGATTATATCAAATAATTTTTCATTTTACAATTACATGAACAACTTTTTGGTTCGAGGAAGACATAATATTTAGATAGCATCCTCCTTCTCGGACTTTTCACCTTCCATACGGTGGAGTTCACCAGCATAGGTAGTGGTAGGCTTCCAGCCAGCAGACTTTCTGGGAGAGACTTCTTCCATCATTCTGTCAACTTGTTCAAGAGTAAGACCCTTGGTTTCGGGAACGAGGAAGTAAGCGTAGACCAAGCAGCAGAAGCAAAGGGATCCCCACATGAAGAAGACCTTGGATTGCAAGTTAGCCTTGTCGGCACCGACCAAGTAAGGAGTGATGACAGCAATGATGCAGTTCCACAACCAGTTGGAGGCAGTGGAGAGAGCAACACCACGGGAACGGATGGGAAGAGGGAAGATTTCACCAATGACAACCCAAGCGGCGGGACCCCAGGTGGTAGCAAAGAAGAAGATATAGATGGCAATGAAAGCAATTTGAACGTTGACAGCATTGATGTTGACGGGAACGGAAACACCGGCAGCATTGATGTAGGTCTTGTCGAAACCGACGGTGACACCGACAATAGCAACAATAAATTCACAGATGGTCATACCAACAGCACCCCAGATAAGCATAGAACGACGACCGAAACGTTCGACGAACCAGAAAGAGAGAGGAGTAGTGCAGACGTTGACGAGAGTGAAGATAAGAGACATCAAGAAAACGTTGCTGATGGCACCAGTAGATTGGAGGAAAGGAGTAGAGTAGTAGAAGACGAAGTTGACACCAGTCCATTGTTGCATCATTTGAATGGAAGTACCGAGAATGACCTTGCGGACATTGCTGCTGGGGTTCCAGAGAGAACCGCTGAAGCAAGCAGCCCATGAACCGAAGTAACCAGTGTTGGGCATAACACGACGTTCATATTCAGCGTTAGCGACGATTTCAGCCAATTCAGAGTTGATGTAGTGAGAGTCTTCGGGTTGACCACGGACACGAGCAAGAGCAGCACGAGCAGCAGGGAGGTTATCCTTCTTGACGAAGAAACGGGGAGATTCAGGAAGGAAGATAAGACCAATACCGAGAATGAGAGCCCACAACATTTGGAGAGCAATTGGGATGCGGTAAGAGGAAGAATCAGTGCGGTTCTCAGTACCATAGGTAACGCAAGCAGCCAACAAAAGACCGATGGTAACGCAGAATTGGTAACCGGAGACGATGGCACCACGGATGTTCTTGGGGGCAATTTCAGACATGAACAAAACGATAATAGCAGAGACGAAACCAACACCGAAACCAGCAATCAAACGACCAGCGACAAGAAGACCGAGACCAGCGGAGGCAGTCTGGAGGATAACACCAATGATGAAGACGATGCAACCAGCGATGATAGTAGTGCGACGACCAAACCAATCAGCAAGATCACCAGCAATGAGAGCTCCGAAAAAGGTACCAGCCGAAAGAATGGAGACAATGAGGGAAGATTCCCAAGATTGGAGGGAAACAGCATCAGGGCCGTCAATCATGTGGATGAAGTATTGCATACCCTGGACGCCACCAATGTAACCAGAGTCGTAACCGAAGAAGATACCACCAAATGAGGCGAAAATACACATAGCATAGGTTCTCCATGTGACAGGAGCTTCGACAACATCGACGTTGTCAGCAGGAACAGCGACGTTTTCAGTGTCTTTGTTAACTTGGCTCATTTGAGAATATAGAATATGAAAGCAAAGATAATAAAATTCATTTGACAGCAAAATCCCTGGCTATTTATCGGTTTGACGGGAAAAGCTGCGGGGAAAAGTGGGGGTTAGCGGGGTGGGGGTGCAGACCAGTCTGGGACCTCCATTTCGTTTTTCCTAAAACCCCGCCAACTCCCGCCCAACTTTTCCCAGACATTCGTGGCTGTGATTGGTCACACGTCATTCAAGCTCCGGGTATGAACAAAATTTCAGGTTCATCTCATTTGCTTTCGCTTAATGACGACGCTACACATTCCATGTTTCTCTCCATTATTTCGTTTTTAGCGTAGCCAAAAACCAATGTAGTCTAGTAACGCCTTAGGCTCTATCTAGATACGGATAGAACTAGTCTAACGTAGATAACCTGCCGTAGAGTCGATATGAAATGGCCTTACGCCTCTTTACCTTGTATAGCCTATGATTCTCTTCTCCAAGAGCTTTATTTTGAAAGGGCGCAGAGCCATCGGAGTGCCTTGAAACAGAAGAGGCATGCAAGGTTCACAAATCACAAGGCAGCAAGCTGAGTTTTGTCAGACCATAACTTTTTTTCCCAACGCATACAGCCTCACCCCACAGTTACCTTCCCCGCAGGGCACGGCTGCTACCGCGCAGCCCTTACAAATCCTCAGCTGATGACGGGGGTCCATCTCTTTTTTATTCCGCGATTTCCAGTTCCTTTTATTGGTCACCTCTGTACAACCCGTAGCCGCGGGATGCTTTGCGTCTCCCAGTATTCTCACAAATGCAGTCCAACGTGGTAGTGACCACGCTAAAGGCCACGCTATCGAGTCGCTGGCGTTATGAAAAAACTTGTGTGAATCATTTTATCTTAGATCAAGGCACTGCCAGTAGGCGTTTTTTAAGCAGGGAACCTGGACTTTTTTGGTTTCTGAGCTGAAGGACCCCATTACCAATACGTTTTCAGCGGCCTACTTTTTTTTTTTTGGAGCTCAGATATTCTGGCCATTTTCGGACCTTCTGTAGAGGATGGGTGTTTTTTCACATAATGGGTTAGACATCCGGCTTTATTTTTGTTTTGTGATCACTAGTCCTTTTTGTCCAGCGTCAGTGTCGATTCTACCAAAGGCTGGATGGCTATAACCCAGTGGAAGCTTCTCTGAAACCATCCTCGTAACTGTTTTGAAAAAATATAATGCCGTAGTGCGCTCAGAAAGACACTGAATGCCGCGGAAGAGGGTTTCTTTCTGCTGAGACAAAAATCAATGTGGAGAATGCTTATTATGGGAATATCTGGAACAGCAGAAACGTGCTTCCAGTAACCTTTAAGCTACGCAGGAATCGGGCGTGTTTTGCAGTGGCCCCTGTTTTCTCTTATCAACAACATCACTTCCAAGGTTTAAGAGCGTTAGACAGGCTGTATTTTGCAGAGGGGGGTGGGGGAAATTGGGTTCAAGTAGGTGAAACGTTGTAAATACGGTGGTACAGTCGGGACAAACACAGGGAGCTCAGCTTCAAAAAAATTGGAGCAACGTATGCTGATGAACTACGTTATACAACGCCTGAAATGAGCTCACATTTATTTCATCTTTCGGTTTACATAATCGACAATACCTTCCCCGCATTGACAACGTATTATTTCAGTAGGTTTCAAGGCATCTGTTGCTATGAAACCTGATGCTTCAGCATGGCGTTACCGCGACTTCCCGGTCAACCACGAGGGGCAAAAGTGTGCTAGAGCTCCCACACCCACGTGAATCGAGGCTACACACGTACATTTTGATGCACAATTCCAAACGCACAGAGAAACACTAGTGGGGGCGCGGTACTATTTTTCTACTCCATTCTCTTCCATCGCCTAACCGTTCTCTACATTGCTTCGACATATTGATGTTGGATGGCTACCAATGTATTAAAAAAAATCATGCGTTGAACTTTGATGTAAAAAAAAAAAAAAATTAGAATAGTTTACCCTCATCGCCGATATTCAGCTGGCAAATGACCTTTTGCACAGTTCTGGCCGATCAGTCTAGTACGTGGCCTGGGATGAAGTTTACCGCCTACGGGTAACACATCATTTATCGGAGCCTTAAGCGTTCAACTTCCTCCTGTACAACAGGTAAAGCTTGAATTTGACCGGGCGGAGCGGGTGCTTGGTAACATGAGACTCTAGAAGGGATTGAAGAATGAACGCGCTAGTAGTCAGATGCCTGGGGAAGCCGATAAATCTCGTTGACCTAATGACTTGGTCGTCCCATGTTTGCGTATGACAACCCACTGATTGGCGCCGGCCGGATTACTCATCCTCTTCTCCACACCTACTGACGGCATCTGGCTGTAACCGGATGACACTGAGTTTACATGATGAAGCTGGCTTTTTTCTATTTCAAAAATAGCTGTACCTGTCCGATATGTCGCTTGAAAGATGTTTGATTCAACGCTAAGGTTGAGCCTTCGGAATGCCGTGTTACTAAACCCTTACCAAATGTGGTGTTTCTCCACTTGCTTCCACTAGAGGGATGGTACTGTACAACATTCCTGGAACAGCATTCTGGTCAAACCAACACGTCCATAAAAAAAAATTGAGACGTACGCGTAAACCAATTCGTCCTATTTATTTCAGTATCATCGTCCTCTTTTTCGTATCAGAGCACTTCGAGGGGACATTGTTCTTGAAACTCTTCAGTAAGCGGTATGTTAGCTTTTCCATTTCTCGAGTTCCGCAACGCTATTTCTGTACTCGCCTTAGTCAGAGTCAACCAGCGACGCTGCAGTAACCATATTTCAGATTCCTCAAATCCCTGCACTCGATGTTTCAGCAACATCAAGTTAAGTTTGCTGTTTTCGCGGTGCTTTCATCTCGCTTGTTAGTTAAAGCACGTGGTAAACGTGGACTCCATGAGAACGCCAACGCCCATGGTGTTCGATCGAGCATGAATGTGTCACCTTACTCGTTATGACCGCTGACCGCTTGTCAATCTTTTCCTGTTCCACTATTTTCAGTTCTACGTTTATGCCGTAACTTAGCATGAACTGGTTTTGAGTACCTGCAGAGAACCCCTAGGGAAAAGCGCACGTTTTGCAGACTTGTGTCATCCCGCCAACCACGAGGTAAAAATGAAGTTTCGGATGTTTCAGATCCCTTCCAGCGAAATGTGGCGCCGGTAATATGACATGATACGTAAGCGTTCTACCAAGTTTCCCCGTCCCCAACCTGCTGCGGTCTACGCCAAAATCGTTGGACTAATATGCAGAACATTTGGTTCAATGGAGGAAAGTTGCCAGAGTGAAGAGTGATTCATAATACCAGAAAAAACTGTTCATATGAAAATTCCACTCAGCTAGTGCCTATAAGGTTGAGCCCGATGGGCCGGTATATTTGTTTGTATGGTCAGAGAACAACGTAAAAAATGACCCTAGTGTAAATGGTAGGTATACATTCGTTGCCATTGACGAATGAATGGCGAATGAGTATTACGAAAAGCAAGACTGCCTAAAAAAAATGACCGTATCAAATATTGATGCCCATATCCATAAATGTCACAGCTACATAATCGTTGTTTTATTCAAGAAAAAAAAATTGGGGTGCTTTAACTGCACATAGTTCATCACTGCTGTAGATTGCTAGTGCAATCGCAGAGATACCGGGAAAGAATAAACATGATGTTTAAGACACTTGATTTCACACCTAACAGCCATTGTGAACACTGGTGTTCCAAAAGTGTAACATGATGGTGTATCATTTAACAGCAAATTGATTGATGCGAATGACGCTTCAGTCAGTATGAAATCATCTGCAGCGGAAACGATTTATGGTACTACATCTTACCTAATTCCCACCTAATCTTCAGGGGAAAAAGTGCAGCTGCACGACTTCGAAGCTCCGATTGATTTGAAGCGAAGAGAAATGTCGCATGTCATTAATCGGTAAGGGGGGTATTCAAACCTTCGTGCATTGAATTCACTGCAAGGTCATATTGCCATGTAATGCGATCGAATCTCGCCGAACCTACCGGGAGAATGGATACTGATCTGCAAGTAGTTGAAAGCGATGGTCTGTCTGCATTATGGGACTGTAGTATAGCAACACAATCAACCTCTTTCATAAACACTATATTTGATGCTCATAACCTGTATGCTACACAGTAACGCATCTTCCGTACATATGCACTTCATTTGTACAATCCAATCCCCTGTCAGAACTTATTAATATTTCTATGTTATATAGCGTACGGTATTATATCCTACATAGTTTTTGTAAACATTGAACAAATTGGTCGAATAATCAACAGAGACCATCATTTTACAACTCTATATCAATTTTATTCAACTAAAGAATGTCAATAAACGAAAGGGAAATAAACAAACAACAAAAAACATCGTATTTAACGATTCTACTTAATTGTAGCAATTGAAAAAAATTATATTCCTTTGGAACGTGTAAAAAAAAATAATACAGCGCAGTGTTTTGTCTAAAAGTACATCTATCAGACAAAAGTAAGCTAATAAATTGTTAGTAAAATCAAGCATTACTTTCTCTAACTTCCAAGGCGTTAATTCTCTTTGGAGCGGATATGGGTCAAAAGATGGGTGCTCTCATTTGTTAAAAAGAATATTTTTGGGCGACATTTCGAAAGTTCAGCTGTTTTATGCGGCAGAAAGTACAGTATTTCTTTATAGTCGACGTCAATGTCTACCAAAGCAAGTTCAAATAACAAGTAAATTGTTTAAACGCTAGCGAAGACTTCAAATATATATATTATAGCATACAACTTGGGGAGAAGTGGGCCTTCTTTCGCTCAACGTATACTATTGAATGTCCGAAGTGGTCGAAAGTTTCAATAAAGGGCATTCGCTCGATCAACTTAGAGCAACTGCCAGAATTTTGTTACTGCTGAACCGGGCTTTTAAATCACTTTCCCTTGGCTGGAGACTTGGAAAGGACAATGACATCTATAGGGAGTTGTGAATAGAGCAGTGAGGTGAGTTGTTCATACTAGAAATGAACATCCGTTTGATTTGAAGGTGGGATGGATGCAGAAGCGTTCGCTCTTATTCCAGTATATTAGTTATTTTTGCTGCCCGGCTGGTATATACTTCCAAGTTTCTCAGCATGAGAGCTCGGCGATCACTTCCAACCTCATCTCATCATGAACTGTCAAGTGAGTCAAGTTATGGCTTAACCTTCTCACTGGCCAGCACTACTTTGAAGTTACTGAAAATACCTTGATGACTACCCATATTTCCCCCCACTAAATCGCGTTTTCTCTACACCAGTCTAATAAAAAATCGATCAATCACTTGCAAACTATACCCCTCTCTACTACGCATCTATCCTTTCAATGAATAGGGTGTAGGACCTCTAGAGCAAGAATTAGTTGAGATATAGACACCCCACAGTCATAAGGAAGGCAGGTGTAACGGAGTAGCAGAGCGCACAAACTAAATATAGTCAGAATGTGGGGTATGTCAGAGTCGAACTCGAGCTACAAGAAGTGCTTGCAAGCTTTAAAAGCTAAGAAAAGAGCAAGAAAAATGATGTAAATAGCCGCTAGGTTACTTTAAACCTCAATAGTAGAGTGCGTACACTTTCTTGGTTCATCCTCAAGCGCATGCAAGCGGTATAAATACATACAAAGTAAGGGCATAGCATAGGTTTTGGGCGGAGCGTGCATTCGATATCGCTCAAGGTCGTTTCAGTTTTCAGGTTTATTCATTGATTGGTAGCGCCAACGGAGCTATTGTCAAATATATCTATAGCTAAGAACAACGCATTTTCATCACTAACTCTATTTCCTGGATGATGTAGTATGATACTGCCCCAAAAGCACGAATAAGTATGGCGTGCGCGGAGGTTGAGTCAGGTTTACTGACTGGTCAATTTGGTGCAAATTTATGGTACTTTTAAGCTTTGTATCATATCACTGAACCTGTCATTCTCAATGAGATGCGACAACATCACGTAGAAGGTTGCCTTGTAGTCTCCATGTCAGCTAGCATTGTGCTTGCATGTCAATGTTGGCCCAATCGGAGTGACAATCACGGCGGCTTGGCTGCCACCATCTGGACTCACTTACCGTCAACAAGTCAGAACACCTAGTATAGGTACTACATCTAGTACCAGACCTCTAATGAAAAAGTTTGATAAAGGACAACTACTTACGACATACCAATGTCGTTTTCTTTATTAATCATGAAACATGAAGCACTAAGTACTGGTTTCCAGGAGGATGATTAATGTGTCTGCAGGGTATACTATAAAGACTTGAAAAGTCTTTTGGCATGAATGACATGACCTCGTTGTTGTTTGACATAGACGGTGAAAACAATGGCAGCGAAGGCGACCATAGCAAATGATATTGTGGCGGGAATATAGAATAAATCCGGGGATGACCAAATGATGGTTGTTGCATAAGCCAACATATCTTCAATAACTCAGTGGTGGAGAGACATGACATGTGTAGACAATGGCTAGGATGACTTACCAAAAGCATTGCAAAGTGAATATTGAAATCCACTAATCAGTCCAGCTCGATCGTTCGGCGCGCCTTCTTGAATGATCTGAGTTTCTGCCAAGTCGAATGACCAAAGACCAACTCTACTCAATGCCATACCCAAAAACAATAATACAGTCGAAGTGATCCCTGCCCCGTCGTTAATGTAAAATGCTAACACCACTGGAAGCAGACAGAACACTTGCGACCAGATCGACCATAGCCCACCACGGATCAAACCCAATCGCCTAGTTAGTATGGGACTGATGAACGTAGCAGCTAACCCAGCTACAAAAAGTAAAGTCAGCCAAAGCAAGGACAGGATGTTTTCGCTTTCCATATACTTACCCACAACGCAAACAGCACGGATACCGGAGATGACTGGATCCGAGTACTGCTTTGCTACCATGTATGCTATCATCGTACCTCCCATGCTCAGTACCGTCAAGAAGAGCATTGCGTAACTGAGAGTTGCTGATAGCGGAGCGATGGATGAGATGACCGTTATAATGTTTCGCCTTAGTGACATACCAATTTACCTAATATCAGTGGACTAGTAACACAATACTTCAGATCTTGCCACCTGGAATTTCCCAAATAGCCTGATGCTTCATTTGCCTCTCGCAGAACTGGCTTAGGAACACTTAGAATAGGAGAGGAGTTGTAAACCGTCAGGATACAGAAATACTCTATGACCAAACTTGCGACATTCCAAGCAGCAATAAAATACACGGCAACCAGGGTAGAAGCAGTGGATGTCAGCAGAGCGACAAACAACGGTGCCAACATTTTGCACAAAAGATCAATTCTACGCAATGTTGCATTAAGCGCTATTAAGGAATGATGAAGATTAGGTAGGGTGTACGACGAGCCAAGTAGAAGCAGCCAGATACTTGCATGTTAGGGAAGAAGAATTTCCGGCAGCCAGTGCCACAATCCAATCCCGCTCGAGTGCTACATTCATGCCAATGGTTGTCACTTTGTACAACCCTCCAAGGAGAACCACAATAGAAAAAACGACAAAAGCACGTTTGTCCATGGGTTTGTTCTCGATCCCTGGATCAAAGTAAGTCAAGAGTGCCCAGAATCCGACGTGACTCAAAATAATGGTCAACTTTTGGATTGGAATGAGGTACTTCACTACAGCAATGCGTGGGGACTTATCGACCCATTTTCCCATAATATCTCCAAATAGAAGTCCAATACCAGTTGTTAGGAGTCCATAGAGCGAAGATTCTAACAGAGTTGTTTTGAAAACGTCAATTATGAATAAAGCAGCGCCGAATTCGAAGAGACGGTCTCCCCATGTCCGAAAGAAATGTGAGACGTAGAGTTTTCGGTATGGTATTCTAATTTCACTTTCTGCATGAGCTTCTGTCTCTTCCCTGACGGAGTCACTGATGGAAGACCGGGTTGGGCCGGGATTTGGCACAATGTCGCCCATGTTTGAGCTTGGGCATCGGGGCTTCAATAAATACATAAGGTTTCCCCTTTTTATCAGCTTCGCCAGTCACCGAGAGGACCTCCTTACTGACTCAAGCAGTTAAACGACTTCAGAAATGTCAAGGTACTTGCGAGAAGAACAACGTCACTTATACTTCCCGTCCAAGGAATCATGAGATTGCTCAGGATTCTTACTCAATCACAGTTTGGAATGACAAAGTGGGTGTTGGTGATTACGAAGTTCCTGGCGGAAGTACCATATCCTAATCCGCCTTACTGTTCTAGGATGACTTGTTGCAGTAGTGAGCACCAAATCGCGAATTTTGGTCAACGCTCAAACAACATATATGATATGAAAGGTGTGTAATATTGACGGAAATGATTTATCTTGGGAATAGAAGAGTCCTTTGACGCCTTTAAAGCTTGCATGTCATATACGACGTATAGGCTATTGCACCCGAAACAGAGTCAACACCTCGAGCTAAAGTCGGAAACTATGTGGAGGCTGCTAGTGGAGATATATACCTATTTGGCACACGTAGCGGAAAAGAAATGGGTTCTCTTTCAGCAGACATTTACAAACTCGCTACCACTGATGTGACTGGTCTAAGGCCAGCGTGGCATCCGGAAAGAAGCCAGAATCCATGAGTTTTCATGCCAAGTCTACATTAGAGGTAGGTATTCCAGTGGAAAATCCATACGCGGGGTTGAATTCTAATGGCCGTCTTCGCAAAGACGGATCTTTACGTTTTTGGTGGCTGCCCTGTCAAAGTAAGTGACCCTACCTAAATATCAAAACATTATCCCTCCAAGCTTGATTATAAGCTTCGTTATGGTCGATTAGATGGCCCTTATAGCTTCAACCTTGCCACTCATGCATGGAACCAATTGACGCCAATATCTGTGAGCCCACGTGGAAGAGCTTCTATTGCCTACTGCAAAGACATGTTGTTCGTTCATGGCAAAATTTCCATTTAGCAGCCAGCGGTAAGCAAAATGAGGTTCCTGCCTGCGGCAAGGAGCGTGCATGCACTGGTGCTTCTATCTTCAACCGTTGATAGCCCAAATGGTAGAGCCAACCTTATCTATCTGTTTGGCGAAAACAATTTCTACCAATCTCCACTGATGTTGACAAAACAAACGATACTATGGCAGTATTATTCAATCGCCTAAACTACACGGGCGATATCCTTATTACTCGTGGTTGGTTCCAAAGTAAACACTTTTGTCAAGTGGGTAGTAAGCAGTGGACCTTTTGGCGACAACGCACGTTTGACTACTAATATCCGTTTGACACGTTCAAAAATTGAAAGGATTATCTGTTTCGTCAACAGTCATAGTGGTACAAAAGCGGTTTACTATTGAAATACAAGAAACCTTTATTTGCTGTTCATTAAAACACACCACTCATGTGAATACCGTCCGCTTGGTTAAAGATATAAATGATATTATTGAAATGCTAAGGCCTGCCGTATAATGTAAGCGGCGGCGAAGGACAGCGCTTACGTTTAATGTACCAACTTATTTCCGCAATTTGAGCAGAATGAACTGGAAACCTGGTTGGCTTTCTTGCACTGATCGCAAGTCACAACAGCTTGTGTGTTATTATTTTGTCCGGTAGGTGATGGTCCATAGTTTTGTGGTGATGGTGGCCCATAGTTTTGTCCATGAGGTGATCCATAGTTTTGGTCGTAATTTTGTCCTTGGTATGGTGGTGGTAAATTCTGCTGTTCCGCTCTTCTCCTTTGCTCTTCATGCTGCGCAATTCCTCTTCTGACAGCTTCTTCAGTTGCAGCGGCTTGCTGTTGTGCTTGCAGAGCTTGCTGTTGTGCCTGCTGTGCTTGCATCTGTGCTTGCTGTTGTGCTTGCATCTGTGCTTGTTGATTCATTTCTTGCTGTCTTGCTTGATCTCTGTAGTAAGCATTTTCCGCTGCCATGTTCTCTTGTCGAGCCGCGTTCCTAGCCACATGGCTGGTGGCTCCAATCACCAAGGCAGTTCTAGCGATTGGCATACGACGTCTTGGATACATTTTGTAGTATAGTGACTTTCAGAGAAAAGAAGATAAACGAGTGCAACTGTTACTTATCTGGTTTCTAGTTTTATATCTAGAAGTCATCTGTCGGGCAATAACATTGTTTCATTTTATGCAACTTTGTTACCATTGGCGTAACCATATAGTTTTATATGCAGAAGAAATCGTAAACACCTTACAGCATCAGTTCAAGCTGTCAACGCTTATTCGGACAAAAAGAATTTGATTCTACAATATAAGACATGCAAGTAGCTCTATTGCTGTTTTCTTTCTTTCGGTCTTGCTGTCGGAGGAACAACAAATTCATCGATTACTTATGGTCTCACTTGCAGAAATTTGGGTCTGACTTTCTATTCTCCGCAACAAGACATGTACTCAGGATGCCAAGGAAATGAAAGGACTGCAATTCCATGCTGATAGTCCAAGCTGCGCGTTCTGTTTTTAAAACACTAACGTACAGACTTATCATACTTAGATCGTAAAGTTACAGCATCATTAATCCCGTGGTGAATCATGGTGCAAAGGTTTCAGTAGGCAATTTTTCCTGGTTGGCCGCCACCACTGGTGCGTACTTTGAAATGCTCACTTCAGCCACTGTATATTTATCCAGGCAAACCCTTGCTTCACGTATGATATCTGTCTACCTCGGGACATGCAGCTTGCGTGGCTAGTATTGGTATTTGCATAGTACTGAATTTGGTTAGGGTAATTTGAAGAGGCTCGTTCTTGTGCTTCTTGCACACTGCAATGTTGCATACTGCAGTAAGTGTGGCTATTTTACTTTTTCAGCTGGTTTAGATGATCATCCAGTATCGAAGTGGTTATCTGACATCACCTGGTTGATATAAAATTAATCTCACGTCATAGAAAGATTACCTTGTCTAAAATGAAATCTACATTACAGAGGCTGGATGACCGGCAACTTTAGGCAATTATGCAAGGTATGTTGTACAGGTAGGCTTATGTAAAACCTTGATGATCCAATATTAAAAATCTACCTTGCGCCATCTCTCCTTTCACGCGGACACCGAGCTATTAGCTCCAAATTGGGGATCCCTGGATAGCAATTTCCCAAATTTAATGCGACTGACCAGCTTCATAATAACTTTTACAATAGCAATGACAAAATTAGGCAAAGCGTCCCTTCGCGGGACTTCAAGAACAAGGGTCTTTTTTAGCCCTCTCATCTGTGCTCGTGAATCTCCACATAAACGGTTATAAACAGTTATATTGGCCGGTACGGTAAAAACACAAATGGGGATTTACTCACGATCATAACATTTGACTCCCTCCACTTCCAGCCATGAAGAATATTTTCTAGCTTCTACACGTCCATTGATCTGCATTACAATATAACAGCGTACCGATGATCTGCATCCATGTGACGGCCCATTTTCCAACATCATATATATATGTCGGCAATCTCCGGAAACGATCATATGTCATAAGCTATTCAATAACTGTAGCAATTAATTTTGCAACTCATGGCCTTTCCAAGCGGGACAACTTGTGTAAGGGTAAGAAAGGGAAAAATCTGACCCTCAGCTTGGAGATGGTTACACCATGCTATGTAATATCGCTAACTGCATCTTCATTCGCCCGTGTGCTTCTTGCAGGTCGGGGGGTACAGTTTCCAAACAGTTTCCCAAGTACGACCCGCGTGATGGAGCATTGTTGAAAAGCATATATGAAGGCAAAGGGTTGATACAAAAAGTTGATTCTACAAGCGCTTTCTGCTAGTACCAAAATATGACTCGTACTCTTCTCGCTGCTACCATCTTTGCAACTTTTGCTGCTCTCGGTCAAGCTGCTGTTCCTGCTGGCGCGAACGGATTCTCTCTTGTCTGGAGTGATGACTTCACTGGAGCTGCTAACACTGCCCCTAGCAGTTCCTGGCAATATGACACTGGAAATGGTGTTTTCGGTACTGGTGAAATTGAGACGATGACCAACAGCATTAAGAACGTGTATCAAGACGGAAATGGCAACCTGCGCCTTGTGGCATTGGGAAGTGGTACCAGTTGGACCTCCGGAAGAATTGAGACTGTCAGAAGCGATTTTGCCGCACCTGCTGGTGGTATTTTAGCTGTGGAAGGACGTATGCAGTTGCCTGCTGTCACAGGAGCTGCTGCTGCTGGTTACTGGCCAGCATTCTGGATGCTTGGCTCTACTTTGCGCACTGGTACTTCCTGGCCCGGTTGCGGAGAGATTGACATTATGGAGAATATTAACGGTATCAATGAGGTTTTTGGAACTCTTCACTGTGGTACATCTCCTGGTAAGTTACGCTATTATGCTTTTGAACGACCGGAAAAATACAACAGTAGACATAGCTCAGCCCCACTAAACCCTTTCCACTTTTAAGGTGGTGACTGTAACGAATCCACTGGTCTTGGAGGAAATAAGCAAAACATTTCCCCATCACTTCAGTCTGCTTTCCACGTTTATCGTATGGAACTTGATCTTGGAGCCAATATCATTCGTTGGTACATCGATGGTACTCAATACTGGCAAGTAGCTTCCAGTGCAGTTTCTGCCGCAACCTGGACTGCTGCTACCAACCACGGATTCTTCATCATTCTTGATTTGGCTATGGGAGGAGGCTTCCCTGATGCCTTTGGAGGTGGTCCAACCAGCTCTACACAATCAGGCTCACCCTTCATCATTGATTACGTTGCGGTTTACACCAAGGCCGGAAGCGGCGGCAGCACTGGCGGCACTGGCTCCGGTTGTACCCAAGGAAGCTGCGGATCTGGACAATGCTCTTGCGGCGGTGCTTGCTACAGCGCCAGCCAATACACTTGCATTGGTACCACTCTCTGCCCTACTGGTGATCAACTTTGTGGTAAGCCAGCGTAGAATTTGTCCTTTTCATATCTTTGCATACTTTACTCAATATCCTCAATCTTCAGGCACTGCATGCTACAGCCCTTCAATGTACACTTGCAACGGAGGAACTCTTCAACAAGTTTAAGAAAACATCATGTATGATATATGTACTTTATAGTTATATATGGGCGATATTTTGTGAAATAAAAATCGCATATGTATTATTTTTGAAGGTTGATGTGAAGGTGATATGAAGCAGGCTCTTGCCCACATAGGCTTTCTTTGCACGTCAATTAGGTTGTCTTTCCACCTATGTTGCTTAGCACAAGCTTATTGCTGGCCACACATGGATTTTACTTCTTTGATTTTCTTGTACATTGATCAGTAGACTGCTAAATTTTGATCTAAGAATGACAGTGTGCAAAAGTGAAAATGAAAATCACACCCTTCTCGTTCACCTCGTTAAACATATTGTATGCATTTCTCTGAAAGGAAAGTCAGTGCAGTTACATGGAGTATGCCATACTTGTAATTGAACCTTTAATGTGAATATAGGAGCGCATATACACCATGCTTGTGATGTAGCCTGAAATCAGGAGCCAAACATAGCTGAATCAAGACCGTTGCAGAGAAGAATTTATCGCGGCAGGACCGCCACATCACCATACCATAAATTGAGACAGGAGCAGCAGGACTGAGGGACTATCATTTCTTGCCATAGGAAAAGCTACGTGGACGTTGTATTGTGTGAACATACGATTGTTGGTTCCATCAGAACAATGACCAAGTATCGATCAAACGATCGAAAGATTCGCATGGATCCCACCAGGAAGCGAGAACTTAATTTCGCACTAATGACACTCATGATGAATTAGGTATTGATCTGCCCTGTAGTGTGGTGTTGGAGGTTTCACGCTTGCTCAAAGTATAGTTTCATCTTTTAAGTTTGCAGGAAATGAAGGAGGAGTACGAGACTGACGAGGGTATTCATCCCTGCACTCCCTTTGCTTGATTTCCAGTGCTTTGGAGCATTGGAGCTAAGGTAACTCATCTTGTGCGGCAACAGCTCCTTCTTTTTCAAACCCCTTATTGTTCTTTTTGCTTTAGCTCTAGACTCCTTCTTTTTGAAAGTTTCAAAGCAATGTAGAGCGAAATTTGGTCACTTGAAGGTCAAGAGAGCAAGATTAGTGTGTCTAATTCTCCTTGAAGATGTACCTTATTCTCTTTCTCGTCATGTAAGAAAGAGCAACGACACATGAAGAAGACAATGGTTCTTCAAGATCTTTTGGATACTTGAGATACATCTGGCTGTGAAATTTTACTATATGTTTTTTTACAGCCACTACATAACCTGACGATATCAATACTGAAAGAGAGTCAACGGAATCTATGCGAGTTACTGCTTTTTCTACCCGCCGCTCAAGAATACTATAATAACGAAATACTTCATCAGCGGCAACTGTTTCTTTCGAGCTTGTGTTTGCAAATCAACACTGAAAGAAAAGATGCTTGGACGAAGGTGTTAAGTCTAGTATATCTGGATTCCATGGAAGTGAAAATTGCATAGATCGATCGGAATGCCATGCCTACGATAGCTTACGTCATCTCACGATGGTTGCCCTTCATTCTGTAGGTGGGGTACACGGAGTGACAGACTTAATGAGCCGAAACTGTTGGGTTTCACAGGGATACGGCTCATATAGATTGCCAATTTGTTTATTCCATTTATTTCCACTACCAGAAGGTTGAAGAAGACTATTAAATGCGTTGAAACTAGTCAACAACATATGATGGGGGATCAGATGCACTGTATGCCATTGGTACTACTGTACAGGTGCATTAATGCTATTGTGTATGTTCTTGTACATGAACAGATCAAGCAGATCATTCCAAATGAGTGTTCTTTCAGTGGTTTCGTGCGTTAAAATAATCTAAACGGCTATCTGCCGCGATCCCACATCATAATATTTACTCAGATGTAGGGTTTTGAGGGGGCCGGTGATGGGATAAATTTATGATCATGCTGCTTAAATGCCCAGAGCTGCAAATTCGATAATTACTGAGATGAAAACCCTTGCAAGCGTCATGGCAATGGAAAGATATCGAAGGTACCCCTCCCATAACTCCTTATCGTCCATATGTCGAATTAAATATATTTAAGGAAAGATGACAACGGTTGGATATAGGATTACATCTACTGATTGCTTTATTCAACGATAAACAAGATATGGTACCAACTTTGATAAAAGGGTATAAGAGAACTCTAGCAAGATTTTTAGGAAAGGCTCAAAGTGATCTGCCGAATGTGCATCTTGGTAAGATATCATTTGAGCAGCGAAGAAGCACGAAATCTGTATGTCGATTTTTCTTAACATTTCTCTTCAGACGACATCCTTCAAGAAAAAACATGTCAACCTATTTCATTACAAGATTTACGATGGTACCTGCAAAACAAAGAGCATTCTGCTGAAAACTTGGATTTTTACTTTTGGTACGTGGAATATAGTGCACGATTCAGTCAGTTACCGGATTTCGAACGAGCAAAATCGCCAATTCCACGAGAAACACCAGCGAGAGCTTCTACCACTATTGCTATGGATAGCGCTGTATGCATAGGAACAGAAAGTCTAACCAAAGATGAAGAGAAACGAGACTACAATGAGGCAACTACGTTAGGTGCTGAGTTTCAGCCCTACCGCGAAGAAATCAACGCTGTTCTTTTGACTTTCTTCGAATCTTCTTCATTCAAAGAACTCAACCTGGACGGCTCTGTTATGAAATATGTCAGATACCACGGTCGACGTACTACGCATCCAGATGTTTTCTCAGAAGCATTCAAGCAAGTGCGTTGGACAATGGAGCATTCATCGCTACGTAACTTCTTCCATCATGCTCTCCAAAACATTCGCTATAGCCAAGTTGTGTTCTTCTACGCATGTGCTATATTCAACTTTTTACACATTCCAATGATTTTATTTTACACATATTCGCATGGTATGATGCGATGGTGGCGAATGCCTTTATTGTTCTTTACGTTCAGTTTCGTAGTAAGCGCATTGGTGGCACGGATCGGGTTTTGCATCATAAGAGGTGCACTAGGAAGACGGCAAGTACCATTGTATGAGCTGGAAGAGGTTGAGCAAGCAAGGAAAAGTACAGAAAAGAAAAACGATTCTACTGTACAAAATGCATCTGACTTTACCTCCATCATTGATCCAAATGTCAAGAGACACAACAGGGTAGGTTGGACACTGATTATAGCCTATGTATGTACTTTCTCTTACTGACTTGGGTGTGTATATTTGCAGGAAACGCTCTTTCATATCGTATCTGTGTCCTTTATCATTGGGCTATGTGTTCTTGTCCCTTCAATCATAATAACTAATGAATAGAATTAAAATCTTTAATGTCATAATCACCAATTTTAACAATCCTCGTACCACCGATAAAGATGCGAAGATGATACTCTCTATAGCATGTATAATCAGGTTAGATCGTAGGGGTCGATGTGCGATTCGCTTTGAACCAAAGAGATAATTTACCCTGCATGCTTTCTTACCTTCGCATGGCGTCGATCAATCTACTATTTCTATCCAGTCTTTCACTATATTCCAGACCGACGGGTTTGATCCCTTGACTGGACGCCAAGGGGTCTATATTACAAACATTCTGGACGTCAAATGATCTTGCATGGAGCTACGAAGGAGGGTTCATTGCCTCCTTACCAACTACCAAAATTTTAATAGAATGTATTTGGAAGGACGTAAAGATTATCACTCAGACAGCTTCTCCCAGAACTAGTCTTCAAGTGCAAATGAAGGAAGCTTTATGCATTATAGCCAGAATAAGTCTAGAATAAGCAATCCTATACAACTAGTCGCGTACTATTGGGGTCTGGTCAAATCTGTCATGGACACTCACATAAAAATGACCACTTTTCCTTTTGGATGCCCTTGTTCCATATGGTGAATGGCTTTTGGTATTTCGTCAAAGCTGAAGCGACAATCAATAACAGGCTTGACCTTGTTTGTTTCGATCAATTCCTTCAAATAGTCCAGGTCTGACTTATTGGTGTTTGTCATCACTAAAACAACCCTTTGGCTAAGGAATTGGGATACAACAAGCGCTTTGAGAGAGTCGGCCATACTGCCTAAAAGTCCACCGCCCGGCCCACCAACTGGACAAAAGGCGCCAGATGGTTTCATTATCCGCCGAATGTCAGCGAATGGTTTGTCACCAGCAATATCTAAGACAAGATCATATTGTTGATTCCCCAAAGTATAGTCATCCTTTGTATAGTCGATAGTATAGTCGGCACCGATAGAATGCATAGCGTCGACGTTGCGAGTACTGCACACTGCGGTCACTTCCGCACCGAGTGCTTTGGCAATTTGTACTGCGAATGACCCGACACCGCCAGACGCGCCAGTGATGAGAAGTTTTTGTTCGGGTTGAATGTTTCCAGCGTTACGGAGGGCTTGTAGAGCTGTCAATCCAGCGCAGGGTATAGACGCCGCTTGTTCGAAAGATAGGTTTTTGGGTTTATGACTGAGACTGTTTTCTGATACGCAAAGGAAGTCCGTGAACGCCCCTGTAATGACTTGGCCGAACACCTCCTCGCCGGGTTTAAAGTTTGTTACTTGTGGTCCGACCGCCTCGACTATCCCAGCAAAGTCGTTTCCAAGGACTGTGTTCTTCTTTGGATTGGTAAGCCCAAAGTATAGACGAGCAAGATACGGGTCTCCTCTCATGATGTGCCAATCGGCTGCATTGGCAGCACATGCCCGGACATGGACCAATACTTCATTACCCTTGATGGTCGGTTTCTCAATGTCGATAATTTGCAATACTTCAGGGCCACCGTAGCTTTCAAAGATTATAGCTCGCATGATATGTTTGATTGGTAAACTTAAGATACGTTGACTGTGGCGAAAAGAACGTAATGAGCATGTAGGTGTTGGCAAAGGCAGAATAGCGAACTATACTTACTAGAAAGCCAGTGAGGTCTGATTTCTTGGTAGGATTGATGTTGCTTTGCTATGGCGTTCCACATTTTGCAAACTATTATGCAGCTTATATCCAAATGGTGTACCTTGTGAAAAAGTGGTAAGAAAAAGAAAAGTTGGGAACAAATGAGTCAAATTTTTGAGGTACGGCTGAAATCCTACGAAACAACACAGTCCTTGAACTCTGCTTTATTCCATCAATATGGCTCCACCAAAACGTGGTCCAATCATTCAGATTCGCAGGACAGAGACGACTTTCGAAGACAACTAAAAAAAATCAACAGATTCATTGGTGACAAACCTCATTGCAACTCATTGAGCTCGTTGCAGTTTCTTTGCCGGTACAGGGCATGCCATCAAGGTATTAAGTTTTTTTTTTACCTTCCGTATCTACACCTGAAACTTTTGGCCAACAGACTGGAATATACATGTATCAGTATGTTGATATTGGAGAAATTCACTAAACGATAGCTCGTTTACAAAATGAGCACAACAGGGAGTGACATTTGACGGAAAGCTTGCTTTGAGGATTTTATGTGGGAAATGAGATCAAAAAATTTAAAAGACTTGACCCAAGCGCTGTTATCAGTGGATGTTTCAACAATTATCTGTTCACTGCAGCGAACCTAAGTATTTGTAATTCACCCGTTAACGTACTCCAATATAAGAGAATAGTCTAACATCAAGGTATTGGAAGTTATTCAAGTTGAAATAACATGGTTGAAGAATTCATTCGGGCCACTCAAGGTGCAAACGCTGTGTTTCTAACAGGGTCTTCGGCAATCTTCCTTCAGACTGGCATTACAAGACATGATTAAAGCGAGAGCAAAGGAGGCTTGCGTTTATTCTCGCAAAAGCTGACATGGTAACGTCACGGATGTGGTGACTTTTGGACAGTATCTAGGAAATAGAAGGCAACAACATCTAGTACCATCCTCTTTGAAGGATGTTCAAGTTTTTCAAATTACTATGTCATGGAAATATTAGAAAAATCCTGTGCTCAATGCCGGATTTGGGAAAAACGGTCGAGAACCAGGCTTACCTTTGATTTAGATTTGAGTGTTTACTATGTCTCAAGCGGTATAGAGTTAAGGTACTGTTACTGCCAAAATTTGGAAGACCCACCCATGAATATTCAGTATCAAACACAAGATAGATAAAAGTCGTCTATCATAAACCAATAACATGAATAGCCTCTTTTGTTATCGTCTGCAGAGCCTCTATGCTCTCGGTAGCGCCTGCAAAGACGGAAATGCTCTTGAAAACATTTTGGGTTGTATCATCATATCGTTTCTCCAAGTGTTACGATTCTTCGGTGAAGGACGAAATGGTATACTATGGTTTATGTATACATGTTGATTGGAATTCGGCGCTGGTAAAAGCGATGTTATCAGGCAAATTCGGCTCGTAAAATGGGAAATTCCCAATGCGTAAAATGTGAAAGTGGCACCATTGTTTCTGCAGATGATGAAATTTTTAGAGACTATCAGATGCGACTTGTGAAAATTTACTGCGTTTACTTTTATTCGTTTGAAACATTCATGAATTGATTCTATAACATAACAGATGCTAGTAAAGGTTTTTAGTAGCGAAGAAGTACCTATTGCTACGGTTGGACTGTGCATAATTACTAATTTATGGCTTGGGGTTCATAATTTGTGTCATCACTGTTACGCCAGTACATGGTTGTCTTTCATAATCTTAGCCGTTCATTATTGGCTAGGATTTGTAAAACTTTCACCCTTTCCTCCATCAAACATCTGTGTAGCAACAAAGCTAGCGGCCGAAATATTATCCATTCCCCCACCTCATATCCTGGTGTGTTGGATTGCTACTGATATCCATGCAATAAGCGCTCGACGTGAACAATCACTCGAGCATAACAAAGCTGGAGACATTCATTCGTTCCTTTACAGAGTGATTTCTTTCATAGCCAGTTTATTTAACGCTACTTTGCAACCTAAAAGAATTGGATATTCTCAAGGCCCTTGTGACGAGCGCCGATAATGTAACGCGCAATACACACTATTGCGCGATCTTTGATTACCGTTGACCATCACGTTGCGACATCAACTTTAAAGTAGAATATATATATACAGAAAATGAGTATAAATATAAAGGGCTGAAAAGAAAAAAGGAGTTGTCTTTATTAAACAAAACATAAGTCATGGCACCATCAGAAACTAAGGAAGCTGTCCAGCAGCAAACACCCATCGAAGCAGCAAAGGCAGCCATCAAGGAAGTGGCCAAGACCGCTGAAGCTGCCACCGAAAACAAGCCACAGTACATCAGAGAACCTCTTAAGCTTAAGGGTGTTTTGGATCAGTACAAATCGTTTGAGGTTACTCCTATCATTGGAAAGGAGTTCCCTGACGCACAAATTACCGAATGGTTGGCAGCAGACAACGCTGATGATTTGATCCGAGACTTGGCCATCACCAGTGAGTAGACCTATTTTTTTCCTAGAAGCTAGTTGAGGTAATTTCTAAATGAACGCTAATCTCTTTCAGTCTCGCAACGTGGTGTTGTCTTCTTCCGTGCTCAAAAGGACCTCACCAACGACCTTCAAAAGCAGTTGGTCCAAAAGCTTGGTGAATTGTCCGGAAAGCCTTCCACCTCTACTTTGCACATTCATCCCATCATCAACGCAGACAGGGATGTTAAGGTTGCTGATAATGAGATCAGTGTCATCTCTAGTGAGCTAAACAAGAAGTTGTACTCAAAGACCTCTTTGGTACTTACCCAGAGCGCAGCTGCAGGATGGCACAGCGATATCAGTAAGTACTTGCTTTTAAGTATATCTTTGCTCTTGAAACATGTTTTGACTTGACTTCTTTTGTAGCTTTCGAACCCATCCCAAGTGACTATACTCTTCTCAAGCTTGTTGACCTTCCTTCAACCGGTGGTGATACTCTTTGGGCTTCCGGATACGAAGTCTATGACCGTATCTCCAAGCCCTACCAAAAGTTCTTGGAGAGCCTCACCGCCACCTATGCTCAACCTGGTTTCAACCAGGCTGCTGCAAACAACGGATTTGAGCTTTACGATAAGGAACGTGGTGCCCCTGAGAACGTTGGATCAGTTCTTGAGGCTATTCATCCCGTCATCCGTACCAACCCTGTAACAGGCTGGAAGAGTGTTTTTGCAGTTGGTTCTCACTGCGCAAAGATCAACGATTTGAGTGAACGTGAATCAAAACATCTTCTCGACACTTTCAGAAACCTCATCACTGAGAACCATGATCTTCAAGTTAGACACAGGTGGTTGAATAAGCACGATCTTGGTAAGTTGCTATACCTCTTCGTTTAATTTATAGGTGCGTTTTTCAATATGCTAATGGTTTGTACAACAGCCATCTGGGATAACCGTAGCGTTTACCATGCTGCTACCTTTGATTACGATGAGAAGAGAACTGGTCATCGAGCTGTCGGTCTTGGTGAAAGACCTTACTTTGACCCAGCAAGTGTCTCACGCCGTGAAGCTCTTGGTAAAGATGCAACTGTAGCATAATATAAACACAGGATGTTTACTATGATCAGATCAGACTATAATGCCATTAATCGAAATTGAAATAAAAGACACACACAATATTGATTTGTAAGATATAAAGGTGATAAAGTGACAAGGGTAGTCCCATGTTGACACTGAACTGTATGTGATATTGAGACCAACCGCCACGCACGCCTCGAAGTTAACCAGCCATTCGAAAAAGTCTGATGGTATTTGATGAAAGAGTAAAATACTCATACTGTCTTGAGACAGTGTGTATATGTAATAGTATAATGGGAATGTGGATACTGTACATTATGTTGTAAATAGAAAACAGGATCGCTATAATTCTAAATATCTAATTTGCGTTCAGGTTCTGTTGGTGTACCAATTCTGCATACACTCCCTTCTGGGCCAACAGCTCGAAATGACCACCAGATTCTACGACTTGGCCATCCTTGACCACAACAATAAGATCAGCGTTCTGAATAGTAGACAATCTGTGACTGTATCAAAATGTTAGAAAAAAGCGGTTCAAGCTGCCCAGACCCATCATTCATTTAAGCTCACAGACGATAACTTACGCAATAGTGATTGTTGTTCGTCTTCCAAGTGACAAAGCCTTGTCCAAAGCTTGCTGCACTAGTTTTTCTGACTCGCTATCCAGGGCCGACGTAGCTTCGTCCAATAACAAGATGGCAGGATCGCGAATCAACGCTCTTGCAATGGCAATACGCTGCTTTTGACCACCTGATAGTTGACCGCCTTTATCACCGACTCTAGTATCCAAGCCTTCAGGTAGGGATTCGATGACACTAAGAATGTTGGCCATCTCGGCTGCGGCTTTGATCTTTTCATCGGATACATTTTCGTCCTCGACACCAAAGGCAATGTTGGCGCGAATAGACATATCGAACAGAACTGGCTCTTGACTGACCAGCGCCATATGACTACGAAGGTTATGAAGAGAAAAGTCGGAAATGTTCTTATCATCCACCTTCGCAACACCTCCGCTGGGATCGTACCAGCGTTGTAAGATACCAATCGTGGTTGATTTACCGCAACCTGATGGACCCTTTTGCAAAAATAGAATTAAATATCGTACACAATGGACATTACATTTCAGCTAAAACACTTACCACCAACGCGATCATGGTGTTCGCCTTTCCTTGGAATCCAAAGTTTCCTTTGAAAATTTCGATATTGGGTCGAGCAGGGTAAGCGAAGCGAATGTCCTTCAAATCAACCGAGCCATCGACTGACTCGGGCTCTATTCCTTCCAATTCTGGATCAATGAGTGGCTTTCGATCAAGAATTTCAAACGTGTTCATGGCAGAAGCCTTTGCTCGTTGTAAGGTGGAGGTAAATGAAGAAGCTCTACCCATTTGATTTGCAGTTGTCATGACGGCCATCAACACGGTAAACATAGGTTGTAATTCGGTCTTTCCAGCTTGAATAAGGCGGATACCAGCATAGAAGGCGAGGGCGTTTGTAAACATGTTCATAGCTTGGGTGGCACCATACTGTAAACATAAGAAATAAAATAAGAATTTGCAAAGATATGCTGTTGGGCATTCGATTGGATGTACTTACCGCAACGGAACTCAAATAGGCTTTCTTTTGAGCCAACTGATGAGGTCTTGAAATGGCAAGCTCATATCGATCTTCGAAATATCCTTGCTTGGCAAGCGATGCTACAGTACGGATTTCCTTGATGGCTTCTGCTGCGACCTTACCGCTGTCGACATATGCAGTCTTTGTTTCATTTTCATATCCACGATGCACTCTAGACTCGTACATGGTGGCGGCAACCAAGAATGGGACGCATACCAGTACAATAAGAGTCAAAATCCATCCGCTAATAAAGGCAATGAGGAGACCAGCAACAGCACAAGCTATGACTTGAACCAAGTCGGTCCAAACTCTGGTGATGAGTGTGTTGACATTGGCGGCATCCACGGCAAGACGTGAAGTCATTCCTCCAAGACTGTGACGGTCATCGTCATAAAAGCCGATTTCTTGCTTGAGCATAGCGTCAAATGTCAATGCTCTTAGGCGCTCCGTGAACCTTTCTCCAGAAAATTCAAAGCATATGACTCTAGTACAGTTACCAATGAAGGCACCGATACCAATAACAACGAAGATGAAGGCGTACAAATTAGGACCTTGAAACGGAGGTGACCATGCAAGATCATCCTGTTGAAGCATAATGACAACCCTGGAGAACACTAGAGCGTAACTAGGGAAGACAATACCGGCAATGATGGATCCGAAGGTACCTACGAGGAGAATGGGCCATTCTGGTCTCATCATCATGAAGACTCGATAAATGGGGGCCTTCTGGTTCCTGGCGGCTTTCTTGAGTTCCTTTTCTCTTTGTGCATTCAACGCGTAAGACCCAAGTTCTCTAGCATCAAGTTTTCCTCTTTCTTTAGCGACACGCTCAGCATCCGCAACATTAGTGGCCAATTGGACTTGTTCTTGCTGCAGAGCCTTTTCCAATTGCTCATCGTCGACGGAATCATCATCAAACGGGTCTACTTCAGATGGTGCATCTACGCCCTGGGCTTTGGCATCTTCTTGAAGTTTGATCTTTTGCTTGAGGACTAGTTCATAGTATATTCCTTTCTGCTCAAGTAGGTCGTTGTGCTTTCCGATTTCGTTGACTTTGCCGTCCTTCATGACAACGATCAGATCGGCGTTCTTGATGGTAGATAGTCTATGGGCAATGACAACAGTAGTTCGATCGGCTGAAGCTGCATCTAAGGCTCTTTGAACTTTTTTTTTTTTCAACACCGGGTTAGTACTAGTACAACAAGGTCGCACTTATGTGTATATGCAACTTACCAAGTCTCTCTGAAGCTGTATCCAAGGCTGAAGTGGCCTCATCCAAAAGAAGGATGGATGGGTTCTTCACCAAAGCTCTAGCAATAGCAATACGTTGCTTTTGGCCACCAGAAAGCATACCACCATGTTCACCTACAACTGTATCGTATCCGTTGGGGAGTTGAACAATAAAACTGTGGCAGTTGGCCTTCATGCATGCGCTGATGATCTCTTGTTCTGTGACGTCTGACGACATGCTTCCCATCAATAGATTTTGTTTGATGCTCATGTTGAATAATACAGGCTCTTGACTAACCACACCAATTTGCTGACGAAGCCAAGATACATTGAAGTCTTTGATATCGTGACCATCCAGGTAAACTCCTCCAGCAAGAGGATCATAGAAACGTTGCATCAATTGAACACAGGTAGATTTGCCGGATCCAGAAGGACCACAGAATGCGACCGTCATACCAGGCTTGATATCCAAGGTCAAGTCATGGATGACTGTAGTATCTGGACGAGTTGGGTATTTAAATTGGACGTTCTTGAACTCAAAGTGACCCTTGACATGATCAAGTTTCAGTCCATCTTCACGATCACAATCGATTTCAGGTATACGTTCAATGGTTGCGTAAATTTTGTGAGCAGCTCCCATGGCACTGGTGACAGCGCTGACCTGCTGTGGAAGCTGAAGTAACGACATGGCACCTGAGAACATAAGTGTGAGCTACGATTTTCATTTCATAACTTTTATCATCTCTCCACAAACAAGTACTTACCAACCATCATGGACATGAACACAACCAAGATGTCTGATCCATCCATGTTATCGACGTGATTAACAACAAGGGTATAACCATACCAGAATGCTAGACCGTAACATGAAAAGAGAACAAACATAAAGGTACCAAATCCAATACCGAGAATGACAGCTCTCTTTTTTCCAACAACATAAGCCTTGTGAATTTGTTCTTTGTAAAGGGTGGAAAACCGGCTCTGAAGGGAGAAGGTATAGACTGTGCGAATGCCAGATAGAGCCTGTTCAACAACGGCTCCACCATCAGCATAAGCGTCTTGGACTCTGACTGTGAATTTTCTTATACCGGAGGTGACAAACATGCCCACAGCAGCTATTGGTGGTAGTGATTCAGCGGAGTGAAGAAAAAAAAATTACACTCAAAATCATACGACCCAATCACTTACCCATAACTGGCAGCGCAGCCAAAAGGACTATAGCCAAGCGCCAGCCTTTGACAAAGGCAACGACGAAGCCACAGATGAATTGAGAGAGACTTTGGATCAATTGGCCGAATTTCTCACTGATACCATCTTGAATGAGATTGGTGTCGGCTGCGAGTCGAGTGGTCAAGGAACCTTCGTCGGCCTTATCAAACCAAGTCATGTCCTGGCGTAAAATAGCATGCACATACATTTTGCGAATACGGCGAGTTTGGAATTCTCCGGAAAGAATCCAAAAGCATTGACAGATGTAGCCTCCAATCAAGTTAGCGATGCCGAGGTAGACAAAGATCAGAATAACAGGTATAACAGGCGTTAGAATATCAGCTCCAGGGCCTTGTGTAAGTAGATCAGAAAAGTTGCGTAAAAAGGTTCCGAGAATAATGGTATTAATGGGCTGAAGAGCTCCCACTCCCATACTGAAGAAGAAGGCAATAGCGATCAAGAGCTTATCGCGCTTGTTGGAGTATCGAAACAGCGTAAATACGCCTATTTTGGGCGCTTTTGGCTTCGTTGCTTTGGATCGACGAAGGCCAAGTTTACTGAGCAGTGACGATGAGCCATCCTTTTGTTGATGTTGTGGTGGTTTTTCAGGATCGGATGGAGGGTTGGCTATTGGCAGTGAAGGAGCCACCTCTTTTCGCTCTTTTGCGTCGTTGTCCATCAAAGAAAAATTGACCCCGCCAGCATTTGCCTAGGATTATATACAACTGGCTCGGCGACATGTTTTGCCAGCCGAGCGGGGGTAAGTTTTACCTTCAGGCTGAGGGCAAAAGTTTGACCGCTCAAGTAGTGAAAGAAGTGACATATCATAAAACCAAAACCAGGAGGAGAATGGAATTTACTTGATAGGATCGTGAGTATTTAGTAGATTGATCTGGTCCAAGGAGAGGTTGAAAGTGATAAACTGCTTCATTTTGCCTACAAACTCGGGGCTCGAATTTGGTCGTAAGTTGAAACGGCTGAAATTATTGATTGTGCCGTGCAACGAACAAAAAGACAAGTCACCGAATCTCGGTATCAGGGCGTTTCTCAGTAATCCGGGATGAAAGTTTTATGAGTTTCAACGAAACACAAATGCAAAAATAAAATAAATGATACATGAAAAAATTGGTAGAAATGCAATAATGAAATTATATAATGTACAATGCGAAAATGAATTCACTCTCTGTGTGGCTACATTTCAAGAAGACCTTCCATTGTCACGATATCCATAAATTCGACATCAGCGTTTTGCCAATTTTGAAATATGTCCGGTACGCCTGCAAAGCTATTGTCCCACTCAGCTGTGTTCATCAGTGGTATGCCAGGTAATGTCATGTCGTTACCAAGTGATGCGTCACCAAGAAGTGAGCTTTGCGTCAGGATATTATCATAAGACGTCTGCAGAGTAGATGAGCTCTGATATGGAATTGAATGCGTATTGAACAGTTGCATTGAATTATAATTTGCTACAGGCTCTGTTTGCGAAGAGGATGCATGGGTTGGCTGTGACTGTGGTTCAGCGTCTGGGCGATTGACTAAACGAATGGTTGAGAGAGCATCAAATAGACCGCTAAAGCGAACACCACCACCCCAGCTATCATCAAGATCATTTAGAAGGTGCAAAAGTCTAACCATGGACGCGTTGGCCTCCATGGCGATCCGATTATCTTCTGACGCCGCAAGACTGGCGAACATCGCGCCGCACGTAAGCAGAGAAAGGACGGCGAAATTCAATGAGTATTTGAACCTTCCTTCATTGGATAAACTCTCTGCAATGTTGAGGATAGAGTACGCGGCCGAGATGCAAATTTGTAATGAAGGGTATGGTATGCGTGGTTGAGAAATTGGTATATACGGTCGATGAAGGACGATGACCGCGTTGTAGTAATGCATATGCATTTGGCAAACTGCTAGGTGTGGGATTTGACGACTGAGATTGTGCTGCGGTTCATATTGCAAGGAGGAAGGTAATTCCACTTTCCATTCGTGCAACATAGCATGTAGTTTGGAGATCTTTTCTACAGGTGAGACCTTCGTGTGGTCTATTGTGACGGAGTAAATGTCTTCCAGTACCTTGCTCATTATTTGACATAATTTGATGTATTGGCCCATGTAGTCCACTACAGGCATCGACCCATCACTGGTATCATCTTCCATGGAAGGAAAGGTGACGTCTATTTCCCGATCATCCAGAGCCAGCTGTCGACCATAACTGAGGCTGGACATTCGATCTACAATATAGCAGCACCAGAAAGCTCGTTTTCGTTCTTCTCGCTGAACCTTCGGTATATTCCAATGATCGCAGTTGCGGTTCATGCCCATGCTTTGGGCTATACGGAATGCCTGGCAAACGCAATAAATACAATAGATCAAACATGTATCCACCATCCAAATCGTTCACTTACCATGCCATTGGTAATCCATGAACGGTTTCCCTTTTTCACGGCATACTGATGACTAGCCAGAAGAAGCAAAGCTTGAATGGTTGTTACATTCACTCTGTCCATATCATCATCTAAAAGCTCCATGGCACGTTTGTAAAACACCATTCCGGCTGTACCATAATGGTCGCCGCCTTCGCTTACTCTTGCATCGGACGATAGCCGAGAAGCTATGGCAAAAATGGCATTCAGTAAAATAGGTGCAGGCGGATCCTCTGGATTCTTCAGCTTTTCCAAAAAGTTTCCCTTGTGCAGTACTGGAAGCACCGGATAACAATATTTGAAATAGATATCGATGAGATGATTTGCCAAATCCGGTGGAGGCATGATGGGAGGTGTGGCGTGAGCTTGGTTTTTCTCGTTCGCGATGCATTCACACTTGTTGTATTTCGATGGATCATATCTGTCCCGGAAGTTGAAGGATCTGTGACGAAGTTTGTCACTCGATTTAAACACATACAGTCCAGAAGAATTACCATAATATCGAAGATTGCCAAATTTGTCCAATACGGCGAGATTCTCCAGATTTTTGGTAAGCTCTTCCACTGAAGACAATGTAGATGCTGACGAAGGGGAAGGTGGATCCGTCTCCACCACAGTCATCTTCCGATGTATGTGCGAAGCTAATGGAACAGCGGGAAAGTATTCGGGAGCGTCTTCGGAGCCACTCAACATAGACGATTCGGCGCTGCCTTCCTTCATATGCATATTGAATGGTTGATCTTGCATCGAAGCATGGGTCTCTCTAGCTCCGAGTGGGGTTTCAGGTTGGTTCTCGGTCACTAACGTGCTGATGAGAGCCTCCATCTTGTGTAGTCGATTTTCCAAACTTTCTTTCGACGGACCTCGCTGGAGACCATTCATTAATTACGATTTTTCGCCAAGAACAAGCTAATGACATTGACCCACCTTTTTGATAGGATTTTTATAATGACATTCGATACCTTGCGTTTTACAGCGGTGACATGACGGATAAACTCCACTGCATCGCACTTTCCTTCTCCTGCATTCGTCGCTATTGTCACTTCAAACGTCAGAACTCGAAATTTGCCACAGCCGAAATTCACAATACTATCACATTACCATGCTCTGCCTATGCGATAAGCGCTCTTCCTATCCGAGTCTTCGAGTATATTTTGCTTTGTGCTCATTCGGCTACAGAGTAGAATGAGCTGGATAAAGCTGTAGTAAGTGATCACTTTTGATCAAGCCGCAGCTCGAAATGATATCCCGTGACCATATGCCAAAAAAAAATAAAAAACTGAAATTGGGATAAAAAAGACAAATTGGCCTTGAAATGCGCGCACGAAAGTTTTGCCGCAGCCGAGATCACCGCTCGCCATATAAATCAAGGCAATAATTCTCTTTCTTCCGCCTTCTCACATTTTCTACTATACAAACATTCATTATGGCAAGCGAAAAAGCATGTTGCACTATTCCTCCTGTTGTGTCCAACTATCAAGCAATTGGTGAGCTAGAAACCTTTGGTGATCTCCCTGTTTATCGTGTCGGCGAGGTATGTATCCAAATCTAGGCGTCTTTGCACCCAAATCTTTAATGGTATGCGTCTTACATGATTTTCATATCATCATAGAAAAGTGAGAAGGTTATCATGGTGATCTATGACGTTTTCGGTCTCCAGTAAGTAGCCCAGTCATTTTTGTAGAAGGGTGATTTCTGTCCGTAGTGACCACTCTCCACCACTTAGCAACAACACCAAGCAATTCTGCGATGTCCTCTCAAAGCACTCCGGAAAGCAAGTTATCATGCCTGATTTCTTCAGAGGCAAGGTGCTCACCGAAGCTGACCTTGGTGATCGTGCTGCCATCATGGAATGGATCGGCAGAGTCGGTAACTTTGAAGTGGTCAGTATGGCGCGTTTACCGTTTTTGAGTTAGCGACGTAGTCTAATCTTTGTCTTATGTACCAAGATTTCTCCCCAAGTCGAACAAGTCAAGGACAAGCTTACCTCCGAAGGTGTGACTAGCATGAGTGTTGTTGGTTTCTGCTGGGGAGCTAAGGTGAATAAATGGGCTATAACGTATATGTCAGATGTGTTGTGACCGCATACTAACACACACACATGCAACAGATTGCTATTCAACTCTCTGGCAACGATAGCTACTACAAATCTACTTGTTTGATTCATCCTTCTCGTCTCGAAGTCAAGGATGCTGAAGCTGCCCTTGCTCCACTTTTGATGATCACTTCCATTGAGGAGGCCAACTTGGTACAGTATTTCCAATTACCCCGTAGGCACTCCCACTATGGTTATTAACATCGATTTCGGCTTATAGAGTGAATTCATGGATGTCTTGTACAAGAAGCCTTTCGGTGATAAATGCAAGCACGTTCATTTTGATGGTGAGTGTCTTACCTATAGACTGCTAATTCCATCCGTCAGACACTAATGCTGCTGCAACGTTCAGATGTGCATCACGGCTTTGCTGCTGCTCGAGGTAACTGGGAGGAAGGTACCGTTGATCGTAAGCGCGCTACAGAAGCCATCAAGCTTACTGTTGAATACTTTAACGCCAACTTATAAATTTCAACATGTTCCGGATAAAGCTTTGCATACTCTGCCTTGCTTAAAGTAAATCAACTTACCTTGAGAAGTTTAGATCGATAACCACGTGCAATTTTACCTACATGGACAACAATTACATTTTTATTGAACCAAAAATGAATGATGTTAAAAAGCATACCATACTGAACCGGCAAGCATGAATTAGTCTAATGAATAAGTTACAAAATCATACTTTTTACACACTCTATTGCTATTCTAGCAACGGACCCTTTGCATAAGGATGCCGCATGCTGCAATTAATTACTCTTTTTTATGCGCTCTCAGCAGTGGATCCTTCAACAACTTTTCCATTGCATTGGATTCCAAATGCAATCTAACACCCACTCCATTTTCATACCAGTGGCCGGTGGTATGGGATGAATCTTTGAAATTCGAGCCCTGTGCTTCCATGATGTGCAAACATCCGTCTATACTCGGCATCAGCGGTTGGACATACCGAGGCGATGCACCAGCACCAAAATCAATTCCGTACACATTTAACCGCAGCCACGAAGTCGTTAGGATATTTCGGAGGCCGAGGAAAGTGTTCCAAATGCGCTGTGGACATACTTGATGAATGTAGTAGTGTAGAAGTGCCGGTACGGTGGTTGTGTTAAGTTGATTCAAAGTGGATCGAATCCTCGCTGCTCTTTGCCCGAGCGGCATGGAGCAAGATTCCGCACCAGACATGCTTACGCCTGCCAAAGTGATGGGTGAACCAGTGAATCTACTGGACAAGGGGGGTTCGACGCGAGTTCTAAAGTCAAACGTAACATCCAGGCTCACATCCTCCGGGTCATCCTCCAGCCCTTTTGCACGGTTGATGGCGGCCCAAAGATGAGACAAGAGGGCGTCCAGATGACTTATCTTGGTTGGCGAGACCTGTGCTGAGCCTTCTTCCCACATACTATGTATTTCTTGACCAGTAAAGTGAATTAAATAGTCTGACACAGGTGACGATAAATCCCAATTGTCCCATGGAAGCGGAGTACCAAACGGTTCGACAGGAGTATGTTCGAGTGCCTGAGGAATTTTGGTTGATCCCGCCAAAGCTGGAGGACAATGGTCAGCCGATGCCCACCAGTCGTAACGATGGAGGGGTAGGCCAGCAGCAATGTCAATTATATTCTGATCTGGTTTTTTGTCATCTTTATTGCCGGCAGCCGCATTGTCTAACAGGCTGGGGTTGAATACTGGAGTTAAACGAGGTGCCGCAGTACCGCTCACCATAGCGAGATTAACGTTGGCCCAGTCATGGATGAAGTTGACCATGGTTTGAGCGTCAGCTATAGCGTGAGCCATTTTGACTGATATGGATACACCTCCGCATGCAAAAGAAGTGATCTGTACAATCAAGCAAGGTGGGTTGTTGTGATCTTGTTTGAGGGCCAATGGTACTTCACTGGTCATGAAGCTTATTTTGGAGAGGCCCTTGATATCATAAAAGCCGTTGTTTTCTTTCCGGTCTTGTGCGCTTGGCACTATGGATGCTAGAGGTTGAGAAGTTTGGGCAATCACGAGCGCTACGCCGGGATCAGTCAAGGCACCATACGACAATACCAGACGACCAAAGCGTTCAGTGTGGTCTCCATCCGGATGATAAGCTGCCCATTTCAATTGTCCGGCCCATTGTGGGTACGCTTCTAACGTCTTCCGCAAAGACAGTGTCAATTGATCGACATAAAGCGCTCGTTTGCCTAGTTCTTCTTTTGGTTGGTCGTATATCCAAGTGCCAGCGGTAGGCGCAAATTCGGCAACAGTAGCGTCTATGATGGACAAAGGTACGATACGGGGGACATTAGATGTCACATTGGACTCTGGAAAGATGCGAGTAGTACCGATCACTTGTATATCAGCTAATGGCAAAGTTTCTGAAGGCATGATGATTAGAGTAAAGATAAAAAAAGAGAAAGGGCGAAGAATTGGTACCACAAGGAAATTTAGGAGAATGAAAAACTGGTGTTGAAATAACCATCGCGCAGTGCTTTATTTTATTATGATCCTCCATTTGGCTCCCAGCAGCAACAGAGTAAAAGATGATACTCCAAGATGTAGATCATCTGGCACTGGGTAACATCAATGACTTTCTTTGACGAAAGGCAAACAATCATACCGCTATATTGACCTTGCCACAGTTTGAATGACATGAAAAATCTGTGTCCAAATGATCACACTTGAAGTCCACTCAACTACATACAATAGTCATTTGTAAGTTTCATGAAGTATTTTGTTGTTATGTCTTGGAGTAAAAAGAAAATTCCAAATTCGCAAAACATGTAAGCTATGCCATTTTATTCATGTGGTGACCAACACGCCCTTATTTTTTTTGTAGCGCTTCTTCTTTCTTTCGTGGTGTTGCTCCGTTATCGTGTAACGAAGCGCCTACGACGATCCATGTTTATGAAAGAAATCTAGTTATAGCTTTCTATCCTACGCGGGCGAGGCCGCTTGCACGACGTCAGTGACATGCACACTAGGTGGATGCGGAACGGAAACATTGAAAGGATCTGGGCGATCCACTTGGTAGACCAAATTGATACCCAAAAAAGCCTTGTTCCTCGTAGCGTTGACATCTCGGTTCCAGGCTTCATTGGCGGTGGAGCTTTGCCATGTGGTGGTTTGTACAAAGGGCACGCCTTGCTGGAAGATCTCGTATGACCATATTGATTGCAAGCCTTGTGATACTTTTGGGGTTGTCCACCTACGTTAAAATTGTTATGCATAGGTTTACAAGAGAAACTCCGTTTTACAAGAGGGAGCATACGGCATTTGCGTGAAATTACCTTGTATAGATGTGGAGGCAGATTCAGATTCAGTAGGAACAGCATGAGGGAAGAAGAAGAGGAGAAAGTTGGTACTTTAGTGAGTACCGTTAGTAATATACTCATCAAAAGCGCATATCGCGATGACACCTGTTTCAAAAATACCTTGTGCAGATGTGGACGCAGTAGGAACAGCAGCGGAGGAAGAAGAGGAGGAAAAGGTTGTTCGTACTGTGGCGCGTCTAGTCAGTAGAGTACTCACCAAATAGCGCAGATCATAACGGCATTTGCTTCAAAATACCTTGTGCAGAAGTGGAGGCAGATGTGGATGCAGCAGGAACTGTGGAGGAAGAGAAAGGATAGATTGGCGCTACGGTGTGTACCTTTAGTAACGGATGAAAGGATAAAACACAATGGTATCGTTTTGAAGATACCTTGAAAAGTTGCTAAAGCAGACGTTACTGTGGTCTCAGAAGTTGTCAGTAGGCCTGTTGAACAAGATTTTAGTTGGAGAAGAAACGTCAATGACTTTAATTGAATTAAAATTTGTATCTTACCATCAAATTGACGTTCTTTGCCTTTAGCTGACGTATGTGATGGACCTGCCGACAGAAGCTTTAGCTTTGAAATTCATTCTGCAAGCCTCATACAGCCTGGAAGCTTGGTCGGTTTGAACGATTTAAAAATCTTACCTTCATCACTTGCTTTTTTTTTTTTTCTTCGAGGTTTCTTCACCCGGAGAAGGTGACCTCTTCATGCTTGAATTGTAAGGGTATCTTCACTCTCTAGACGACGGAACTATTCGTAGTTTTGAGGGATGAAAAAAGGAAGATAAAGAGTTGTCAAGGGAATCGATAATTATTCTGCAACAACTGACTTTTTTTTTTTTTTTTTCCTTTTATTCGCTCGTTATGGCAATCACGACTGCAATTTTCGACGAAAAAATCCATTCTAGTCATGTCATTGGCAAGAAGACCGAATATATTGCGAAAATAGGCCAATGGGACAGCAGTAAGCACAGAGTTGTACAATCAGCATTCAGCTTATCAGATGGCCCCCGAGTAGAAAAACTACCAGACATGCATCCAAGATACAAGACAAGCCTCACTGTAGTGAACAACACTTATTATTGAGAGAATTGATATTTGTCAGGGAGGCAGTCACGCACCTGTAGCAGAATTGCCGGAGATGAGTATCTTGAGAATCATGCCGGATATTTAACGGTAGTAATGGAAGAGATAAACACCGAGAATTTGCCAAGGTCTTGTAGTAGAGGAAGATCAAGTACGTTAAGAACAAAGCCATCTATCGGGACAGAATTGAAGAAACAGAGAGAGTCATAGAGTAGAGCGTAATAAGTCATAAGAGAAACACGTAGTGTAAAAAAGTCAGTTAGAAGTGAGGAAACAAGGAATAACTCAGGTTTACTTTTGCCTACTCCAGTCTATTATAGACGGACGTAGGTCTTCATATTACAATTGAGCATAGGCCATAGTAGCATATTGGCAGACATAACAGAAGTAAACCAGGAGGGAGCTTGGGTTCCAGAAGAAGAGTTGGATCACAGGAAGCAAAGGAAAAGCCGGGTTCAGTTTGAGAAGAAGCATTGTTCGAGTTAACCTCAGGTACAGGGTTCAAATCCTACCTCTCCTGTATTTCAGAATTTGTATTTTCCCATGGAAACCTGGAACATCATGTCAATCACTATCCCGAGTGCTTTGCACTCGGGACGATCCATCTCATCAAGATGAGACGGACTAGACTTTCATAAAGAAAGAATTCTTCCTGATTTAGTCAAGACTCTTGCGTAGCTCATAATGTAAATCCGCACATTTATTTGTCATGTTTAAATTTCGCAGAAGCTTTAAAAAGGACTCTCTAACAGCGGTACCGCCGGAGGGTTATACAAATACAATACATACATCTACGCGATAACCACTCTAGGGCCATGCTAGGTGAGGGGGTTTGCTTTAGTATGGATAAGTGTACAGGACTACGTCGATGGGTGACCGGACTCAGCAGTTAGTAGGAGAGTCACATATCCATACGTAGTTGAGACTGCCCTTGATGACATTGATGACATTGGAAAAATCGTTTACAGCGGTGTTCACCACATAGTCGCCCAAAAGTGTTTCGTTGGGACATCCTTGAACGGTATAAAATTTGGCCAGTGCAATCTTGTTGATATATGATACCGATAGCTGCCAACTGTTGTTGTAAAGTGGTATACATGTATTGGAGTTGAGGGTATGCCATGTATTGTTGTAGCCTATGGATACCATATCGGCAGGAGATATATAGTACGATGACAAATTTGCGCCGATTTGCGGCTGTGGCTGAGTGACGGTGCTGGACGTCTGTCCTCTTGAGGCATATGCCCAGGCAAAAAGAGCAGCAAATATGACGACCAAGAGGACCAGTCCTCCCATGATTACCAGCGTCCATTTGCGCTGCTTCCACCCGTCGACTCCAGAGTTTTCATAACTGGTATGACTTATTTTGGTGGATATTTTTGTGGTTGCTTCTTTGTAATTGTAGACATTTATATTTTCTTGGATTTGGTCCTCGTCCGAAGTGTTTGGTTTTTGCGTGGCATACTGCATCATTTTGGCTACAGTGCTTAATGTAAATATATAGTATAATCTGTTGCTGCGATGAGACAGGGAGATCAAGTCAAAAAGGCCACCACAGTGCGACGAAGGATCCAGCCCTTTAAATACATGTACGCAAGGAAATATGTGTAACCCCGGTCAAAGACTCTGCATCCACACGTGCATTACTTCCCATTTGTACATGAGTCAAACGAATCCAGCATGCTGTTCATGTTGTGTAGGTTAATGTTAGGTAAAATGCCACATTATGGCTATTGCCGATTATAATGATATATCATAGCAAAGATGTGAACGCTGCTCCGTTACCGTCAATGGCACACATACAATGGGGCAACATGGTGACAACGACATTTATATCTCTTTATGCTTTCAAAATTGACACCATTGAATGATCATGATAGCCTCGACATGACAGCAAGAGCCACACTACATGTTGGCTAATACGATCGACCTTGCAATCGCGATTATAGAATAAAAAAGACAGGATGAAGGAAGAAAAATTGGTACAACCAATGCAAGCCCCTTGTGAAATGGAGATAACACTGATGAAGTTTTCCTCCTTAACAGCGATGTCACTCTTTTTTTATTATCTCAATTGCAGTTGATGTATGATGGCTACCAACGCAAGACCTCATATCTAACCCCACAATCTTCCTCAGCAACGGCGGAGCAGTCTAATGTATTTTTCAGTTGAGGCTATGGTGGCCACTGTATTTCAGCTAAGAGCTCTTTGAAATGCCTGGCTTCAAACTTTAGTTTAGTCTAGCCTTCCGCTTGAACATATGGCCAAACTATATCGATCGACTTTTCTCTAACACCAAGTGCCATTTAATGTAATAGCTCCACAGTTACCCATTTCCCTTTGGAAAACAATCTACTTGAACAGCCGGTTTGTCTCGGTGTTCACTAGATTGGTAATGATAGACTTAAGAGTCATGGATTGACTGGAAATGGGATAGATTGCAATGTATTGTAAAGTAACATGCAGCCAAGCCTTCCAAGGATTTCCTTTTCTCGCAAAATGTGCACTGGTGATTTCCCATTATGACGCGTCAAACTCGGTGGTTATTATTTATTTCGTTTGGCCTTTTTCTTCAGCTATCAAACTTACCCATCAAAGTTCTTCATTAATGTTCTTCAGTCCTGTATGTGCCCTGCTGTTTTGAGCTCAGATGAGGCACTCTTAGCTGTATCACATTTTGCACGGCAATGTTACAAACGGCGCGCCAATCTCTACGTCCAGTGTCACCGTAAAAAAAAAATGTTCTGTATAACACACGTAGCATTTTGTGGCATTCGGTTTTGAGTCTGCGGTCAACGAGAAATAGCTCACTCACTTTGAAGAAAAAACATTCCAATGATTCAAAGAAAACTGGGTGGTATTATATGACTATACGCGAGTGACTATAGAAAAAAATATACCAGAGTAATGCGTAGCCGAGTGAGACGGAAATAAACAAGTGGGTGTACAAGTACAAGAATCAATCCTACACAGAAGGAAAAAACTTGAGAAAGGAAAAAGTCAGACCATGTCCGTCTTAGTATCTATGGTAGCACTGAAGTGCGTCTGCACCACGAGCCTAAAAGTCATTTGCTCCAAAATGACTGAATTCGAAGATGGCGGATTCAAGAGCTTCTCTCGAGATGCCGATACTGATTTCATCCAAAAGCTGAACTTTGGATGAATAATCCTGTAATTGTTGCTGTTGCTTCACAATGGTTTCCAGCTTGATAGGGTCAGAAACGTCGAAGAGGCAAATCTTGGGTAGCAAAGTGGCGTCGTGCGTGTTGATATCCGGCGGGATGATGAAGCGATCTTTACCAACCGTCAAGCAGTTGTCGTTGGTTATTTTCGAACATTTGCTTATGGCTTCATAAAACATTTTCAATACCGATTCCGATTCCCCTTCCTTTCCTATCACACGGTTGATCTTTTGAAATATGGTAACAGCGGTAAACAGGTCTTTCTTGGATGTCTTTACAGACACTAGATTTCTGTTTTGGATCAAACATGCCCCAACGATCGCCCCAGCTGTGAAGCAATCCGGTGTATACCAGAAATCCGGCACAAACGTTGACATAGGATCCAACTGATTGATGTCAACGACGTGCTGGCTGCTTTCAATGATATGATGACATGATGTGAGGGTGGTACATAACGCCTTTCCGTAGTAAGAGTGGTTTGGATCGTGTATGAAGTGATTGAAAAGTCTAACGATTTTGGAATGAATACAGATGTGAGCCAAATATCGATGGGTCTCCATCTTGGGGCCAAACTCTTCAGAGGATGGTACGGTAGACAAGAGTAGCCTACACGATGCTTCCAGTTCTTCCACTGTCTCTTGTGAAAGTACGTTTTCTCGTAACTCTGCGTCTCTAATAGCTCCCCTTAACCTTGACGTATGGCATTGGAATAGTAAGAACCATTTTTCTGTAAGCTGAGGTGAATTTTCGATCTCAATGGAGTCTGGATTGATGGCACTTTCTTCAGCATTGACAGGAAGTCGGCAGCTACACTCACGATCATTGATGTGAGGTGGGTAAGAGAGCTTGGCTGATAGCGACTGGTCGCATATATATATATTCCACCACATTCGTCGTCTCATTTCTCGTTCGAACGGACTAAAATTGTCGAATATTTCTGGATCTCGATGCAGCCCCATCTGCATAGCAATAGTGATCAATGATCCAAGTCGTGGCCAAGTTCGACGTTCAATGGGGGTTCGATCATGACAATGCAGAGAAAATTCACACTGTAGGGTGCCAGCCCGAAGGTAGTCTAAATCATACGGTACATCAGAAGAATCCGTGAGTTGTAGAGCATCCACTGAGATTTGATAAAGATGCAGGGCACATAGAGTGTATTTTTGTCGTTGAGCAACGGATCGAGTCGTTTGCGACAGGACCTGCTTACCCGAGGCCATGACAGCCGCTACCAATCCTACAAACGAAGATGACGCCGTTCCATCTATCAACATTCGCTGATACCGCTCAATAAATGATGTCCAATGCACATTATAATTGAGAGAATTGCGGTGTGTTTTGAATAATTTCAGTGCTTCCTCAGCATGATCATCAAGTGGTAGCCGAGCGATAAGGGCCAACACTGGATCTTGTTCTTGAATCGGAGCTTGAACGGGCTGCTGGTGTTGTGGCTTGACAACGTCAGTCAATGTGCTGGAATTGGCTCCAGCGAGCAACCTGTCCAAAACTTCCTTCAGCGTGCTAAGTTTAAAAAAAAAAACCGGGGGTTACTTCGAGTTGGAATGAGTGACATGTCGAAATGAAACTTCGAAATGTACATGTTGTTGTCTTCATCCAGGTCATTGTACAGGCATGCACGGTTGGACTTTCGCTTCTTGCAAGCTGAACACGGTCGCTGGCGATCGCACTTGGGGAGAGCTGGTTTAGAAAATCGACGTTCAAAGCATTGACATGATATGCAGAATATTCACCTTGGATTTAAGTCGCTTGCATTCCGTACATACAAGGGTTATGCGGTTTCTGGATTTGCCCATATCCTTAAAGTTTTAGCAATTGGCGTGATAAAGATATTGAAGAACAGGAAATTTCATTCTCCATATAAAATTTTCGATCTGATTATTCATCACGAGCCGAGGCCAAAGAAATTGAAACTTCCTTACCGCAGCACTTCATGCATGCTCATGAAAATATTTATGAACCCTTTATGAACCCTTCCTTGAACCCTTCCTTGTTAGATAAACAACCAAGATAACGCATTAAAAGTTTGGCTCTCAAAGGTCGACTCATTCCTTTCCTTCCTCAAGCTTCCTAACAAAGAGTCTTCATCAACGAGCCTCTAAGGTCGCCACGAGTACACACAATATGTTGGATAAAATTAAAACATCAGAATTTATAAACTTTATTGAGATATCTCACTGAAAAACTTGAAGATTGCCGCCGCACTGGCACAAGCCACTTCGGCGAGGAATTGGAGACTAGATATTTTTTACAATGGTAGTAGAGCCGTCGCATTCTTACAGGACAATCTATACGCCGCTCCTTGCCAGTTAACGTGCAAACAGATCTACGATTCATTAGGCTACACATTTATGGCTAACTTTCCTATTAACGCTATCGATATAGTAAGTCAAGGTAAGGAACCGTCTTCAACCGCGAGTATCGTTGCAGCTGAAATTACAGGAGCATGATTTGTAAGGCAACGATGCGACTGCTGAACGAAGTCATGCTAGTAAACGTAAGCGTCATAACACAGCCATGTATTTAATCTAGTTATGGGCATATAACCCATACCGGTCGGTTGCACCCTCATTGCCGATAGATCTTTCTGGGCTTTTCATGTCAAAATTTGACATTTTTTTCTAATGCTTTCGACATGCTTTGGTAGCAAGCACGCCTGGTACGAATTTATTCCTGGCGGACGTTTTGCACGAATGCTTGGCATATGAGCTTCGTTTCTGCTGCGCGGTAGCGGACATGGGATTGTCCCGTTTTGGGTGAAAACTTGCCGGTTGCGCTCTGTTCAGCCAATAAGCTTGCTTCAGCCACAATAAGTGCCGGCTAGATTTTCCATTTTAATTCAAATGCAGCAGATCAATACTTTTTCCGTGGCGGTATTTAGAGTCAAGATTTTCATATATAAAGTCGTTCTAGCAACTGCTTGGACTAACAAACCATTCAAATCAATCAACCTTTTACTCATGGATATCGAGTCTTCCTTGGAAAACAACCCAAACTACCGCTTCATACCCCTTGGGCCTAATGCCGCGGCGGGAGTCATTGCTGCTGCTTTCATCATTTTAATCTTCCCCTGGGCGTATTTTCTTCTGCGGTATCGTCGGTTCTTGGTCGGCGCTGTCGTACGTCTCTTGGCTTTCACTCTGATTGGAGCTACAGGCTATATTCTTCGTATCGTGTGCAATGGCATGATTCCCAATGCAAGCTCTACATCCGACCAGATCAATCTCTTCATCAATTTGTACATCGCTTCCAATACTATGACCAATATTGGCAACTTCTTCCTTTTCAACGCTTTGACGGCAGTCGCAAACAGTTGGATTGAAAGCAACAGAGGGGTTACGGAAAGTGTCAGAATTGCCTTTGAGCGTAAAATCTACCGCTACTTCACTTTGGCTACTCTGGTGGCATTGATTCTCAATATTGTTGGTGCCTCTGACAACAGGAACGATCTCCGCATTGCTAGTAATGCCATCTTTGTTGCCCTTCTAGTCGTATTGCTTCTCGCCATCATCTACTACAACTTTACCTTGGAGATTCCTCACCACAGAGGAGAAAACAACAATACAACCAAGAGCGCTGGCATTTACTCTCACCCAAGTACTATCCCACGACTTTTGTTCATATGCACATTCCTGCTCTTGGTCTCGCAAGCCTACAAGTTGGCACAGTCCGTTGTACCAGTCGGTACAGTCGCTCTCACCAGTATTCCTTTGATCTACATTTTGGGCCCTACTCTCAATTTGATTGTCTTGATCATTCTTACCATCACTTGGGTTCCTGTCTTTTACAGCACCTTATGGGAGCGTAAAGTTGCCTTTGAGCGATCCCTGTCAGAATATTTGGAGCCGGGCCCAGGTGGTGATTACCAGATGGATCGAATGAATCAGCGAGTTTAAGCGCTAATAGCGTCCGGAGCATGCGACAGTCTTATGTAAAATAGCTATATCTAAAGTTCTCTACCTATGCTCTATCAATCCGTCCTGTACAATTATTCTTCAAACACCTTTCTATCAATGACGTACTCATAGAAAAATCACGAATTAAAATGATGCCATGGCATCTTAATATCCTAATGCTACAGTTGGACAACAGCTTGATACAAGTCAATACTGAATTAAAACTATTTATTAGAATGCCTCAGGTGATTGTTACCTGAAATAGGTATATAACCCAACTTGTTAGGCTCTTCTACTTCACTCGCAATGCAAAAAGCTGCTGGTGTAGCGCATTCCTTTTCCCGGCGTCTTACAGTAGCTGGAGTAGATTTTATTCATGCGATTGCCTTTAAAAGTGGGCATCACAATCCACATCCGCTTCAGTAAAATACGCTGGACGAAAGTTTCACGGTATGGATGCTTACTTCATCCACTACCATCCTATCTGAAAGCTTCGTTAGTAGGTGTGGAGAAAATATGGGTAATCATCAACTAAAATAATTTCTAGGTGGGGCTGGTTAGCGAGATGATTAAGAACAACTTAACACATTTGACAGGTCATACAATCGATTTCGATCAATGCATGAAATGAGGTTGGAAATGCTAACGGCTCCAATTTTTTCTGCAATTTTCAACCAGTTGGGTATGTGGTTCATTTCTCTACTTCAACTTCGGTGCCAGTCACTGAGAAAACATACAGGAGCGACGCATATAAGGCTACCTTGGGTATCTGAAATGTACTGCGACCAAAAGTATCATTTGGTGAAGTAAAAATGTGGTAAATCGCCGAGATTTCAGCACTGGAAAGCTATGCAGGCAACAGGTTTATCAGGTTGGTTTATTTCACACAGATATAGAATATCCTAGGTATGCATTAAATCATATTTTCACAGGTAATTCATATACATTGGCAAATAATCTTATGTTAGAAAGTGAGTTCATCGGCACACGCTATTTAACACCCAAGACGATATTCGCATCCGCCTTGAACTTGTACACATCTTGCTCGCCATATTTTTCAATAATGACGGCGCGTACATCTTTCTTAAAAGTATTAATCTGATCGTTGCTCAAGTCTTTCAAAAAAAAACTGCGAATACCAGGGTTGCGAGTCAGGCTTGCAATAAACTCGTCCAGGTTCTCTGCTTCTGTGGTCATTTCTCCGCTGCACACCACACCGCTGACTTTCTGAAACCCAGCTTCGTGTAATTGTTCTTTACAGAACTCCAAATCTGCCCAGCTGCGGACCCATGGTATTTCTTTAGGTTCTTCACCCTGCGTCTTGGCTTTGGCAATCCATAACGAACGTAGTAGTTCCTGTGATCCCCAAGTGGTGTAAACTGCCTTTCGACCCGGTACGAGGACACGATGGAACTGCGAGAGGGCCTTTGCGCCGTCTGGCATAAGCATGACGCCGAACACACAGAACACGGCATCGATGGATGCTTCAGACAGCGGGAGGTCCATGCCATCCATGACTTCAGCCTTGACATTCTTCCAGCCTAGTTTCTCCGCCTTACTGTTAACAATATCAACCATTCCTGAAGCATAGTCGGTGGATATCACAGAGACGGTGGGCGACAGTGTTTTAACAATAGCGGCTGCCACCACGCCGGTGCCACACGCGACATCGAGAATCTTTATGTCCGTCCGGGAATCCAACTGTGCGAATTCAACACTTTTCTCAGCATAATAAACCGTGCTCGCCTCCACGTAACGGAGGTAATCGTCAGAGGCTACTGACCAGGATTGAGGATTCATGGCGATGAGAAAAAAGTGAATGAGGCTCGGCGAACAATTTTGAGTACATGTTTCTCAATCATTTGCCTTTTAAGACAGTTGGCTGGTTTACCAGGACTGAATTCTCAACATTCTACTGAACAAACAGTTTCAGACTTTAACATCAGTAATTTGACTATTGGATTTTAATGATAGAGTCACAGTAAAAGGCAGCTTTAGGTATATACCAATAGGTATAGTTTACATATTATATTAACGGATTGTACAACAGATAGGAATTAGAAAAGGTACAAATGATGATGTATAGGATATGGATAGGCTTTCAATCGGACGATCAAGCGTTTTGTTCTGCCATCGGATACTCTGAAGCAGCAGCATCTTGGGCTTGACGCTGAGCAAGGAGTCGACGCCAGATGGTGTCGTGGAAAACGGGGCCCCAGCTAATAGCCAAGATGATGAGGATGATGAGATCAATAACAGGGCCAAAGATGTAGATCAAAGCAATGTTCTTGAGGGCAGGAGAGCCAACATTCACAGCATACTGAGCAAGCTTGAAAGCTTGAGCAATAAGTAGCAAAAATGTAGAGATAAACAGGAAAAACTGCACAGCATAGGGGTGGTGGAGTTTGGATGTAGGTGTGCTGGAAATCGGCATGGTTCCATCTTCCAAGCCATGGTGGTAGTAACGAATAATGATCAGGAGGAGTGCGACCAAAGCAACAAAGATGGCATTACCGGCGAGACGAAGCACATTCATATTGAGAGAGGAGCCAACAATGGTCAAAACCAAAGAGACAATAGTCAACATAATAAGCATCCGGAAAATACGGCTATCCCGTCCGGCTTCGCGTGGGTCGGAGCCGTTTCTCTTGGAAAGAACCCAGTTGTAGGTGATGGATAACAAACCAGTGAACAAGATGAAGGTGCCGATGGCGGTCAAAGCGTTGGTCGCAATATACAAGTTGACGAATTGTGTGATTTGAGCTTCGGTGGGCGTATCGCCCATACTGCTCAAAACGCTGTTACAGACAATCTTCAAAATGAACCCTACTGTCAATATCGCACAGAAAAGGATGATTCGAGCAATCGACCACACCAAGAATCCTCGAAACCGAACAGCATTGTATATCCAAGCGATCACCATGATGAAAAAGGCAGCGGCCATGACACCGGCTGCTGATGAGGGACCAAGAGGAATGAATCGATCGTTGGGATCATTCTCGAGGTAAGAGATGAGAGCGTCCATGAGGGAAGTAAGAGAAGTTTAATGATAGAAAAAGGGAAAAATAAGAAAAAAAGGAGATTCATTTATATAGCTTTGGGATTTCTCACTGCGCATTTTGCCTCCGTAGCAAATTACGGCGTTACATTTTCCTGATCTGTACCTGAAAATGCTGGTGACTCCGCCAAGAAATGACCGTGGACCTCTAAACGTGTGCAAGCAGCGCAGATCCATATGTTAAGTTGTCAACATAGTTATTACCTATATGGCTTTAAAAGTCTGCCTTAGAGGGTTGATAAACATTAGCGCAAGTCGACACGCAAGCGAAACAGGGTCGGAGCCAAGACATGTCTTCATTAAAGACGGCCATTGAAGAGCGCAGCATACATATTCCTCAACTTCCTCCTGCGCTGTTACTACGGTTGTGGCTTACTTGCTGCAGCATGCTGTGGTATGGGCCTATGTGGGTGCAAAGTGTTGTGTTCGGCAGGTTTACAGCAGGTCTGCTAGGCACAAGACTGCATGTCGTAAGTCACGGTATGGCAGTGTACAGTGGAAGAAACGTTTAATTTTAAAAAAAGATAACGTATAAAAATTCTTGTGGCTACAGGCAGACAGATCAACCATATTGGGACACTGCGCTAAGATCGCGAACTGCGTGAAAATGTTTTCCCCGCTAGGCCGATACTACAAACAAAAAAGAAACGTTGCCGCCCATAGCCGATGAGGCTGCAGCCTCTTGTGTTGCACGCAAGTGTGATCAATCTGATACCATTGTAAGTAGATAAAATTGTATTGATATGCTACGCTATAGCGATTATATGGAAAGAAAAAAAAATTAAGTTGGCTCAGGTTGCGGTCACTAGAGTAGGATGGAGAAACTTGTCCTAGGTCGGATTACGAAAATCGGTCAACAGCACTTTTCTACCGCGCTTTGTTGCGTTAGATTCTGTTCATCTTGAGGGCTCTGCTGGACTCCATGTTTCGGGCACTTCGGCGTCGGGATAGAATGAAAAGTAAAGCTCCAATAGAACCGGCCACCAGGGCAACTACCGCACCAATGAATCCAGCACCAACGGGAGAAACTCGATCAGAAGGACATGAAGTAGTCACCAAGTTTTGACATCCTCTAGAAAAGCTGTTGCCGCACTGAGAGCACCAGGCTGTCAGATTGTTCACCGATCGAGCACTAATGTTCTCCATAAATTGGTCCAATGGCATCCCCCCACTGTTCAGACCAAAAAGCCCGTAAGGCACCAATGCTGAACCTTGATCTGTACCGTTCTTGTATAGCATCCGAACCGTATAGTCTGAAAATTGAACCGACTCAGCTGCCTGAGTGGATACCTCGAATACCAAAGCAGATCCAAACTCTGTGATAGATTGGAATTCGGGGTTGCTGTCGGTTAGATTGTATAAGTCAAAGAAGGAGATGAACGTTTGAAAACCATCTGCGTAGTAAGTGAATTTAGGTGACTTGGTTGAGCTTGTGATGGTGGTGTTAATGTCGTTGTAGAGTTGGGAAGCAAACGTAGCGCCAGCAATGGTATTAATGCTATCGTAGTTACCCCCATAGGTGTTGTATTCATACCAATTAGCCAACGACTTGAGGTACAGGTAATTGTCAACACCGAGGGATTGCGCAAGTGTTGAATTATAGGTGTATTGATAATTGAGGTAGTCATAAATAGAGTACACATTGGCCAGACTACTTGGCCGACCGCCGAGGAGCGGAGCCAAATTGGTAAAAAATGACTGTGTTTCCGTTACCTTGTCCTGCCACGTCTGGCTTTTCTGGAAGCTGGCAAACCCGTTTTTCATTGCTGTACAATCCACCCAACCATCCAGAACAATGTCGCTGCTGTCAGGCATTGTGTTTATCGGGATATACTGATAGCCTCCTAAGGGTGGATAGTAAGCTGTACCATTTGCTAGCGTGGAATTCATGGAGGGATCAGTGGAGGTCGCAGTTGGAGGGTACACGCCTTGAAGGAATGCGGTGGCCGAGGCGAGAATCACCTCATTATCTGACGCTAACGTCGTCACCTGCGACATGGTGTAGATGGATGAAATGTTCTTGATCATGGTGGTAGATGCTGCGTCAAAGTAGACAGAGTGAATGAATTGCCCTTGATTGTAGAGCATGGTTTTCCCAAGGGGTGTGAGTTCATCTGCAGCTTCAGTAAAGTTCCATGGATTGCCATAATTTGCTGTACGGTCGCCATGTCGAGTCAAGACAAACACAGCAACGACTTGAGATGGGGTAGTCATATGGATGTGAAACGCGGAAGAGGAAAAAGATACCGAGGGGAGGTACAAAACATGACTCGATTATAATAATCAGATATGAGCAGTCTCAAATGTCGGAGCCGTTACTTGAGCTGCGATAGGTTTAGACTCATTCATCGCTATGTCGGTGAAGATGATCTTGAATTGACAGATAGGTCAGGGTCTGTTGACTAATGGTTGACAGAAAGCGCTATTGATGATATACCTCATTCATGAAATGATGGGGGTATTGATTCATGTATATTTAAAGGCTATAAAGTTGATCCGGCAGGATCAGATAACGCCAAATTTCGAGACTGCTTTGGTTTGGTTCTTCCGAGGGTATCCAAACACAGGTACAGTATGGTTGTTAATGTTAATCTATTTTACAAACAAAAGCGCACTGGAGAATAAACTTTAATATGCGGCGGTGCCGATGTTATTCCTTTGAAGTTTTGAGTACACGCACGTACCTTATTGTTACTAGCGCTCATAGGACCCCCTGATAACGGGTTCTGCCACCGATGGATGCAAAGTAATCTCGGGTGGTATGATATATAGACGAATGGCTGGTGCATTTGAAGCTATATGAACCGCTAATGTGATTGCAGAATTTATAATTGCATTGAATTTTGTTTGGATGTGTGGACGTCCAATGAGGGAGAGTGCAGTGGAAAATGCTAGTGACAGCTCCAGCCGTAGGAATAAATTTGGCTGAGAGCTGAACCCTTAGGAAAGGGGTTCATGTTGTAGCGTCGTCACGGTATACCACCGCATTCCATATCAGTCGGTATCATTATGCGCCAAACAGTAAATTTTATGTCAGAGATAACATGGCTGGCTCGACCATTACGTCGAAGGATGACTGACGTCTGGAACCAAGAATGCACTAGTGTGAAAGTGTAGATACAAACGTCTTGCCCTCGTCACTTGCAAGATGGTCCACGCCGAAAGCCGACTTACTCAATAGGAACAATTTTCCGTTCGACCTCCTATTTACACATAGACCGTAATGGTAGAATCATTGGCTCCGAAAATGGGATACGCCATTTTATCAAAAGGCACCTTGCCATAAAGTTACACATTGGCCTCTCGTCGGGAAGACCGAGCAAGCGTTTATAGCCTATTGAAGCGATGAGCCCAGCAGCTCCGCTTCGTGTGAGCAATGAGACAATGTTATTGTTATAAATTTCCATACCTACAATAGTGAGTATTCCCTTTTCATCAAAGCATGGCGCTCGTGTTCTTGTATGATCACGACTATCATATACGTTGCTAAGAACATGGCTTCGTGGGAGAAATGGAGCGCAGAGTTCGGACACCAAAACAAGTATCCTATTTTGCTCCATCGCTGATGAAGAAAATGATCATCTCAGGGAAATTTTAGCTTGTCGGTCAAGACATCTCGGTCATATCGTATTTCATAGCGACTGTGACACTGTTTGGCGTGCAGTGCACACAGAGGACACAAAATTTTATATATATTACATGGTGCGAACAACATGTATTCTATGCTGCAAATCTCGTGTAGCTTTTTTTCCCAATACTGGTGTGTATGCAACGTCGCTTTCTGATGCCTTGCGCTGGGGGTGGCGCATCAGATGGGAAGATTAGATAAGTTGGAATAGATCGTTTGCCCAGACACCATTACTTTTTAGGATCTTGAAAAGTGGAGTTGCTGAGTTGCCATTTGTACAACGGATGAAGCTCACCTGGGACATAGTTCTCGTGCTGGAAGATGAGTTCCATTCTCAGGCTCAGATTACATGATATGAGTCGGGAAATGGAGGATGCCATGAGCAGTCGCTGCTCTATGATTGAAAAGCCTTTCAGAGGAATTCAAAATGGACTTTCATTTCACGTCTGTAATACGACATACCTTTGAAAGCTGAACACATTTCATTTGATCATAAGTCACGCCACAGTCTTACAACAGGGCTTTGTAAGACGTTGATATAGCAGCATGGACCCAAAAAAAAAGCATATAAAGGCAACTGATCTCGGGATGACGATTTTGTTCAAGATTTGCGATGCGTATTCTGTGCGCTGTCGCTCTATTCGTCTCACTATCATGCGTCAAGGCTGTATCTTTTCAATCACCACAAGCGCAATCACAGCTCACACCAGGCACGTCCTTCCAAGTCGTATGGGGTTGGGATAGTCCACCGAGAGCCGACGATGGTGCGCTTGATATTTATCTTGTCAGAGATTCTGCAGCGACGTCCGTAGTTTCGCAGTTAGTGACCGGAGCACTAATCTTATATTCAGCAACATCCGCCACCATCCCTACTGGTACCCCGGCTGGCCAATACTACCTGCAATTAAGCGTGACCAGCGGTACGGAAAAGAGTGCTATCGGTGGACCGTTCAACGTCGCCACCGGTCCTACCGTCGTCGCCAGTAACAGTACAATCACCACGGTTACAGTAGATGGTGCGACTGTCACCACCTATGTCGTTCCAACCGTGAGTCCACAATCTGATACCGCAGCACCAAGCACACAACAGGGTCTTGCCGGCGGTGCGACTGCAGGCATCATTATTGGAGCTTTGATTGCATTTGTAAGTTTTGAACAAATTTACGCAAGTCGAAGTAATTTGAACGAGCACCGGGAATCATTGTGGGCTCATGCTTTTTTATTATGCTAGGGAGCTATCATGGCCACTTGGTTCGTATGGTACAGAAGACGTCAACAAACCATTCATCGAGAAATGGCAATGAACAAACCTTTACCTGGTTTACGACATCCTTCACAAGATCCTCACCATTTCACTGAATACAACCATTACGGGACTGACCACCCACTGCATTCATCCGTCATCCCATACGGACGCAACAACGGTGTATCTCCGCTCTCCGAATATCCGGTCAGTGTAGGCAACCAGACCATGCCATCAAGTGATACACAATCCCACTACCAACGGCACCTTGTGTCCATCCCAAGTGTAAGTAATCAGAATTCGCACACAGGAAGCGGCGCTTCCACCGTGCGGCAATACCGTTCCTCCCTTGCTGCTGGGTCGTTTGGACCAGCCACACACTCGTCAGGAAGCTCAACCGCTTCCCCACCACGATCCACCGACACCGCCATCTATCGTCCTGTCGTTGAGCAAGTCACGTATTCTCCTCCACATACTCCCAGCTCGCCTGTATTATCACCTTCCCCACCTCCTAAATAATTGTACACATCTTTGTGCCGCGGCAGTTACGACAGTCGATGAGTTCGTACTGACTTTCGCAGCATTCGTAAATACCGAACATCCATCCCAATTTAGAACGAAAGACATTTGATGATAAAACATTGTATTTCATTGGCCTTGAGCAATAGCAATAAAAAAAAATCTTGCAAAGGTGATGCAATTGCGGTCCGCATCGACTAAAATGCATAGCATTGAAAGCAAGCTTGTTTGACACAGGAAGTCAAATTGATTCACTGGCTGCCGGAGAGCAGAGCATTGGAAAGGATCGATACATGCTTGTTCGAGTTTGTGCCGGCAAATAAGATTTATATGGGTATAGAGCTTTTCTTCGCCCCCACCGCCTTCGGGATCAAGGTTCCATACGGGTACAAAGGCGCAATAGGATGAGATGTAAACATTCTTTCTTTCTTCTTAATTTCGCTTCATCCAACGTTAATTTCATAATGTTTATTTTACATTTGATGTCATTTTCATCCTAATTCAATGGACTGCCTTTCACTCGTCGCTTCCTGCCATTTTCGTTCCTTCTCAGTGTGCGTTTCCGCCATTTCGTACAACTTTCCAAATCAGGTGGCACCCATCGTTGGTGTGCACGCAGTGAGCAAAGGGAGAGCAAGCCAGTTGGATGCTTAGCAAAGTGAATATCAAAGCCCATAAGAATTTTATTTATTGTATCATATCTTCTTTTTTTTATAATAAAAGAAACTGAGGCATACCATACGGCTGAGGAAAATATACATAACCAGTCATCATAGAAAAGTTTTGAGGTACGGTTGGCTTTTATTTTTTGCTGCAGGTGCCACAGTAGGTGTGAGTGCCTTTGGGACAGGTACCTTTGCATCCCTTTCTGTTGTTATCGTAGCAAAGACCATTGCACTTCTTTGAACCAGAATAGTAGTAGTACCATCCGCAGGGGCAGTAGTAGTGGCATCTGGTCAAATACCAGGTGGAACCACAGGTTTTGCTGGTGGTTGCGTCGTTATGGTCATCGGTAGGGGTCAGGTTTTGGCCTTGCAACGTTGCGACATCATCGAAGTGGTCGGCAAGCTCAAAGGTAGAGATGTCGGGACTAACATCTTGAGCCAAGACGGACGCAACTGAAGCAAGAGCCAAAGCGGAGGCAACGATAGAGAAACGCATAGTGAATTGTTGACAGACAGAAAGAAAAAAAAGCCTGAGTATAACATGATTACAATGGCATGGTCGTATATTTGTATACCAACTGCGCAGCTGTATAAGATCAGGACCGCCGTAGCACAAAGACTGATTTTCAAGGTAGGTGTTGAGGCTGAGCTCAATCTGGTACCTCAACCAGGAATAGCCCTTGGGTAACAAGAGTGGTGGCTTGACGTGAAAGGTAGTTGGTGATAAAGGCACCTTGAACTGGGAGGGTCAAGGATCAACATGGCATCCGCTAGAACATTATACTACTATAGAAGAAAACGAAATTAAAGTTTTCAGGGGAAGTGAGTACTTGGGTTATGCTCGCATTGAGATAATTGCTTTCGGAAAGTAAAACGTGAAGTACGAGACCAGGTAGAGATGAGTGACAGACGTATATTGATTTTACAGAAGTATAGGTATTGGAGCATCTATAGAACCCCAGTAGACGTTGCAACTGATTAACCTCTTATATTCAAAGTATTCATTGCGTAGGCTTAGTGCTATGGAAGGTGGGATGGGAAGATCAACAGAAAATGTCCACAAGCGCTAGCCTAACTGCAAACGAATGAAAGGCACTAGCTGCTGCTCTAACAGGAGTGGACTTGCTGCAGCGCGAATGAGTCATCGTTATCAAATAAAATTCTCGATCTCAGTTTGAAATAGAGTGAATTCTTTCGGCTTGCCCCACTGTAATGTTTAATTTAGGACGTTACCAGCCGGTAGTTCATGCGAGGTAACCAAGTCGGAGCACCAAGCGGCGATAATGCGACACACTTTACTGGCACTCGAGGCAACTGCAAGTGAGAACATAAGATACTGACATTGCACCATGTTGGGTTGAGCACATTTCAAGAATGTTCAACATTTTGCTTCATTTCAGGCTACCGTTCGAGAACTAGTTATTTTGAGAGTCCACCCGTCAGGTACAAATCAGCAGTGTTGCAAGCACACTATTTTGTACATGTGGCTAAGGCAAATTTTTTTTTATTTAATTCTTTTATTTCGCCAAACAGTCATTCAATTTCATGAGCTTTGTTGACTGGAAAGCAAAATAGTTGCTGGGAAGGAGACGTTGATGTTTTTTCTGTAATGGCTTGTATTTGGCCACATCGCTGCTTTTCTTTGATGACTTGTGTTTGGCCATCTCACTGCTTCCATATGGTATTCGAAAGCGAAACAAGACGTGGCTGATGCTTTTGGTTTATGTCATTTCCTTGCTTGCATAAGCTTCTTTCCGCATGTTAACCCACGATTATATTTTCCCTTAAGAGACATTGTAAAACGTCTGCCGTACATTTGGATATCTGAGGCTGGCATTTGAAACAACCAAGTAAGTTCCCTGTTGAAAATGCAAGGTAAAGATGGATAAAACGATACTTTAGATGGCAGCACGATTTATAAATTGCAGTGAAAGCATTACAGTACTCGCTCAGTTTCGATATCCTATGGTTGCTACCCCTCGGTTTGCAAATACCGGGGATTGCGCAGCATGTTGAAGCTCAGACGTGGCTGATGCTGGCCAAACCATGTTCCTGGTTGCCAGCAGATGCATCCTTGATTGTCTCATCTCAAAGGGCTGATTATAGACGTCAACACTCACATAAATTAAATGACTGTTATTTTTAATATTTCGTTACTAATCTCTTCCCTAAATTTACTGGTCGAACCATGACCATCACCAATTCTCATTTTTTGATGGCTCCGGACTCTTCCAGAAGCGCCAAAGTCTATGCCGGTCAATTCAAAGACGAGCGATCCGAGCTTCAATAGCAGCCACTCACTTTTCACATTGAGGAGCGAAGTATCAGTTTGTGCGCGCATCGCCAATTCATGGTGAACGTGTCCTACTCTCTGGCAATATGGAAAAGTTGATCAAAGCCGGCGCCCAGGTAGAAGGCTTCTACAAATCGGTTCAAGTGAAGGCGGACGGTATGTTCAAAGCCGCATGAGCATTTATTGGATATTGAGGGAAAAGAGTACGTTTAAAATGTGGAGTTCTGGGTTGCAGCTTGGAAACCGCTTGATGCTACCAAAACCACTATTGCGAGCTGTGATTGTAAAAGCTGAGAAGAACTACATCGAAGGTCAATCCATACATTTATTACAGAGTCACTTTTAGGATATGGCCCAAAAATGCCTTCAAAATCAAATTCAAGAGCAGCGAGAAAGCAAAGTGTCAACTGGAGACCATCTTCATAGCGTTCACCACTTTTTCATTTTGGTAAAACGTACGACAAAAAATTAGGTGGCTTTCTTTCTCCAAGTTAAATTGACTTTTTGGATTCTCCTTTCAAGTTAAATTCATCTCCCCTAGGTGGCTGTTTCAAAAATTTTGCACGAACGTTCATAAATACAGGGTGGTCTCCCCTCCACAAAAGGATTAGAGGTATCCACTAGTGACATCTACTTGCTATGCTACGCACCGGCTTGGTGATGACCACCAGCGCGTTGCCGCGTATGTTACCAACCATTTATCACAGCCACAAACATATCATACATATGGCATCAGAATATGTTTATTATAATGTTCACGGTGAGGTTGCTTCAGCAGGTTAAGTGGTTGCATTTGGCACAACTATCGTGGACGCCGTAGTCGCATGCCCGTCCACCGTTTTGACACTCATATAGGCGGCCTTCTTTGCAGTTATATCGACCATCGCCACAGAATAGACCATCAACAACACCTTGGCAGCTGCAGCTACTAATTGAACATTGTCGTTTTTCAAGGTTGCAGGAGACTGAGCTCATGAGCGAAAAGACACAGAGTGCGAGGACCAGCAATTTCATTGAGGAGAGCATAGCTTGAAGACGTATGTGCAGCAAGGGCGAAAGAGATAAAAGAAAGTCAAGTGTTTCGTTCTAAATACAGTGCTTATTATGCTTTTAAACTCGTTATGTTGTTCTCTTGCTTGGAGCGGACAATAATTTTAAAGCCTACTTTATGGATGGTATGTGAATGAGTTGGGTGAGCGTCACAGACATCGCTGGATAATGAGAACATTCCAAACAATAAAAAGTAAATTACTTTTTTTTTTTTTTGGTTCTACAAGCTGATCCCTTGCGTACCTACTTGCAAAAGAGAGACAGGGAAAGGTAGAGCATACATGGTAGTTCTATGAAACCTGTTTGGAAACGACCCCATTTGAAGTCTATTTAAGTTTACGCTATGCAAAGTTTTCCATTTGAGTTTGCCTTTTGTACAATTCTTGACGGGGGGGATAGAGTTTCACTAAAGGACCCTTTAGTGAGGATAGATGTTATATTTGATTGTTCTCAATAGCAATGTAGGCTTGACGATGTTGTATTATTAAATTGTCAAAGACCGCTTCTGCTGACACAAAAGAACTGCAACCGTACTATCCAATTCTCAAGACGTTGAATGCTCCAATGCACTTCAGTCGCCAAGACCAAAACATACTCTAAAAATGATCTATCATAGGATGGAAATAACAATATGACACCATAGGGATGGTGTCATGTTACGTTGTCTTGCCTATGTACGGCTTGCATCCTGAAGACGCGCAGGGTCTGCTCGCATTGATGTAGAATTGGTGAAATTCAAAGCGAACCTCGATCGGTCCGATTCACAATACATTATCGTACCCGGCTGGCGTGTACACTAGCAACACCCATTGTTGCAAATGATGCCACCTCGGAACGCCGCGCACTCGAAGAGCTTTCTAATGAATCTCCATTCTTTCCGCTGTTTATATTACATTCAGTTCCCCAAAGCCTTTTGAATAATGGACGAAATGCAATTTATTGTAGTGTAAATTTTCGCACATGGAATGAGATGGAGCATGATAGAATCTATTAGTGGTGTTGTACACGTTATTTTCAAAATTCAAGCGTATGATTTTTGAAACATGATATATATGAAAAATAAAATGTGTGATGGGATTTATCGCTTTTGCTTGCGATTGATATATACGAACAGCACGAAGACACTGACGTTGAAAACCCAGTAGGCCCACATCAATCCATAGTTTCTCCAACGGTGAGCAATGGTCCATTCAAAGCCACTCAAGTATTCTTCACCTGATGAGTACTGACAGTATTGACACAGGTCAGTGGCATTAGGGTCCTTGAGATAGCCAGTACCGGCCGAGAGATATGCTTGGGAGTATTGTCCACAAGTTTGGCCAGAGGGTGGCGAGTATGAGATCCAATCGGAATCAATGCACTGTACTTGCATGTTATTGAACACAGTGGTAATGAAACCTTCCAAGAAATAATGGTACGGATCCAAGGGGTACATCCATACTCTCCAGAAGTACACCATGGCAGCTGCAGGTGACAACAAACCAGCGAACAAGAAAAGGAACGTGTTTGGAATGGGAGTGATAATGGATGCTTGAGCCATACTTTCCAACATGGCAGCGATAGCCAAACCAAATGAAATGGAGAACATGAGGAAAATGACAAGGAGCAAATACAAATAGAAACCATCAAGATGAGTGGTTTCCAAACCAGCAGTCCAGTAAAGGGGAAGGAAACCAACGGCACCAGCGACACACATATAAGGAATTTCGACCAAGATCATAGCCAAAGCAAAAGCAGCGAAACCATAGTATTTGGAAGCAAAATCACGACGGAAGAAGAGACGTTGCATCATGAACTGAGGTTGGATGGAGAAGACGAGAGTAAGACCCATGATAATGATTTGGAAAACAACAAGAGTGCGAAGTTGGAGTTGACTGGTGGTAGGTTGAAGCTTCCAGAAAGTGAAACCGTTCAAGATACCAATGAAGAAAGCTTGCCAGATACGACCAATGTTGAAGTAAGGATCTCTCCACCAGATGAGGTTCATGCGCTTGTAAACTTCCTTAAGTTGATAGGCAGTGGTAGTAGCGAATTCACGAGCTTCGGTGTCCACAGGGTGTTTTCCAGCATCAGCATTAAGGGTTTCAAGCTCAGCCTTGATGGCACGAGCTTCCTTGCTGTTGCGCCAGACGTCGGTCCAATCTTGCTTGGACTTTCCGTTAATACCAGCACCAATGACTTCCAAGATGTATTCAGCAGGATTCTCAGATTGGTCGCAGTGACGAGCACCGTTACCTTCAAAGTATTCGTTCATGATAGCCGAGTTCTCACCGATGTCTCCGAAATAGGCGACCTTACCACCACGAGCCAAAAGCAACAAACGATCGAAATGTTCGAAAAGAATGGAGGAAGGTTGATGGATGGTACAGACCAGAGCCATACCAGCGTCGGCCAATTTACGGATAAACTTGATAATGTTGTAAGAGGATTGAGAATCCAAACCGGAAGTAGGTTCATCCAAGAAAAGAATATGAGGCTTGGCGACCAATTCCATACCAATGGTAAGACGCTTGCGTTCTTCAACAGAGATACCTTGACCAGCTTCGAGGATACCAATAAGAGCATCACCCAAATCTTGCATTTCCATCATCTTCAACACAGTTTCGACATATTCATACTTTTCTTCCAGAGGAACCTCTTGAGGTTGGCGCATCTTGGCAGAGAAACGAAGAGCTTCACGGACGGTCAAATTGGGATTATGCACATCCATTTGTTCAACATAACCAGTGATACGTTCGAAATCAGCAGCGAGAGCCTTTCCGTTCAAGAAAATTTCACCATCAATGGTACCCATAGTCTTACGCTTGGCCAAGACATCCAACAAGGTGGTTTTACCAGCACCCGAAGAACCCATCAAAGCAGTCATTTGACCAGGCTTGATCCAACCTTCACAGTCGTTCAAAAGTTGAAGTTGAATCTTTCCAACAGGGACATGGTAATTGACGTGGTTCCAAGTAAAGATACCAGCCTCAGCAGCAAAGTTATCACCCATCTTGTCATAAGCATCCTGAGCATCTCTGAGACGGATCAATTCTTCTTCGTCAGTGTGCTTGGGGGCCTTTCCGGCCTTGTAAACCTTCTTGACGACACCTCCAGTGACCCAGGTGATCTTCTCCATAGCAATCATGTTACAGCAGATAAAGAAAAGCCAGAAGAGGAACACAGCAATGATATCAATGGACATTTGAGAAGTCAAATATCCATAAGAAACATCCAGGAAACTATCACCAACCACAAACAATTCACCAGGATTAGCACCAACAATGGTACAGGCTTGATGAGCAGGATCAGTGTAAGTAGGGCCATAGGGAACAAGACCAGCAGCACCTTCACAAGGGAAGGTCAATCCGCGCATTTCGTTGGTGAACAAAGCTTTGAAGGCATAAGCATAGGGATCGATCCAGTAAATCCAAGACAACCATGGGTGCATATTCTTATAAGGAATAGAGAAACCACAGTACGTGATGAGAGTAATCAAGATGATACCAGTCAGCTGGAAGGCAACGTAAATGGAAGGACTGATGTTACCGAGCAATCTGTAAAGGGCAAATTGTCATGTTAGGATTTGACGGCAGTCGTTTTTGAAATACAAAAACCGAAAGGATAACTTACCGGAAAAGATCGGTGGTACACAAAGTAGTCAACACGTTCACGATCAAGAAGACGAAGAACTTATCAGCTCTAGCATCAAAGCCCATCATGAAGTAAACAATGATGGTATACATGAAGCATTGGACAAAGATGATAGGGATATCGGTAATGACACGAGCAATATGGAAAGCGGAGGGATGATACATTGCATACGACTTGTGCTTTTGGAGAGTCATACGACCACCCAAGACGTTAGGCAATTCAGCTTGAGACAAGAAAGCGTTGAACAGAAGTGACGAGAGAAGAGCACCACCTCTTTGGAAAGCACCAGTAGAGGTAAGAGACATTTGGTAGAAGACAGAAGCATAGATGAAAGCTTGAATAAGAACAGAAGCGTAACGTTCATAGATAGCATGCTTATCACCCCACAGGATTTGGAATTGACGAAGAGTCAAAGCCTTGACCTGTTCGTAGAAGTTGACGGAGTACACGGACTTGCCAGGGACACCCTTTTGCTTGATTTCTCTGACGTATTCCTTGAATTCAGCAGCAGGTTGTTCCTTTTCAATACGAGCTTCGTAGGCAGCAATGGCATCTTGAAGATTCTTGTAATCTTGAGATTGCAAAAAGTAAGCTTCCATTTGTTCTGGCGTTTCAGGGACCTTGCCCTCAAAACCTTCAGCTACAATACGCTCGTTGGGATTGGTAATACCAGTCAGGAAATCAGGCGTACTCTTGCGGGGTTCGCAGGTATAACCCATTTCCATGAAGTAAGCCTTTGCACGGTTGGCAGGACCAAAGAAAATGCAACGACCAAGGTACATCAGCATAACCTTATCATAAAGGTTATAGATGCTGTCGGATGCTTGGTATAAAGTAGCGATGGTGGTCTTGTTCAAAGCATCGCATTGAATACGAAGAGACTTGGAATAATCAAGCGCACTGGCGGCGTCCAAACCTCGAGTAGGACAATCCCAAGCAGCGACGGCGCTACTGGCTGTCATAGCCTCCGAGATCGTCATACGCTTACGTTCACCACCGGACAGACCACGAACGAAAGCATTACCAACAACGGTATTTTGTTGCTTCTTAAGACCGAAAATGGTCAAAAGGGTATTCATAAAGTCATTTTGGAAATCCTTGCGAGATACGCCAGGAAGACGCTGGGCAGGGGTCTTCATTTTCAAGGCAAAGCCAAGCGTTTCCTTAACAGTCAATTCGGGATAATGCGCATCTTCCTCCATGCAGTAGATTGCTTCACCGAGATATTTGCCGAATTCTTGTGCAGGAATACCTCCATAATACACATCGCCCGTGATGTTCAAAAATCCTTTTCTGGAATTAGCGAGAACACGCAGCAAACTGGAACAACCAGCACCGGGACGACCCAGGACGAGAAGCATTTCACCATCTTCAACAAAACCAGTGACATCATGTACGATGTCGAAGGCAGTACCTCTTTGGCGCTTGGCCCATCGTAGAGGGTTGAGCATTTTGGCGAGGCCAATGAAAGGGCTCATCAAATTGAGAATAGTAGATGCATCGGCACCTTCGCCGATAATACTAAGATTTTTGAACACAACGCCCATCTTATGGTGACGGTGGCCATTGGAATCAGCAGCACGAACACCAGATTCCAAATAATCTTTGAAATCAAACGGTTGTTCTTCTTGAGCATCGCCTTTCTCTTCATCGATGCCTCCTGACTTTCTTGTGGATCGACGAGACATGGTGCGAGTTGGTTTCAGAGAATGCTCTGAAGCGGCGTGCGAAATACGTCGTTCAAGATCGCGGAACAATTCAACATTTTTATCAACGTCGATACCATCCTCTGAGCTGGTGTCGATAACGGTGCTATCAGCTGAGGGTGCAATGTTGCGTTTCATGTCGGATATTTCATCCGTATTATTATTAGCTAGGCTGTTTGGGCCAAGGTGTGAACCCTCGGCCATGTCATCAACACGCTCTATGGTTGGCATGTTGACAATCTATAGTGTGGGGTATGATGATTAATTTAGGATATTGTAAAGCTGAAAAATAACGAGGATAATTACGTATTAGCGTCTATGGAGGGATCCTTTATATATTGGATTTGCCAAGAGCTTGAAACAATGGAAGTTGAAGAAAGAGAAACCTAGAAAATATTTTATATCAGCCGTAATATATGGCCGCTCGGTCAAGCGGCTAATAGCGAGTTTCAAACGCCGCACTCGGATCATCTAAATTCCTAAGAAAAACATTGGCTGCCTGCCTTTTGGTAGCAGAAGGTTTCGACTGCGGTCCATCGGAGTCAATTCCCAAAAAATGCGCTGCCCCCTAAAGTGAAGGCAACTATTCACCCAAAACATGCTTTGCCCGCAGCACCGACAAAGCTTCGGCGAAATGGCAGAAGAATGGTTTGGACATCGTCACGCCACGTAGGCTACGGTCTACTTCGCCACATTGCATAATTTCATAACCACCCTAAAGCAGCATGTAACAATCAGGTAATTTCCCATTCTGGCGTCAAATAACCGATAATGTCGGACAAAGGGCGAACAGAATTGCCACAAGTTTTGAAATTCAGCATCCATAAAGTGGTGAAGGAGTTGGTGCGGTGGTGAAGCCTTTCAAATTAACGATTTATTTGCATCGATATGCAGGGCTTACTAGATCTGTTCGGGGTATTGCCAATCGGATGAAAGGGGAGATGATGCACGTAAGCGGCAAAATTTTCCCCGTGTGCCGGATCAGGAAGGATGGTCCACGCACCTGGCGATCCTCTAAAGCTGACAAATAGAGCTTGTCTTCGGGCCCGTCAACTCCGTAATAGCTTAATGGTAGGCCCGCAAATCCGAACAACGTCGTGTCTTATCGCCACTTTATCACCGTATCTTTTTGTTGTGAAAAGACTGCAACCGATTAACCAAAGATTTTGACAGTTTTCACCTCGCGTGGTAAACGCTATTCACCAGAATGGGATTCAACCAATCCGCAGTCGGGTCGGTACAAATCCAAGAAAGGTGAAAAATTGCGGTAGTACACTTTTGTGTACAGCCCTTGCTTGAAGGAGAAAAGCAAAGCATTGAAATTATGTATGAGGCATTGGAAACGCAGGTGGATGTTTAAAGAAAGGTGCAAAAGTAATAATGCTGAAACATAACATAACATTGACTGACATGATGTTTGTTTGATGTCAAATGCATCTTTCATGTAGACACTAAATATTTCGGGTATCAATAATGTACATGCGCAAGTGGAAACGGGATTAGAGTACTTCCATATTATTAGAGCTTTGTCTGTTTGATTTAATAAAAATTTATAGGATGACAACAGGTTACCGTTAGCCAAAGTACGATAATTGAATCATAAACATCCCATTTCGTTTATGATGTTGTGGAAATTCTTTTTTTTTTTTACCAGCATATGTAACGCATCAAACACTCCTTGGCGTAAAATCTTCAGCTGGATGTCCCTTATTTTTTTGGTCTTCATGGCATAAATATTTCAACTGGCTGTCCCTTATTTTTTTTTAAGACCGTTATTTTCTCAGACATTTTCTGATACAGTTCAATCTCATTTATGCTTCTTTTCAAGCGGCACATTAATCCGATGCAGAGCTAGCTTAACATTTTTAAACTGATCTCTTTCCAAGGCGGCCTCCCCAGCATGCTGCCTTTGCAACCGTAGACCTCATCCCAACATACAGCTTCTTAAAATAAATAATCGCCACACCAACAGCAAAAATAAATAAATGGATAAAGAAATAACATATTTATTGTAAATATGATTTTTTTTTTTAACCAAATGACTTGTCTTACTTTCTGTTTCGATCGATGAATTGCCAGGATCGGTACAGGGCGTGAACCAGGGATTGAGTCAAACGCATTTATATAAACCTGACTCAACTTGAGTTCACGGAAAACCCCGAAATTACATAGATTGATCTACTGTGAATACCTGATATGTCAAAAATTGCCATTGAAAAAGTCTTTTGTTCCTGACAACAATGAAACATTAAGGTCATATTCATCTGCCGAAAGATATCTCAGCAGTGAGAGCGGAGTTGGATTCGGATAACGGCGCCCGAGACAAGGGTTGAAGGCTAAGGCATTTTGGGACAACAGTGCATCGCAAAAAACGGTGAGTACACCATAACGTTACATGGTATGCATCAAACACCTCGATACAAGAAATGAAATTGACAAAGCCGACTGCCTTAGTAACACAAGATTTGAAGCGGCTTCCATGCCATGTTCTTGCGTGCTCCATTCTGACACAGAACGTCTCAGCAATATGATACCATGAATCTCCCATTATCATACACACTATGACATTATAATCACCATCTAAAAAAATAGTGCGGTGGTTAACTTAAATCACCGTTTCAGTTCATTGGGGACATCAGCTGAAAGTATGTTGCTGTTGCATGACCAATGGCGCAGAAAAGTTTTTGGCCGAACTTGGGAGTTCAGTGCAGAATGAGCTTAAACCATTACCCCACAACACGACCGGGTACGACACAGGCGTGGGTTTGCATTGACTGTGGGGGAAACTGTGGAAGCTGAGCGCATAACAGGACCGGCATTGTGCATTGAGTATCTTCCATATGATAGTTCGGCCGATCTCATCATCTAACGGGGGAGTCGATGGGTTGACTTTTCCCTCTCATCCCTTCCCACGGTGACTTCTGGAAAGAATAGGTTTGGGGGGAGGGAAAACGGGTCAAAGTAAGAAGACTTTGGATGGCTATGCTGGGAAAAAAATAAGTTGCCCATTCCTTTGGGCGTCAAACGAGATAGAACACCGGTGAAGAAATGGCCGACTCAGTTCAGCGTGATGACCGAGTGCTGGTCGGCCGGCCAGTGGGAAAATACATTTCAAAACTCCGGTCAGCTGAAAGTGGCCGGCATCTACATTGCAACGGCGACAGTAAGCCCTTTGGAGCTATAGCCTGAAAACAATCATATGAAGGTTTATTTGAATACGAACGCATGAATTGCAACGCGCGTAGTATATATAAATGTGAGGTACTGCACAGATAAATTGGAAGTGTAGTTACACTTTTCAACACTTATAAATTTTCTCGTCCAGCCAAAGAATAAACCTAGCATAGCCTAGCCGCTCAACTCAGTCACCCCCACATATTTGCAATGGCTTGACAGTTCAACAAAATGTATGCTCGCCCGCATCAGCAAAAGCAGGCAATGCAATGTGCGACATGTCTTGAGGCACAAGTTATTATTTTTGTTTCTACAATTGCTTTCCTCTATGGGTGTTAGCTCATTCAAGGGACCAAGTTTAACGCGCGTGCTGCATTGCCATAGAAATGTCAGGCGAGCCTTTGAATGTCAGCATACGCACACAAGCTTTAAATGGGTCAGTGTCCGGTTGAGCGGCCATTAGGGCGTTAGGTTGTTTTTTGGTTTTTTTTTTTTCTTTTTTCAAAACTTATATCTACAATCACTCACGTCGACTTTAGCCATTGGTTAACCTATAACTAGACTTACACAAGCAATGCGTGACTGAAGGCAACGGAGTGACTGGCGTTAATCAAGCACTACACTACACTACATCCAGTGTGATTATCACAAGTGTAACACTCCGTTTGTGAAATTAGGTATTTGTGTTCGTAACGCACATTGGCCGATCTAGGTTTACTCAGACGCATCCTTGAACTTGGATCAAGAGGTGCTCACGCTAACGACAAAATTTAGTGGTGAACAAGGTCGAAAGATAACGATATACTATGTGACGAATGTTTATCGCTAAACGCCATATCTCGTCCCTACAAGATAAAGCCATAACGTCCATGTCCCAAACCTGCTCTTCGCCACGAGCCCCGAAAAGCAGAAGGCTGTAATAGTATAATGAACGGCATTTATCCATTAAGAATTTTATTTTTCCTTTGTAGCAAATATCTAGATCATGACTGAGCAACTCTCGGTATGTGAACTAAATCTAGATCAAGAAAAAAATGAAGCAGTATGCCTTTCACCACGCTGGCAGACAACAACAAAACGCACAACCCTCCTCGATACGTCAATGTCCGCATGGGTCGAGGTCGCCACAATTTCATATAAGGCAAGTCGTTTGACTGGGGACCACCATGCCTAGCCGTTACAGACGTAACTATTCTCTAGGTGTTCGCATGTGGCTGTAAAGGATTACTGTTGGATTGGAATGCCGCTTGAATGTTTTTTTTTTTTTTACCACAAGAAGAATATAATGGTGCAAGGGCATCATGTGGTCATGGCCTGGTTGTGCAAGAAGCCATACCAGATGTGTACGGAAACTTTAAAATCTCAACTTGCAGAAACAATAGTAACCGAATGGCACCTTGCAACAAAGATCTCCGCGGCAGCAATAATCGTTGAACTAGGTAGGATACGCATTGATTATTTTCAACTAAGGCTAGTGTGGATAGGAAACACCTGGTCTATCCTTAATGCAAGGAAGCCTAGAACAATGGAGCATTGGGCAAGGCATTGTGATCGGTTTTACTACATTAAAGGTATTCGCTTCACAAAAATAAAACAAAATGAGTTCCCCAAAACCTTGTCGTTTTCCAGTGAGGGTTTTACAAGACGTCCTATACACAAAAAAAAAGAACCATACCAAAGTGGGATAGATGAGTTGTGGCCTTCGCTCGTGGCAGGCGGTCTGTTAAGGGGCTCGTACACTATGTTTAATAACTGTCTGAACTCGATCTGGCGGGTTAGCATCCAGTGATTGGAATCTTTTACTCCAGATTGTTACCATAACCTTGTTTTGTACGAGCGCGGCGGGAGCTTGCATGGGTCAATTGCCCTTGGGGACAGCCAGCACGGTGAACACAGATGGTAGATAAGCAAGCTGTCGATGGAGCTTCCCATTATCGATATTGAACAGCACTGTGGAGTTCCCATCTTGAAATGACAACCTGACTGTACCCCCATTGTCAACCGTAGTATAATTTCCGTACTGGTCATTCAATCTGTCCTGTGGAGGTGCCTCACATCTTTGCACCATGAGATTTGACAACGCCGCGGAAGACATCAGCTGGTTACAGTGCTAGACAACCAAACAGAAATGGTTTCGTTTTGAAAAACCGTAGTGCGTGGTCGTACATACATCTTTAAATGGGTATGGACCAATGGTATTCAGCCCAATCCGATAGCCATGTGTCCAAATTACAGATGGACTGTAGCACAGAAGTCACAGAAGCGTGGCTGGCTAGCTGTATCCCACAAACAACACATCGTCGTTAGAGTTTGAAATCCCCCCATACTGTTCTCCATGGTGGATTTGACCCCGCAGTGCTGAATGAACCTTTTTTCAAAAGTTAGACTCATAATGTCCGCATGGGTTGCCAATAGTGAATGCAGCTATCACTGCGTATGATCACTGGCGTTGCATCTCCCTTTGGATCTGTCAAAATATTGAGAGTGTGCATTGGTTTTAAAAGTATTTCACCGTGCCGAGCCGCACCATTTTTTTGTTCACCGGTGAGTTCAACTGGGGGAGAAGGGCTTTCCCATGTTGAGCTGAAAATATTCACACTGTGGGGTAGAATTTCCAAAATTGGATCAGTTACCGCCCAGAAATTTTGCTCCAGTAACCACGTCCAGCCAACTGGGAGAGTCTCCTCCCGCTGCTTTCCCTAGATTTTGTCCCAACGAGGCTTGAACTTTACTTGGCGCTGTCCCATTCATATAAATACCTTCTCCAACATCGTCCACTTTTTGATTCCTTACCTCAGGCAGCTGGCTGATCTCATATATACACACTTTCCCTACATCTTTTCCCATCCCTAGTAAGAGTCACTCAAAATGCCCAATTCTGGTGACTATCGCATGTACGTGCTCTGCGCTTTGGCTATTGTCAATTCTGCCACCAACGGTTATGACGGTTCTATGATGAACGGTCTTCAAACCCTCACATACTGGAATGAATGTATGTTTCTTTCTTTTTGAACTGTTTACACGTTGGTTCATGAGTTAAACCATCATCCTCTACTTTAGATTTCAATTTCCCTGACGCACCCACCCTCGGTCTCCTTAACGCCATCATGTCTGTTGGTGGTACCATTGGTGTCTTTGCTGGTCCTCCTGCATCTGATATTCTCGGTCGTAAGAAGGCTATCATTCTTGGTTCCCTCATTATGCTTCTCGGTGTCGGTCTTCAAACCGGTGCTGCTAACAGTACGTGTTGAAAGCCACTTTTTCAGAATATTCAGCCCCCCTCCCGTCCATAACTAACAAATGCTGTTTTTTTTAGTCCAAATGTTCATTGCTGCTCGTTTCATTCTTGGTTTCGGTCTTGCCATCACCTCCAATGCTGCTCCCACTCTCGTTATTGAAATTGCCCATCCCACCCACAGAGGAAAGATCACTGCCTTGTACAACACTATGTGGTACCTTGGTTCAAGTAAGCAAAAGTTCAATGTATGACAAAAAAGTGTTCATGATCTCAGCCAGTACTCACGATTTTATTCTTGGTTTCAGTTATTGCTGCCTGGACTACCTTCGGTACCCTTCAAATCAAGAGTGACTGGGCCTGGAGAGTTCCTTCCGTCATTCAAGCTTTCCCCTCCATCATTCAGCTTTGCTCCGTTTGGTTCTACGAAGAATCTCCCCGTTGGCTTATCAGCAAGGGCCGTGACGAAGAGGCCTTGGCTATTCTTGCTAAGTTGCACGCTGACGGTAACGATCAAGATGAACTTGTCCAACTTGAATACCGTGAAATTAGACAAACCATTGCTCAAGAAAAGGAAGTTGCAAAGAGATCTTACTTGGAACTCATTGCCACCCCTGGTAACCGCATGCGTCTTTTCATCACCATCACCATCGGTTTCTTCTCCCAATGGTCCGGTAACGGTCTCGTCTCTTACTATCTTGGCAAGGTTCTCGACTCTGTCGGTGTCACCGATCCTTTCACTCAACTTTTGATCAATGGTATTCTTCAAATCTGGAATTTGATCTGTGCTGTTACCGCTGCCGTTGTCGTCGACAAGGTTGGCCGTCGTCCTTTGTGGCTCGCTTCCACTGCTGGTATGCTTATCTTCTTCGTCCTTCAAACTATCTGCACTGGTGTCTATACCGAAAAAGGCGTTTCCTCTGCCGGTACTGCTTCCATTGCTATGATCTTCTTGTACTACATGTCTTATGATGCTGCCTGGACTCCTCTTACTGTCTCCTACGTTGTCGAAATTATGCCTTTCACCATTCGTGCCAAGGGTATGGCTGTCCAAGGTCTTTGCGTCAATCTTGCTCTCTTCTTCAACTCCTATGTCAATCCCGTTGCATTGAAGGCCATCGGCTGGAAGTACTACATTGTATACTGCGTCTGGTTGGTCTTCGAACTTTTCATTGTCTGGAAGTTCTATGTTGAGACCAAGGGACGTACTTTGGAAGAACTTGCTGAGATCTTCGATGGTGATCAAGCTGCCTTGGTCATCGCTGAAGCCAAGCGATTGGAAGCCGTTGGTGCCGAGAAGATTAACAGCGAAGATGCTGCTTACGGTACCGAGAAGGTTTAAATTCCATATTGGCCCCGCTTGATGCGGATGGAATACACACATCATAGTAATCCTTATTTTAAATACTTTATGTTGCTACTTCAAACAGTAATTTCCAAGCCGTAATCTTTCATACATTTGAATGAATACTGGACTTGTAGACTATCTCATGAAATAAAGAAAATATAATTTTCAAGTTTCATTATATATGGTTATAGTCTCGCATTGAATGGTAGCAGAAAATACTTGCCTTTGGCCTGTCTTGTCTTGATTAAAGTGTACGGCAGCGGCTGGACTTGTTTCTGAGTGGCTGACTATTGAATGATTTGGTGACACTTGTAGTCTTACTGTAGCCTTGACCATTCAGATGCTGTTTCATCACCAAGTAGACATGTTAGATTCGGGAGCTGTGGATCTGGTGATGTCGACATTAAAAGTTGAAAGCAGCTGACTGGTGAGAAATTCAAAGAAAAGGAGACTTAAAACAGTCGATCAGTTTGCGCAGTTGGATCATAAGGCCGCCACCGTCAAATCGATTTTGCCTGTACAGACGAAATTATACGACCCAAACAGTACAATTTATGACGATACCATACGACTTCTGTTTGATTGCGCAGTTTTCAGGAACAAAATCTCGCATAAATAGCTTTGTTTTGCTGTGCAAATGGCGCTCATTTTTTTTATTTTGGGAGAACTGACACCACCAAGCATGACATGGTCCAAAAGTTAAAATAAGATGCATGGTAATGGTTTTAAAAATATCCTCATATGGGATCTATTGCTGGACTCCATTCCCTATTTTTTGCTTCCCAGGAGAAGCAAATAACACTTGTCTCTCCTGCATCTGCCGCCCGCCCGTCTATAAATTATGAAAGAGAATTCGCAACTTTATGTCCCTACTTCTTTTGCCTTCCATGACCAAATCATTTCTATTCATCATCTGGGTTTGCCTTTTGGCATTCGTGGTCGCTAACCCTCCTACTCAGCAAAATATCATCAAAAACTTCAAAGTATCTCCTGAGACCGTAAAGCCTGGACAACATGTTCATCTTACATGGGAAAGAGTTACCAAGAAGTCTGAGGTGCTGCAATTCTTCATTGGCCATTCTACTGGTATGGGCCATGCTCCCCAAAAGCTACTTGGAAAGTGAGTATAGATACCTGAGAGTTGGTACAAAACTAAAGCAACTAAACGGTATGTCACACTCTCCGTAGGGCACACATCAAAGACGAGAAGGCTGAAATTGAGATTCCAAAATCGCTGGTAAGTACCTGTTAACAATTGCTGCGCACTCTGCTTTTTATTTTTACCTTTTCAGTAGCTTTAAGGAATTTCATGTGGCTTCCAAAAAGCATTACTAACATAAATTTGCATCTGCAGACGCCTTCCACTCCTGGCAATATCTGGATAGTTGAAGTGATGATCAACGAAAAAGGTAGCTTGTATGATGTTGAAACCGTCAACATTCATGTCAAATGATGGTGAATAGCACAACCCCATTGTACACTTGAAATTTCGTTTCCTTTCTCAGCTGCTCTTGATCATAGCTTAGTAAGGTTTCATTAATATAGCATTGTTTATTATGCAGTCGTAAAATTTCAGTCGTAAAGTTTTTATAAAATAAAATGCAAAATCATATATAAGGTTCATTGGCCTATATGTTACCAAGTTCATCGTACGAGTTAACCTATTGGTGTTAAATGTTTTGGACAGCACGAGACCCTAGTAAATAACTGGCCCAAAAAGCTGCAATGTTGAGGGAAGGGCGAGCGAACAAGGTGACCAAGCCGGGTCCAGGACATACGCCGCAAAGTCCCCATCCAATACCGAACAAAGCTGAGCCGATCACTAATTTACTGTCGATATTTTTCTTGGTGGGCCAGTCGAAGGAAGCATTGAATTCTGGCTTTGCTTCATTTTTCAAAAAGAATTGATAAGCAATGGTGTTGGGAACAAGGCCGCCGAAAACAACCATCATCAGCGAAGGATCCCAACGTTGAGGTCTTGTCAGATCTAAGAATCCTCGAACTTTATCTGCGTTGGTCATGCCCGAAAAGTACAATCCGAGGGCAAAGGTCAATCCTGAGAAGAAAGAGACCACCACTTGACTCGTAGCGTTGTTGACTTTATTCTTCAAGATGGTTGGTAAGAGCTTGAAAATAGTTGCTGCTACGGCGATACAACCGAGGATTTGACCGAGTTCATCGTTGGATGGGTAGCTCGTACCATAACGATACGGAACACCACCAGTCAAGTAAACTGTTATCACACCGGTGGTGAAGAAAGTGGCAGAAGCGACGATTGAGCGCTTGGAAAAACGAGCAATACCACACAACATGTGTCCAGAGGTGCATCCAGATCCAAGCTGTATGAAAAAAAAGCTATCAATACACCATTATGCGTGCGTGTGTGTTACCAAGTAACACACAAGATTTTTTTTTTTCTTTAAACAAATAAACGTTTTGGGACTTCACCTTTGTGCCAGCACCAACAAGCAAACCTGCAATCAATGCTTTTGCCATACTGAATGGAAATACTGGTATATTTTGTGTGGCTCCGTTACTGGTCCCGAAGCGCAGGGTCACTGCCGTTGCAGCCATGCCCAGAATGAAGAACAGTCGACTTGGTGTTGAATCTCCCCAAACCAGCCCATTCACAATACCACTTATACCAGCCACTTTGCCGTTATAAGCAGCAAGAGCAGTGGTACTTGCAAAAAGCAAACTTCCACCAAGAAGAGATTGAACTGGAGTGAACATGATTGAAAGCGAGCTCTCAAGCACACCGGCCTGGTTTTTTGTTTTACTCTGACTCCTACTTTTCGGTGTCGCAAATCCTGTACTGACAGTTTCAAAATACAACAATGGTGTAAACATTTTATCACACCATACGTGGCAGCAATGGCATCAAGACAAGCCATATATTCCAGCTTTTTTTCCGGATCAAAATCCATACTCTACACTACTTTGGACTAACTGACCGGCTATCCATCATATCGGAACGTCAAGAAGTTGATGAAGTAATCAATTCGATAAATTCTCCACGTGACAAGTACATTCACGCTTACTACTTCACAATGCAAAAAGGGAACGACTGACAATCTAGGTGCTTCGCCATTCCTTTCAAACTATCCCAAATGTCTGACACCAAAGTTATTCTGGTAAGTCTATATAACCATTGTTGTTCTAATGGATGGCCCGAGGCATGACTAGTGCTGACCTTCATTCTTTTTACCCCACATAACTTTATTGTAGCACTCATACGCTGCGACCCCCTTCGGTAACAAAGTCCAATTTGTCTTGGACTATAAGAAAATCCAATATAGCTTCGTCAAGATCCCCATGGTGGCCGACCGACCTCTTCGTGCTCCATTGGATGGTGGATATCGCAAGACACCTATTCTTCAAATTGGCAGCGATATCTTTTGCGACACACATATTATCATTCAAGAACTCGAACGTAGATGGCCTACTCCTACTCTCTTCCCCAAGACTCATTCAGGAGCAGATATCACCGGTATTGCCTGGGGAATGACTGCGTGGACTGACACATTGATGTTCAAGGCCGTGGCTGCCCAACTTCCCATGTCCACTTTCCCAAAGGAGTTTGTGCGAGACCGAGCAAACTTCAATGGCTTGAAGGATATTGATCCCAAGAAAGCGGATGCCATCTCTCCCTACGAAGCCGAGAGATTGCGTGCACAGTTGTCATGGCTGGAGGTTCAATTGCAGGGTAAAAAGTGGGTCCTTGACACTACTGATGTGTCCTTGGCCGACTTCAATGCCGCCATGCCTGTTTGGTTTTTGAAATCGTTGCGTAAGGATCAGCTTTTGGAGGAGTTCCCTTCTGTGAAGAGCTGGATAGAACGTTTCTTTGCTGTTATACCCAAAGGTAAACCAGCCAAGATGACTGCAGAGGAGGCTTTGGAGATCGCCAAGAACACACCGTCAACTGCTCAAGAGGCTGTCGATGTCAAGGAGCCCAACGGTCTCAAGCCTGGCGATTTAGTAAGGGTTACCCCCATCGACACAGGACGTATACCCGTGGTTGGCAGTGTTGTCAACAGCTCAGCAAATCATATTGCTTTAAGACGCAAGGATGCTGAGACCGGTATAGAAACGGTGCTTCATTTCCCCCGATCTGGATTCCTCGTCATTCCTGTCAAGGGCAAGATGTAATAGCAATTTCTTGTATTTTATTGTGTATATATAGGTCTGTATATATACCAAAGTTTGTATTCCTTCCAAGTTGTATCAGTCATGCGAAAGGGACGGACAGTCGGTTGGTTATGCGCCTGTGTGGTGTCCAGTGATAATGCATCCTTGGTAGTTACAACTAAATAAAAATAATAGTCCTGCTTGGTTAGGTCTAACCATAACAATGAAGATATGTATTACAATGGATTCAACGAAATCCGGTGTTTTTATTTTAGTGCTGTACAAAGTGAATCAGAATCTATTGTGAGATTATATATAAAACATAACCCGTTTAAAGGTCAAACTTGTTGCCTGAGGCAGATCGCTCATCACCTCCAACAATCTGTGCTTTCCATGCAGCAGGAGCGTTTTCAACTTGAACGGCACCGTTGGCAACGGAGATCTTGACAGTCTCGTTTCCAGCAGCATCAACAATGGTAGCAGAGCCAGTGGCATCCTTGGAACCAACAACAACGGTGAAGTCCTTAGTGTAGTCATAATCAGGCTTGGTTTCGTCGGAACCGAGAACAACGACGTGGTTTTCACGGACCAAGATGGGAAGAGAAAGGAAGTCGTGGTTCTCCTTAACCCAGCAAGGACCAACGCGCTTCTTACCATCCAACAAACCAACCCAGGTACCAGCTGGAACGTAGTATTCGACATCACCAGTATCGTTGAAGATAGGGGCAATCAACAAACTTGGGCCAAGCATATATTGCTGGTCAAGGGTCCAGACAGTACGATCTTCAGGGAATTCCATGAACATAGGTCTCATGAGAGGAGTACCGGTCTTGTTGGCATGGATAGATTCCTTCCAGATGTAAGGCATGAGTCTCATCTTAAGCTTAACATACTTCTCCAAGACATCGCAGGCTTCCTCATCAACAATCCATGGGACACGGTAAGAGCTGGAACCGTGAAGACGAGAGTGAGAAGACAAGAGACCAAATTGGACCCAACGCTTGTAGATAGCACCGACAGGGTTGGTGAAGTCGTTACCGCTGCCAGTCTTGAAACCAGCAATGTCGTGAGACCAGAAACCAAATCCGGAAACAGCGAGGGACAAACCAGCACGAAGGGTCTCAGCCATGGAGAACCAGCTAGTGTCACTGTCACCACCCCAGTGAACAGGGTATTGTTGACCACCAGAGGTAGCACTTCGGGCGAAAAGACAGGCATCACCCTTACCACGCTTTCTCTCCAAAAGGTCCCAAACGCACTTGTTGTAGAGGTGAGTGTATTGGTTGTGCATTTGAACAGGGTCGGATCCATCAAAGTACTTGACATCCTTCCAAACGATACGTTCACCGAAATCAGTCTTGAAAGTATCAACACCCAAATCCAAAAGGTGCTCGAGCTTAGACTGGAACCACTTGCAAGCATCGGGGTTGGTGAAGTCTACAACACCCTTACCAGCTTGCCAATCATCAGACTGGAAGGAGGTACCATCCAATCTCTTGACAAGGTAACCATTCTCATCAGCTTCTTGGAAAAGACCACTTTCTTGAGCAATCCAAGAGTTGATCCAAACGCAGACCTTAAGACCACGCTTGTGAAGGTTATCCAAGAAAGCCTTGGGATCAGGGAAGTAGTCAGCATCGAACTCGAAATCACACCATCTGTAAGGCTTCATCCAGAAGCAGTCAAAGTGGAAGACGCTAAGGGGAATATCACGATCCTTCATACCGTCCAAGAAAGAAGTGACAGTCTTTTCGTCATACTCTGTAACGAAGGAGGTGGACAACCAAAGACCGAAAGTCCACTGAGGAGGCAAACCGGGACGACCGAGCAAAGCAGTGTACTTTTCCAAGATAGCAGCAGGGGTAGGTCCATAAATGACATACCAAGTAATGCTCTCTCCTTGAACGGAGGCTTGGACACCACTCATCTTTTCGGATTGAACCTCAAATGACACAGCTTCAGAGTGGTTGAAGAAAACACCGTAACCCTTGTTGGTCATGTAGAAAGGAACGTTCTTGTAAGCGATACCAGAGCTGGTTCCACCATCCTCGTTCCATGTGTCGATGGATTGTCCGTTCTTGACGAAAGGACCGAATCGCTCACCCAAACCGTAAACATATTCACCAGGAGCAAGGCTGAGCAAAACTGACATATGGTTGCGAATCTTGACAGTGCTCTCCTCATCAGTGGGGTCAACGAAACTCTGAGTAGCCTTCATACCATCATACAAATCGGTCTTGGCCATGATCCAGGATACATCCAAAGCCTCAGTAAGAAGCTCCTTCTGCTCACCAGTATAAGTAATCTTGAAGTTGTCGGCTTCAGTGCTGATATTTGATTTGAGAGAACCAGACTGAATGCTAGCGTTGTTCTGCTCAGCCTTGATGTCGGCAGCAACGGTTTCAGCATCGTGTACAATAACCTGCTTGTGGGCTCTGTTGATAGCAGTGTGGTGAGTAGCCTTGGTGGCAATGACATCCTTAGCTGGGGAATAAGTCTCAAGTGTGATAGTAGGACGGTTGAGAGTATCACCACGGTGCTTTGTGTGCTTAGTAGTGCAAAGAGCACGAAGGGTGTTGTCGCCCTTCAAACCAATGCTTCCAGGAACCGTCTCTCTGGCATGTGAGAATGTCACGCCTGCCTTATCTCTCCAGCAACCGTCAGTGAATTTCATGGTATCAAATTCGAGTAAAGAAAAAAGAAGAGAAGATGCGAACGATTCTTTTGCTTTATAAATGATGAGGATGTTTTCTAATCAATCTTAGTATAAAATTACCAGTCCCGCTGTTCGGCTCCCCAACCATTAAATTTTAACTTTGCACAGGAACATGAAACCGGTATTTTCTGCAGGCCCACAGGCACTCACTCAGAGCGCCGTTTGTTAGCATAAAGCCGGTCAGCAACCATTTCAAAAGGAGAATATTTCCATCGTTCGTCTTTCACACAGTTATTCTATCGTGGCTGAACTCTAACTGTCAGTCCTGGCAAAAACCATAAACTCTAAACATGTCCAATTGAATTCTGCGTTATGTCACAAGGCGTCGTGTCTGGCCTGACTTGTCAATGATGATAATAAAAAAAAAACACTGTCATGATTGCCGTCTGGTATAGCTATTGGTTCAACGTATAGTCCATCTGCAAACTCACCTTCTTGGACATGATATTAGTGACAGCATTGACCGTTCCCAAGTTTAGCAGCTTCCCGAGGCTTGAGATTACAGAAGTTCACATGACATGATGGTTCAGCATAAAGTCATAGTCTAGCAGAATACGTTACTAGTTTGTGATGTATTAGATGCTATTATCATTTACCAGGGCCATTACGATCGCCTCTACTGGTTTTTTTTAAGGTTGCAACTGAGATTATATACGCTGAATATGAAATGTGGAGAAAGTCAGTGCATGTCAGAAAGTGCGTCACAGAAGTTATTCACTTCAGGTGCCATTTTGAGCTGATTTGGGTAAACCCATACACTGTATGCGCATAGCCATCGACAAAAACCATCTGACAGGATCTGAACTGAACTATAGGTGACTCGAAACCGTCAACGTTCTGATATCTACGCATTTTCTGGCGTCGTTTGATAGTAGAAGCGGGGAATGGGCAGTTTACGATATTAAGAACGACAAAACTCCTGATTCTTCAAGATGACTTCTCAAATTCCGACCCAGCTTTCCTCCATGGAATTGCGGAAAGTTGATTATGTAAATTTCACTCAATATGAAAAAGAGGCGGGCGAATGTAACAGTGAGCCTATCAGCCAGAGTAGCACAGCCTCGTGAACATCTTTACGCAAGCATAATCGCACAGCCAAGAGAAGTGAGTGGCTACAACGTGGAAATCTGATTTTTATAGCATTCCCAAGCGGTTAGTTTGGTAGCCGTGTAACCCGTCTAAATACGGCGTGTGTCCGTTCCTCGGAAGAACGTGTAATTTTACCAAGTCTCAAAATATCGAATCAAAAGTCAGAGCGGAGATAATGGTAAGAGCAAAAGGCTTTCTCAAAGCCTGGCGAGGAAGGTTTCAACCAATCGGCAGTATTTACAACGTCTTACTTCCCTTTGTTCCGAGGAAATTATTACCCCGGATGGACAAAGATATCACCATTCATTTGCGTTCGTCGTACACAGATAATAATGCGTTATTCAATTTTGAACACCAGTAGTCTTGTCATCTATGCATATCAAGATGGATAGGTCCAAGTAAGTTAACATAGTTTCCGGCATTAAGCTAATTTGGGCACTTGGTAGGTTCAGAGAATGTCTACCGACTGTTACAGGCAGATCTATGCCTTATCACCGATTTATTTAGACCAGCCTGGTTCGTTCATCAGCACGGGTGGGGGTGAAGAGAAAGGAACTTGCCCATTTCGGACGTGCGTGGGGATACAGGTTAATAGACATTTCATTTGCTTTGAACAGGCAGATATGTAAATAACCATGTTGATCTTTGTCTTGTATACATGGTACGGTCATGTTTTAGGCGTCAATATCTTCCTGAGTCTGACCCGAGCTCAATTCATATACACGCTTCCTTCACAAAACTTCTACGGTGTTTGAACTCCACTGAGGAAGCTGACTTTTACCATTTCCGGTATCTTGTAATTGTGGAGATGTGTGGGGACAATGTCAAGTGATAAATCTGATTGCCGACTACCAGCGTCAAACTTAGTATATAAGTCAGCTAGAGAATACGGTTGGATGATTTTTTCATTCCAACTTCTTTGTTATTTTCACCTTTAGCTGTGCTTAGGTTAAAACATGAAAAGCGCAAATTTCTTATGGTTGTGCGTGGTCTTGGTCTCCATCGCTGGTGATGGTGTCAACTACGAAAATTGTATGTACACAAAATGCTCATTATAAAGATGACAAACATAAATTAACCCCACCCATGCTCTGCGTTTAGCTTTCGCTGGAGGTCTTGTTCAACAGGATGCTTTCTTGAATCATATGGGATGGACTTCTGAGACGATTCCCGAAACTCTTAGTCAGTTGATTGGACCTATTCAATCTCTTGGTCAGGTAAATGCGTCGGAACTCGGATTTAGCCAAACCTTGTCAGATTTTATACTAACTTCATGGTGATAACAACAGCTTGTTGGTGGTTTTATGGCTGCTATCTATAACGATGTTCTTGGTCGTAGACATACCCTTTTGGCTGGTTGCGTTATTACCTGCATTGGTAATGCTTTGCTCATTGCATCTCCCAACGTTCCAGCTCTGCTTATCGGTCGTATTCTTATGGGTGTTTCTGCTGCTTTCCTTAATAACGGTGTCGCCATGTACTGTTCTGAGGTTGCTGAGCCCAACACTCGTGGTACCGCCAACAACGTTCAATTCTTGTTCGGTCAAGCCATCACAATCGCCGCTTCCGGCATTAACTTGGCTATTTCCGGCCTTCCCATCACTGCTAACTGGGGTTGGCGTCTTGCTTGCTCCGTTATCTTCGTTCCCATGGTCACTATGGGTGTCAGCATTTGGATTGTATGCCCTGAATCTCCTAGATGGCTTATCATGAAGGGTAGATATGACGAGGCTCTGGAAGTCTTGCTCAAGATCCGATCCGATGGTATCAAGACTGAGAAGGTTATGCTCGAGTACAACGAAATGAAGGCTGCCGTGGTTTATGAGCAGGAACACAACGAAACCAGCTACTGGCACTTTGTCAAGAACAAGGCTGCTATCAAGCGTACTTTGATTGCCATGTCTTCCAGTTTGTGGTGGATTTTCAACGGAAATGCTATTTTCACTTGTAAGTGCACTGAAAGATTATTACGTGTGAGCGACGCCTTTTTGTACCATACACTGACGCCATTGTTTCTCAGACTACTTCAGAACCGTCTACCTTGGCGCTGGTATTACCGATACCCATACCCAATACCTTCTCACCCTTATGAACAGTTTGCTCGGTTTCGTCGCTACTTGCATTGGTGCTTATGGTATCGATAAGTGGGGTCGTCGTATGGCTGGTATCACTGCCACTGGTGTCGCCGCTATTTCTCTCTTCATTATGTGCGCTATTTCAGTCCGCTTCTTGGATGGTCAAGAAATGCCTAGCCGCGCTGCTGGTATTGCTTTCATTTTCATGTATAACTTTGAAACCACCATCTGGCAAGCTACCTGGAACACCATTGGTATGCTTTACGGTGCTGAGATTTGGGCCCCATCACTTCGTGCAAAGGGTTTCTCTCTCGGTTGTTTCACTGGTATGGCTGCTGGTTTCGTCTCCACTTACACTGCTGTTCCTACCTATAACCATCTTCATGGTTATACCTGGCTTCTTTATGGTGGTTTCTGTGCTCTTGCTTGCTTCCAAGTCTGGGCTACTTGGCCCGAGACGCTTGGTAAGAACTTGGAAGAAATTGAGTTGTACTTCGACACTGGTGCTGCTAAGCAAGTTCGCAATGTCATGGACCACAAGGAAGAAAATGGCGCTGACGACAAGCTTAGCGTTACTGATAACGAGAAGGAGGGCATTGAGATTCGCTCCGATTAATTGAAATCTCTTTTCCTAAAATATTTCTTCTTACTCTGGTTCTATTCACTTATTTAAAAAGAAAGGATCGCTTTGTTATTGTATGTTTATGTAAGATAGTACAGACTAAATTCCAACAGTTGTGAAATACTCTCAAAGGCCGTGGTTGTGACCAATGTTCAATGTCACCTTACTACGAGCTCAGAGCCATTTTTTTTAAAAACGTTATTTAGTAATAATATGTAGCAAGGTTTTAATTCAACCTTCTATTAATCCATACGAATGTGCGTTGCTTGTGTTTCTTTTTTGCGGGCCACCATTGTTCTCGGACTATAACTTTTGTATGATTTGATGGCGTCTCAGCTTGGAAAATTTGGCTTAGTTGGTCCCTCTAGCTCCGGCCACATTCACAATGTCACTCTATAAATTGAACAGATCAGTGGAATACTTTACTTCAATCGCTCGAATTTACTTGAATCGGCTATGACATCTTCATTTGAAGGGGTTTTCAGGCGTATGTTAACTGATCCTCGCCATGACTGTTTGCAGCCGAAGACACTTCAACTCCACGATATCATCATACCAGCGAGCTTCACGTTGACGGCTCCCTCTTCTATAGCTGTCGGAAACTAGCCTTCTTAGGCATTTATAGACTACTCTGCACGCCTAATTACCTCAATTCTTTTACACTAAGGTAATATATTATTAAGAAACAGGGACAATAAGGAAGTGAAACTAATAGCAGCCGCCCGGAACAAAAACACATTTAACCACGCGGAATACTCGGTACTTCATTATAGTCCTTTACGCTTCACTACGGGTGGACCACGTCTAGTATAGAACCAAAAGGAAAGTGATAGATGACTTCTAAATGGTAACTCGTTAGGTCGTTCCAAAATGAAGGTACCCTGAATATTTTCTTGTTTGAAATCAGTCAGATAATCTCATGTATAGAAGCTTCGATAGATGTTCATGTAATGACTCAACGTGCCGGAAGCAGTGTAATGATTCACGCTACTTTATTCGCTAAATGGCTGCGTCTGAGCTTGAAGCCTGCATGCCACCACTCGAGAACGCTTCTTGTTTGTTTTCACGGATGCATGGCCACTGTAAATACGTCTGTAGGTCATCTAGAAACCGGATCTTTCCGTAAATATAGCGAAGTCCAGATTATTTCAAGTCTTATAAAAAGTACCCACTTTCTTTATTTCGTGTTCTCACAACATTACGCAGGATGTCAACTGAAAAAATCACTTGTTTATTAAACTGGCACGCAACTCCATACCATCTACCACTGTTTCTGGCTGAAAAGCTCGATTACTTCTCGGAAGAGGGAATAAAGGTAGCCATCCTTGAGCCTAATAATCCCTCGGATGTTACTGAAATCATTGGATCGGGTAAAGTGGACCTTGGTTGCAAAGCTATGATTCATACAATCGCTGGCAAGGCTAGAGGTTTCCCCATCAAATCTATTGGAACCCTGTTGGACGAGCCTTTTACCGGTGTGGTATATCTCAAATCCAAGAGTGGAATCACTGCTGATTTTCAAAGTCTGAGGAACAAGCGTATAGGCTATGTTGGCGAATTTGGCAAAATTCAGCTGGATGAACTCACTCGCCATTACGGTATGACTCCACAAGACTACAAGGCTGTTCGTGTTGGTATGAATGTGACTGGTGCCATTATCCGTGGCGAAATCGACGCGGGTATTGGCTTAGAAAATGTTCAAATGGTGGAATTGGAAGAGTGGTCTGTCCAGCAAGGACGCAGCCGCGATGATGTCCAGATGCTGCGTATTGACGAACTCGCGGAATTGGGCTGCTGCTGCTTCTGTTCTGTAAGTGGCCGCTGATCTACAATTTCATACGGGCCAACACTAACGAATGTATGCAGATTCTGTTTATTGGAAACGAAGATTTCATTCGGGCAAATCCGGAAAAAGTCAAGGCGTTTATGAAGGCTGTCAAAAGAGGTAGTGAATATATGTTTCAACAGCCAGCTGACGCTTACGAGTTGTTTGTGGAAATGAAGCCTTATATGAACAGCGACGTCAATCGCAAAATTTTTCAACGCTCTTTCCGCTACATGTCTTATGACATGAAGAATGTTCGAAGAGACTGGGATAAGGTTACAAAGTACTGCAAGAGACTAGGTATTGTGGATGATGGATTTGAGCAGAACCAAACCAACGATTTTCTTACTTGGTCGTTGAACCCGGAAGATCCTGCTGGGTTCATCCACCCCACAATTGAAACTGGCGTTTTGAATAAGTGCAAAGGTGATTTGTGCAAGTCTGTCACTAGCGAAAGGGTAATACCCATTCAAGGTGAGTGCGATACTTTTTCAGCATTCGGTACAGGTTTATCTTGCTAACGTTTTCAACCTATGTCATTGCGCCTACTATGTTTTATTGGAACTTGTGGTATGTTACTGTAGAGCAGTTGCAAGATGGTCGACGCTAGGGGTGCCTGTTACATCGCCAAATTTGGTGCTGTACATGGCTGAGATCATACTCTCAATACCTGATCAGGTTAGGACCTGCGAAGGGAAGTCGTCGACCCAATTATGCTAGCCATTATATTCTTTTCAGATCAATAAATAATTGAAATTGAAAAATGCGTAGGCTCATTAATGAATATGAGTGTTTGTGAGTGCGTAAATACATATGTTGTATCGCATTGCTTGAGGAACAGAATTTTGGTGTACCAAGTATATCAGCGGGCGAGCCAGTAGTAGTATGCAAATGCACAGAGAAAGGGATGCTGACAGTAAACAGTTAAACAAGCAAATATGCTTTAATGAGTAATAAAGACTTGAGATTAGCAGTGACGAAGTTAAAAATACTACTTATTGTGTGGAATTGAAGGGAACAAGGCGGCATCAATATGGAGTTGCCGGGATCAATCGCCCATTCCTCCCGGTTACCATTAGCTACTTCCTACAGAGATTGAGGTTAGCTCTTTCCCACCAAAGCAGGTTGAAAAAGTCAAACAATGGATATGGCATTCGTAGCATTGAAGCCAACAGACATTGGTTTAACGTTAAACCAACTTTGCCGACCGTAACTTAACCTTAACAGACACTGCCTTCTGTGAGGAATGCATCCTATCTACTATACCAGCTTCTCATACAAAATTATAAATAGTAAAAGATAACTCTTATTATGCGGAAGATACTTTGTATATTGGAACACCAAAAGGCAGTAGGGTTGATTTGCTATACCCCACGTTTTTTTTTTTTTTGATTTAAGACCATCGTCCGCTCCAGACTAAATGATATGAGACCGACAACTAATGAAGCTGTACCTAAAGCGTCATTTCATTCCAATGATCAAATGGAACTTTGACACTTCATTATGTTACTTGTTTATTACCTATTCAATCTTTATTGGAAACACGGACCATTATATACCGGTGAGCGATGTGCTTCAGTGACTATGGACTGAAAATATAATACTGAGCCAAACATGGCCTTTCATGGGAAATGTATATAAGTGGTGTCATAGAATAAAAGGACATGCCCTTACTGTACCTTTTACTTCAAATGCTTCAAATCGAGAATCCATGTCAAGAGTCGTATACTGGAGAATGTGTAAATGGTTTTGGGAGTTTAAAGTCTTAGTCACTTAGGCTTCAACGGAGAAAATGTAAATTAATGTGACTCTTCTTCTCATAGTGGTAGTCTTAGACATACTTTTCATTCAAAGGTAGATTTGATGGCAGTTATCATGCTGCCTCTCACTACCTGCAAAGCACAAAAATAATACACGATTACCAGTAGCAAGTATACTTCGTTATTATATGTTGAAGGAGGCAAAGATTAGATATCGACATCCTGTAAGATTTAATGCGCAGTTCCACTGGAGACCAAAGATCCCATCGGAAACAGATGTAGTACCAGCTGTGGCTCGACGAGAAAACCTGGGATGCCGACAGGGTAGCACACAAATCAAAGCAGCAAGCGAAGCATCTGTAAAAGCTCAAGCCTCAGTACCTGTTTAAGTGCGCATATATGAGCTTTGTTGTAAAACAAAACCATTGTGCTCTGTCTGGCTGAAAACTACCCCGCAAATATGCACCAGCGGACATATCAGTAATCATGGACAATCTTGTTATGTTTCCAATAGCTTATACTTTATGCACCTTGTTGACGAAGATCATCTGAATAATTGCCCCTTCCGTTGAGGCCAGGATCTACAGTTAAGTGTATATGAAACTGCGCAATGCCGATACCCTTTACTGCGCAGTGTGCACCCATTGACCAATTTAGGGTAAAGACAGCGTGCGGATTCACTCATTGTAATTTCACATTGGCTTTATTCACCTGATATCCTGCAACTTATACACTAATTCATCCTTTAATAATGTTTATTAATAGAAAAGGAAAATTGTTGGTTTCTCGGTAATGAGGATCATCAACGTCTTTTGTGCACTACTTCGCAGCAGTAAATCCCCGCCTGCTAACGGTTACTCTTCCTCTGAGTAATTTATTGGGTTCTCAATCAGGATGGAAGCTTAGTCTGGGTACCCAAGCCATACCAGCTGAAGGTCTCGGCACTTGCCTTTCGCTTTCTTAAATATGCCATGTATCGTCACACGAATTTTATGTGAAGCTATGTCAGTGTCACAGCGCAGTTTACATCAAATTATATAAATGTGCAATGCGCTGAAGTGCTTTTCTCAACTCATTAGCGGTTTAAAATGCACATTACAAACACTCTTCTTGTTGGTTCTCTTTTGGTGGCTAGCCTTTTCTCTTCGCAAGCTGAAGCTTGCATTACTGCAAAGGCTGCTCTTGATGGCCGTAAGTCTCCCAGCACTTCCGCTGCCAGAACCTCCAATGTGTATAAGACAGGACAATGTATCAACGGTACGCATAATGAACGATCTTACCCATTGTTGAATGAACGTAATGTAACACTTTTTCCCTATAGTCAAGTGCCAGACTACTGGATCCACCATTTATGGTAGCAACATTTGGGACTATGGTAATATTTAATGGGAAGAAAAATAGCTCCTGCAAAAAAATTTTTTTTCTGATATGTTCTCCTTTTCCGTTTCCTTCAACGTCAACTCCAGATGGCAAGTACTATTTGCCAGACGCTTATGTCAAGACTGGATACTCTGGATTTGACCCCAAGATTCCCGTAAGCTATGGTTTGTCACTTCCAGCATTCGTTGTTGCTCAAAAAGCTGACGTTACCATTTGTTGTTTATTTGCTTTAGAGATGTAGCTCCGGTGGCGGTTCTGGTGGTGGCTCTAGCGGTGGTGGCTGCGGTGGCCACATGAACTCTGTCGGTCTCAGCTTCCTTGAATTGCATGAAGGCTTTGTATCCACTTTCAGAGATGACGGTGCTGGCCATATGAGTATTGGCTTTGGTCATAACTGCGATGCGTAAGTAGAAAGATCTGAAGCTGAGACAAACATTTAAAGAGTACTGAACCTCTGTATATTATAGCGATCCTCAACACTGCAAGGAAATTAAGACTCCTATCAGCAAGGCAACTGGACTCACTCTCCTCAAGAAAGACCTCAAGTCGTACGAAGCTGCAGTCTGCGCTGCCGTGAAAAGTCAGAAATGCCCTCTTAACTGCAATCAATTCAATGCTCTCGTCAGCTTCACTTATAATGTTGGTGTCGGCGGCTTCAAAGGCAGTAAGATCTACGAGCACATGGCCAACCGCGACTATAAGGTAAACTTGCTCCATCATGGATTGAGTATATACATACTGTCTACTAACACAGTCTTCACCTCATTTAGGGTATATACAATCTCTTCCCTCATGAATACCTTAACGGTGGCACACTTCTTACAAGACGCCAAGCCGAAGCTAAGCTTTTCAACACTGCTACCTCAACTAGCTCTGGATGCTGAAATATTGAATAGCTTATTAAAAAATAGCTGTGTTGCTAAAATATTACAATATAACGAAGTTTTTTATTCAATTATGAATCAGATTTTTATCGAAGCTAACGATGGCGGTGATCATTCTATGAACTGAACTGAATATGCACCATTACAGAAATTGCTTTTAATATCAAGCTATATGACTTCCCAAGAATGAGATGATGTCAATTCCTATCTCCTCAACGTGAGTTTCTAATGCAAAGTGTCCAGCATCTAACAATTTAACGACTGTGTTGCTTGGATTATCACGTTTAAAAGCTTCTGCACCAGCAGGAATGAAGATGCCGTCATTCTTTCCCCATATCGCCAAAACCGGGACGTTATTATCTTTGATGTAGGCTTGAAATTGTGGATACAGATCTACATTGGTTCGATAATCGTAGAAGATACCAAGCTGGATGTCCTTGTTGCCTGGTCGTTCGAGTAAAGCTTGATCCAAGTGATAGGATTCGGGCTGAATGCGTTCAAGCAGATCTTTTGGAACGCCATCAAAATACTGAGACTTTGTTCCCTCCAGTGTCAAAGCTGGTAGAAGCGCCTCGCGGTTTTGTTTACTATTGTCTTTCCACAGGCGCTGGATAGGCGCCCAGAAGTCTCCCAGTCCTTCCACATATGCATTACCGTTTTGAGAGATAATAGCCGTTATCTTCAGGTCTGGCCGAGTGAGAGCGAGCCGGAATCCAGTAGGAGCACCGTAATCGAAAACGTAAACAGCAAAGCTTTTGACATTTAATGCTGTAACAAAGTCTCCAATTGTTTTGGCAAAGTTCTCAAAGGTGTATTGATACTGTCTGTCGCTGGGAACCTCAGTGAAGCCAAAGCCAGGAAGGTCAGGAGCAAGAACGTGGTATCTATCCGCTAGGATGGGAATCAAATTTCGATATTGGTGAGATGAAGATGGATACCCATGAAGCAATAGAATGGTTGCATTGTTTCTTGATCCTGCTTCCCTATAGAATACGTTGATCCCATCGACTTGTGTGTACTTGTTTAGGATAGAGGAAGGCATTGTGGAAAGATGTAAAATACTTGATTTAATAATCTTGAATTGAGTCAAGTCCCATTCGATATTTATAAAAATTTGGATAGGTCGCAATTAATAATGAAGCATTGACCATGGTGTGGCAGTCCATCTGAGACCCAATTCAAGACGGGGCCATAAGGAACTCGGTTTATGAGGACGCTGAGAAAGCCGAATCACATAAGTTATGATAACCAAGATACTGAAATATTAATAAATAACCGATGTTGAGCTGGTTATGTTGTCTGAATGTTGAGTGAGCAGAACTTTGATGTTATGCATTCCATGAACGATGCAGGGATCCAGATTTCTACATGGGGAGTTTTGCGGGTTTTTCTTTTCGCGGAGCACAACATAGATGGCAAAAATGCCTGTAAGCAATTTGCTATTTTATTATAGGTCAGGCAATCGTCTATTGAATTACTTGTTGTCTTCAATTACTTTTAATTTGGAATATTTTCCTTCATGAGGGACCCTTTGGTATAATACAACATCATTAATAATACAATCATCACCTTCCTTACTCGAGGTTTACGGCCCGAAGTGAACGGTGAGCAAAAATTTTCAACGTCCATGGTACCGCTGATATCATCGCCATACATTATAAATCAAGACATGATGTACAAAACGATTGGCGTAGAACACCATCGCACCATTTCGGGATAACAAACATTCCCAAGGCAAAATCCGCATTTCAACTTCTCAAATTTTTGCATAAGGTGACAACGACGTCTAAACATGCTACTGATAATGCCCAAGTATTGTCTTGACACTTCTACGCCATCGCGTAGTGAGTGTCAACGTAACTAAAAATTAAACTCGCAGACAAATGTGCCAATGCAAGTAATGTTTCAGAATCAGATATATTATTTTGACTAAGATTTGAAAAATAGGCATGTGATATGGGAGAGTGGGGAATATGATACATTGTAGTAGTGATATCAAGAATTAAAGGTAGGTGAAAAATTAGGCAGTATAGAGTTATACAGAAATCTGACCACCAAGAGCGTATACGAAGAAGAGTACCCATGCAGTAATAAGCGCAGCAATGAAGATACCAATATACACATAGTTAAGGATTGTGGCTTTGGTATTGACATATGGATCCAAGCCTTGTCTTGTCAGTTCCAGTTGAGCGTTATTGATTTCTTCCATTTGCTCAGTACGCTTCTTACGTCCAACTTCCAACAAGTTGCTAAGGTAGACACGTTGTGTCAACCAGAGTACGGAGATGAGAATGAAGCCAACTACTGACAACGCAATGAACAACGCCATAACACCTGTAATGATCTGTCAGCACCGCAAACATGTTCGAATCAGAGTACATACTGTCAACTCACCAGTATAAGCTTGGTTCTCAGTATTGTCCTGGACCACGCCAACAACGATATCCAGAATGGATGTTCCGATATTGTTAGAGCTCTTGTACATACCAAGGCCAGTACCAATGTAGTCCGACGGCAAAATCATACCAATAGCGGTAATCATGGAAATCGGTCCGAACGCCAAGGAAATGGAATAGAAGACCATTCCAACAACAGCATTGACATAGGTCCAACCAAGCAAAGCCGCACTCAATATCATGAATATAGCAGAGATCAACACTGAAATCAAGGGTTTGTCAATACAACAGATGCTCTTGCTGTATTTACTTGTTTTGATCAATAAATTACTTACAAATAATAAGCCGGCGACCAAACAAATCCATAAAGATACCAAGTATAGGAGTGGCAACGATGGGAACGACCAAGGAAGCACTAGCCGTATAAGCAGCCAAAATTTGCGTAGTGCCAAAGTGAACTTGTACCAATTCGGTGCTAATGGTTTGGAAGGAAGACCACACAGCGGCAAAGATGAATTCAATAAGAATGATATGCCAGTAGTATACGGGGAACTTGGTAACCGATCGCCAGTTAAAGGCTTTCTTGGCCTTGAGTTCGATGATCTCCCGTTTGGTCACTACCGCTCCACGCAACCGCTTAACGACAAGTGCGTACACGACGTTCATCACAATAGAGAAAGCGCAGATAATGAAGGAAAGCCAGAAAGACCAGACCCAGTCACCGGTACCACTAACGATAGCCGAAGCAGCAATGGTTCCCAGAAACGTAGCGAGACGGCTTATAGACAGTTGTAAGCCGATGGCAATGGATAAATGCTGAGTACGAAACCATTTTGATAAAAGCGATTCTTGCATAGTGACAATAAGGCCACTTCCAATACCAAAAATAACTCTTCCAGCAATCATAAGACCAAACGATTGAATTTTGGCAGCAATGGCCGTCAGCAAGCAGCCGACGATAATAAAGACATTGACCGCCAATGTACCCCAGGCGGATCCGAAAGCGTCAATAAAGAACCCACCAACAATGGGGAAGATGGTGTTGATGATCGAAACGCTTGAGGACAAAACACCATAGCGAGTGTTGTCGATTGCAAGTTTCTGTTCTCAATGCAGTTGATTAAAACCCGTTTCGCTGTTTCAAAGAAAGCCTTTGAGCAGCTTTACAACGCCTCCCTCCCCTTGAATGATAAGCCACCTTTAACTTACCGTTTTAATCGTTGACTTCATGGCCGATATGGCGCTTTGGGAGAAATGGGAGCCAACTAAGTTTGTGCGAACGTTGTTAACATCTAGCATATTGATATGTTAAATGATCAGATACGGCCTTACTTGGAAGCATCAATGCTGTGACTAGAGCTATAAGCTTGTACTGCCATGGCGCCGTGGCCAAAACGGCATCCGTTTCAGGGTCTTCCTGGTGATCTATGGTAGGTATAATTTCGTCGTTTACGTCTGAATTGAACTTTTCATTTGAGGAAGGTTCAACAAGCTCTCTAGAAGGTGTATGATTTTCTGTTTTGAGTTCGCTTGCCATGATGGTAAGTGGGAAGAGTTGCTGCAAACAAAATTTTCATGGCTAGGCAGCAAATTTATTTATCAGATGCTGAGTTTTGAAGTAATTTTTTTGAGACACGTTTATCAGATGGAATGGTGCGGAAACCTTACCCTTGCCGCACGGAAGCGAGAGATGTATCACTTTAAAAAACTATATTTTTTTTTGAGCAGCCAATTGGTTGAATCCATTGTTCTCAGAACAAGAGTAAGTCATTGCAGCTTCAAGTTCCGCTGCCACAGAGTAATACCTGGGAACACGCAGACTGAATCGAAATGATGGAATACAGAAAGCCCAGCTTTATATTCCGCTGTACGATACAGAAGAAAAAAATATCTATACTACGGAAACCTACGTTTAGCACTGCTAGTGTCTATACTGACATCATATTTAGTAATAAGATAATGTATAGTCTTCCGGCTCCAGCTTCAAACGTCTTAAAATGGCATCTATGGATACAACAGGAGTAGCCCATTTGGGCGGCGAGTAATCTTTAACTTCTTCTGGATGGACGTCTTCTCCTTTGAGCTTCTGGTCGGATATTGAAAGCTGACTTTTGATTGGTTGTTCGTCGGTAAAACGTGCCTACGACACAAGGTTATCATCACTTGCTTGACTATATGTGCCCATACTGGAGAAATCTTACAAGATAAAGATGTCGTCTGGTCGATCTGTTTCTCACCGGTTGGCTGGGAGTATGGAAGAAATCGCTAAGCATGTCAATCAGCGCTGCCTTGCTTTTTCTAGCCGGTAAGAGACACAACTTGCATATGCGTTTTATAAATCGAATATTATGTTGGGCTAACGCTGAGCTTAAGACCTGGTTACAAACATTTCAACCGAGTTAGCCAACAAGTGTATATTTTCCTCTTGCCTAAATGCCTAGATATTTTCAAATGCCATACAAGTTTTTTTGCAAGCTTTTCGAAGCCGTTGAATTCTAAAATGTTGTAGATTGCGTCTTTCTTGTTAGTTATTTGATAGAACAAAAGTTTGTGCAGCGCACGTATATCCACAGTGCTGCAATTAATAATGCTTTGTAGAACTACCAACTGAATTATGAGTGACAGTAGCTGGTCTCCAGATTATTAAGTCAATTTGTACCTCCAGTTATTTTCCATAGGGGTATTCCACTGCCCTTGGGAATAACAACATTTGCACGACTTGCTTTTCTTACAGGATTGATTGGTGGCTCAATAATTTTTGAAGGGGGTTTGGAGGTGCGTCCAAACGAAGTCACTCCAGATTTCACTGGCATGACCTCTTTGCGAATTCGCCGGGTATACAACTTTCTTTGGACCATGCGCAGCTCGGCCTTAACGGTTCAAGTAACGATTGGTAATTGCGTGTTCTTGGAAATGCTGTTGATCCCGCTAGGAAAGTAAACTAATCCCGGGCTTCTTGTTATCTGACAGAGAAAGAAAAGGTTCGCTCTCGCTTTTATCGAAACGAAGATGACCAAACCTAGCCTACGCTATGTCTAAACACGAAAATACCCTCCATGGATCGGCAATATGCGACAAGCTTGCTACCAGAAATTGTGGCAATCCTTACAGCCAGGATGATCAATGTCACACCATGCAATGCTGTCTACACTCCGCAATTCTGAATCAAAACACGCTACGATGTGTTTGCACAGCTTCTTCAGCATAACATGAACAAGCCTGCGCTTGAGAGACCCTTGGTTGGTAAGACTAACATCGTTATTTTCTTTTTTGTTTTCCTCGTATAAGGCATGCTGGTCGCCGGTCATATGAGTTGGCTTTGGACTGATATGGTCGTCTTTCGCTTTTCTTGATCATAAGCAGTACAGCTGATATTTCACGCTAGAAAACAGAATGCAAGAATAAACGAAAGAAATTTATACGATCAACTTAAACCGAATCAATTCTTCTGTTCAGTCGGTACTTGGCTCGCGTTGAGTAGGGATCCCATCGGTGTGACTGAAATATATGCAAGTGCTGTGTCATGCCCAACGCTGAATCAAGGGGAACCCCCTGATATCTGTTCGATCATTTATTTAAAACAAGTTGTTGTTAGCTTTTTTGGCTTCAAGTTTCATGTATGTATATCGAAATCGAGAACCTAGGTAAAGTATTGGCCAACTTTACCTGTTATAAGTATGTCATCGTACACTACTGCCGATGCAAATATGAAGTATCAAACAACACCAACTTTACAATGATACCTCATGGTTACTTGAAGAGGCGTATTTAAGCAGCAAGATGCAATCATCGGACGACATGATGGGCGGCGTAAAATGAAGGGAGCGAACTATATCCAACCGAAGGTTGCTTGAGTATGCTATGCCCATCCAAATCTCTACGACCGATGCAAATGGAGTAGTAGCGCACGCATCGATGAATTTTATTTTGAAACGATTTCTCTGCCAAGTTAGCTCATCTTTCCCAAATTAGATAGGCTCATCCTGTTCAATTTTTGCAAATGATGCACCAGTTGGTGTTGTCAGGCGATCTCGGTGCTGATGGTCAGAGCAATGGTCAAAGTCTATTCAATTCCAACGAAGCAGAGAAAACTAGCGTCTCTCTCGTAGGTCGGATTACAAGAAGTGATCACAGCGGGTATGTTGGACAGAAGCTAGACTCTTCACAGGATTTGCTGTAACAGGGTGGTACGTACCAAAGGAACACAATGTGTGAGATATTTGAATGACCATACAGGCATACATATAAAACTCATTTTATCAAGTCAGTGTAGTACTGCATTTGGTTTATCCTTTCTTCATGAAAGTCGCATATATTTGGTTTACAGTCGCCATTGCCTGCATTTTCACTGAGGCTGCTGACGAAATTTCATGGTCGGAAGCGTATGCGAAGGCGAAGGTTGCGGTCTCGAAATTGGCCGACAAGGAGAAGGTTACGCTTGGAACAGGAACAGGAAGTGGAATATGCGTAGGAAATACAGCTGCCATAAGCAAGATTGGGTGGCCTGGCTTATGTTTGCAAGATTCACCTCTAGCCGTGCGACTGGCTTATAACGTCACTGGTGGAATATCAGGTATCAACACCGCTGCCACTTTTGATCGAGACCTTGTTCGACAGCGTGCAGAGGATATGGGGGACGAATTCCGTGGAAAGGGTGTTAATATTCAACTCGGCCCTGATGTCAATATGGCACGAATTCCAGAATCCGGACGAAATTGGGAAGGGTTTGGCGAAGATCCATATTTGACTGGCATAATGGGTGGAATCACCGTAGCTGGCGTTCAGAGTAAAGGAGTGGTAAGTTCTCTATCTATGGCCGGTGAACATACGAGCTTCTATAAACAATCGTACTGATTACGAAGAACGGAAACCTTTCAGATAGCTACTGCCAAGCACTTTATTATGAATGAACAAGAGACTGATCGAACTACTGTAAGTTGGTTTATGATTTGTGCGCGATACAGCAGATTGTACTGATAATGCCAATTTATTCAGAGCTCATCAGAGGCAGATGACCGTACAATCCACGAGATATATGCCTGGCCGTTTGCACGAGCTGTAGAAGCTGGAGTTGCTTCCGTAATGTGTTCCTATAACAAGGTCAATGGGACATATGCTTGTGAAAATGACGAGACTCTTAATACCATCCTCAAAGGGGAGCTCAACTTTCAAGGCTTTGTGCAAAGCGATTGGGGTGCCACTCATTCAGGTGCAAAAAGTGCTAACGCCGGATTAGACATGGATATGCCTGGGCCGGACGCCTACTGGGGACCCACGCTCACCTCGCAGGTAGAGGCTGGCAAAGTATCTGAAGATCGATTGAATGATATGGCCACCCGGATTCTTGCTGCTTGGTACAAGCTTGGACAAGACAGCGGATATCCCAACATTACTGTCAACGACAACAAAGTCGATGTCCAAGGAAATCACAAGCAAACAATACGAGAAATAGGAGCGGCCTCTGCAGTACTTTTGAAGAACATCAATCAAACGCTACCCCTTTCCAACCCTAAAAGTATTGGCATCATTGGAAATGATGCTGATTCAGCCAACTATGGTCCACTTGGGTGCACAGAATTACCTTGTCTTAGTGGCACTATTGCAAGTGGGTTTGGATCTGGCGGAAGTTATTATCCGTATATAATTTCTCCAGCGGCTGGAATTCAGGCTCGTGCGCCAAATTCAACACAAGTGAAAACCTCACTCAGCAACCTCAATATCATTGCAGCCATACAAATTGCGAAGTCCGTTGACTACCCAATTGTCTTTGTCAACGCTGACGCCGGAGAAGCTTTCGATCGCATAAGTCTTAATGTCGATACTTTTGGTAATGAGCTGATAGAAGCCATTGCGAAACACAACCCGAACACGATCGTCGTAATACATGCAGCCGGTCCTGTATTGATGCCGTGGGTCAACAATGTGAAGGCGATAGTTTATGCCGGTCTTCCTGGTCAAGAGAATGGTAATTCAATTGCCGATGTTCTTTTTGGAGATGTAAATCCGTCTGGTCGGCTCCCATACACTCTTGCTAAACAAAGCTCTGACTATCCGGCACATTCAACCCTAAGCCCAAACGTCAATTACAGTGAAGGACTTTTGATTGGGTACCGATGGTTTGACGCAAAGAACATCACTCCTCTCTATGAATTTGGATTCGGCTTATCATACACCAACTTTTCTTATCAAAATCTTAAGATCACCACCACTCCTAGCAAGGTGACAGTGAAAGCTCAGATCAAGAATACTGGACAAGTATATGGTGCTGAAGTTCCACAACTGTATATTGGGTTCCCAAAATCTGCGCAAGAGCCGCCCAAAATTCTAAGAGGATTTGATAAAATCAAGCTCCAGCCAGGTCACACAAAGACGGTTTCTTTCGTTGTCGATGTAGCAAGGGAGCTAAGCGTGTGGGATACACCATCCAAAAGCTGGAAAATTGTTAACGGGAAATTCGATGCCTACGTGGGTGCAAGCAGCAGAGATATTCGATTGCACGGATCGTTCAGCATCTAGTTTTGTAAGACAATCCGGTCACCTCTAATTTACCTTATCGTTGGTCTTATAATATCATATCCATAATTTTTTTTCCCACCTCTGTGTATCTGTTATGCACTGTGTCTGTGTGTGATATGGCTCCGTCCAGTTATCTGCGTCTTGATAGTGTATAAAGGTAAGTGTACTTCACTCAATTGTTAGGTGAAGATTACGACGAAGCACTGGTATGAGCTGCACTTAGGACTCTGTTCATCGAGTAATGGTTGTGTAGATACAAGTTTTCAAGCACAGGTTTACTATATTTTTGCTACGTTATCAGAATCGACATATGATTACATCATGAAGTTTAAGGACTGGTATGAACAATGTACGGAGCAGGTCTAGGAAGCTTTTCACCATCAACGGTAATATCTAACTTCTCATTCCAGAAGCTCCAACGACCTTGAATGCGCTCAATTCCAGGCACTGGATCCAAATACGTCCAAGCAATGTTAGGATACTCTTGACCGTTGATGGTGGCTGTAAAATAAGATGCAACGCCTTTGTAAGGACAAGCGCTCTTGTAATCGCTCGGTGTGAACTGCGGGAGAGCCTTAACATCGACTGCATTGATGTAATAACGAGTAGGGTGGCCATTCTCATAGACAAATAAGGCACTTGTGGTTTCGGCAACGACAACTCCATCGATTTCCACCTTGACATGCCGAGAACTGAGGCGAACATCAATGCGACTGTAAGGGCTACGAGGATGTCCGAAGGCGACCTCATCATCTTCTAACCATTTGCTGAGTTTGGTGAAGTCAAATACAACCAGGTCTTCGGCTTCAGGGACAAACCCAGGGGTTTCTTTCTTGAATCTCCAGGCAGCATTGTTGAGGGTCTCGGCTTCGGTCTTTACATGGAACCATTGACCACGGTCTCCATCTCTCCCTCCATTTACGGTATCACTCTCAACTAGCCCAATTACATCGGAAGTTGGGAAAGCCCAAAACGGAATAAGGCTGGTGCCTTCCCAAACGAGATATGCTCTCTTGGAATCAACAATCTTGGTTTCCTTATGAAATCCCCTTATCCAACGTGGACTTTGCTCGTAAACCACCGCGTTTGATTTGGAAGTAATTCGGCTTCTGGGAGATCGGTAGTGCGAAGTCATTGCTCTAGGTCAATATTTTTGTGAAGTGGAGATATGGTAGGTTGTGGGCGGGCGGTTTTGAAAAAAGAGGACAAGCTCACTTTTTAAGTTGAGATATGACCGCCAAAACAAAACGATGTAAGATTTGCAATATTGCAACTTATCACTGTTAAATGATCTCATTTAGGAATGTACAACAACGGGTCCCATTAAAGGCATGTAAAAAAAGTTGCAGGGTGTTTGCTCCAAGGCATAGTCATCAGATAGAGTGCTTTTTTCCACAAATGACATATTTTTACGCACCCGCTACCTCTTCCACATGCTGCGGTAAAAAAAAAAAAAAAAAAAAGGGTACAGTTCAGCCATAGCTATAAATTATGCTGCATTCTTGACATGTTTACCATATCATCGATACTAGGATCAGTCTCGTGTTATCAACGCAAGTTATTTAACCAATTACTACTGCATTGAACCTCGCCGGTGAAATAATGTCAGACAAGGAAGCAAGACCGGAAAACGACTTGCCACTAGACGAAAAGGTTGTCGAGAGAGAGGTTGAGGTTCAGTCCACTACTACATCCCAGGACAACGCTATTCTCGAAGGAGCGGTTACCAAGACATATGCTCGCAAGGTCAAGATCCTGAATGATGAGCTTGGACGCATTGGTATGGGATGGTACCAGTGGAGACTCTTTATTCTTGCTGGTATAGGATGGACTGCTGATAACTTTTGGGCCACTCTCAACAGTCAAGCTGTTTACCAGGTTGGACTTGAATACAATGTTCCAACCACTCAATTGCCATGGGGATCTATGGGCCTGGCTATTGGACTGTGTCTGGGTGCCATTTTCTGGAGTGCTCTCAGTGACTTGATTGGGCGTCGTTATTCATTCAACATCACTTTGCTTATCGGTGGTATCGTTGCCTTGATAGCCGCCGGATCACCCACTTTCCCAGCATACTGCGTTTTTGTCACCTTCATTGGATTTGGCATGGGAGGTAACTTACCAATCGACGGTGCTTTGTTCCTGGAATTCCTTCCCGGTGATTGGCAATGGCTTCTTACTTTCTTATCTGTGTGGTGGGCACTCGGTCAGCTTTTGGTCGTTTTACTCGCTTGGGCGTTTATCAACAACTATAGCTGCTTGAGCGCTGATAATTGTCCAACAGCAAGTAATCTCGGATGGAGATACCTTTACTACATAGTTGGTGGTATTGCATTGCTGATGGCAGCCGCCCGGGTGGCCTTTATGAAACTTAACGAAAGTCCAAAATTCCTACTAGCTCAAGGCAAGGATGAAGATGTCGTAAAACTAGTACATATCATTGCAATTACCAACGGCAAGGAGTCTACTTTGACAGTGGAGGACTTTAACAAGAATGGAGAAGTTGACAGCTCTGGTGGCGAAGAACTTGGTAACACCGTTACTAAGTCGGAGAAGGGAGGCAATTTTCTCAAACGCTACTCATTACAACATATCACGCCTTTATTCGCAACTCGTAAGCTGGCCATTAACAGTTCCTTAATCATCTTCATTTGGTTTCTCATTGGTCTCAGTTATCCTCTATTTGGCGCCTCACTTCCTCTCTGGCTTCGTCTACACAATATTGATTCAACCGAGAGCATTGAGCAAACCTTCCGAGAATATGTTGGCTATGCTGTCCTGGGCATACCTGGATCTGCTATCGGTGCATATTTGACTACTCTCAGGATTGGCCGTAAAGGTGCCTTGGGTCTAACGACTATTCTTACCGGTGTCTTTATCTTTCTGTTTGCAACAGCAACAAACAATTCTCAAATTGTGGCGTTCAACGCCGTAACCAGTGTCACAAGTGGTGCAATGTATGGGATTCTTTACGCTTACACTCCGGAAGTGTTTCCTGCTCCCCATCGTGGTACTGGAAATGGTTTGGCAGCAGCAGCTAACCGAATTGGTGGTATCATTGCGTCTATTATTCCCATGTCGTCGGCTGCTTCCTTTAACACAACTGTCCCATTTTGGGTCTCAGCCTCCCTCTTCACGTTATCTGGCATTCTCGCCTTCTTCTTGCCAGTGGAGAGCAGAGGACGAACATCTCTGTAGCTTAATTATCATGTGTTAGTAGTCATATTTAATTCATTCGGTGTCGCAAGAATAAAAAAAAGAAATTTAAGAAACGATATTGCGCTATGTTGAAAGCTATGGCGAAAGGTTGGTGTCTGAATCGGAAACCTGCTTCGGATCGTGAATATGTTTGCATGCTCCTCTCTATCAATGTAGCTTATGATGCAAAAGGTTCCCAAATATGGCAACGTAAAAACGTTGCCCTAGACTGACAGTCAGACAATAGCTGCGAAGTTCGAGGTATGCTTTATTTTTCAATTGGAATTGGCAGTGGTAAGCAATGATACATGATGATTTTCCAATTCAATTGATGCAGGCAGCTATTCATATGTAAGCTTTTCACCATCCACATAAATATCTAGCTTTTCGTTGTAAAAACCCCAACGCCCTCTGAGTTTTTGAAGACCGTCCACAGGGTCCAAGTAGGTCCATACAATGTTAGGATATTCTTTACCATTCACGGTAGCTGAGAAATAAGACGCAACGCCTTTGTATGGACATACAGTGTTGAGTGTTGATGGGCGGAATAGATCAATTCGTTGGACATCAATGGCATCAATGTAATACCGAGTAATGAATCCGGTTTCATACAGGAAGGCTGCAGTCTGAGTTTCAGCAATGGTTACCCCGTCAATGACTACCTTTACGTGGCGGGAGCTTAAGCGTGCATCCACACGGTGGTAAGGGTCCATGGGATGACCTATGGCTTCTTCATCGTCCTCCAACCATTTTTCGACCTTGGGAGTATCGATCACCACCAAGTTGTTGGCTTCTTCAATAAATCCAGGCGTGTCGCTCTTGATAGTATAGCCGATATTTTCAATTTTCTTGTCCTTGAGTTGAACATCGAACCACTGTCCTCGAAGACCTTCCTTACCACCGTCGACATGATCATTCTTGACAAGACCAGCTATATCTTGAGTTGGGAAAGCCCAAATGGGATAGCCTGCAGCGCCTTCCCAAATTAAATATGCTTGTTTTGAATCCACGATCTTCTCATCACCCGAGTAACCTCTTGTCCATCGAGGAGACTTTTCATATTTGACAGAACCTCGAGAAGAAGGTTTTATTTCTTTGGGGGTCTTGTTATGCAGCGACATTGATATTTTCAAATGATTAAACGGCGGTGGTTTTATAGCTTGTTGAAATTTTTGGGTCATGACTTGGGCGCCAGCGTAGTCCGAGCTGGATTTGTCAGGGAAATGTTGCACAGCACAACAGTTACTGGATTTGGACAATCAACGGTTCATCACCAAGATCTGTATTTTTCATCATTCAGCACTGCTTTGCACCGCGCATTCTGGTCTTAAAAGCCTTTGCAGACACGATTGGAATTCAGACTAACCGAACTTTTTACATCGATAAATTTGGTTGCTGCACGAGCATTTCTCACTTGAAACCAAACCGTTTTACTTCCCTACCCTTTCTCCTTTTTACCTTTCCATTACAAATTAATCAGCATGGAGGACGATAGGAAATCAGAAGTCACCCACACAAAAGAAACGCAGCCTGTTGCCGAAGAAACCGACATCCACTCTTCGGCGGACTCTGATGATAATACTATATTGGGTGCTGCTGTTACCAAGTTGTACGCACGCAAAGTCTCCTTGTTGAATAATGAGCTCTCAAGAATCGGAATGGGCTGGTACCAATGGAGGCTGTTTATTCTGGCTGGTATTGGATGGACGGCAGATAACTTTTGGGCAACTTTGAATAGTCAAGCTGTCTATCAAGTGGGATTAGAGTACAACGTATCCACAACGCAGTTACCATGGGGCTCTATGAGTCTAGCCATCGGTCTATGTTTTGGCGCCATCTTCTGGAGTGCACTGAGCGACCATATCGGCCGTCGATTCTCTTTCAACATCACTCTCTTAATTGGTGGCGTGGTGGCTTTAATGGCTGCTGGTGCGCCTACCTTTGCAGGATACTGCGTTTTTGTCGCCTTTATCGGTTTCGGTATGGGAGGAAATCTTCCAATTGATGGAGCCTTATTTCTAGAGTTTCTTCCAGGTCAATGGCAGTGGCTGCTGGCCTTCTTGTCAATATGGTGGGCACTTGGGCAACTCATCGTTACACTGTTGGCCTGGGCTTTCATCACCGGTTTCAGCTGTTCGTCCGCAGACAACTGTCCAACGTCCAGTAACCTCGGATGGAGATATCTGTATTACGTCACTGGCGGTATTGCCTTACTGATGGCAGCTGCTCGCTTTATCACCATGCAACTTGACGAGAGTCCAAAGTATCTACTGGCACAAGGCGAGGATGCCGGCGTTGTTAAGATGGTTCATATCATTGCCAAGACAAACGGAACAGAATCAAGCCTAGCCGAAGAAGATTTTAAAGCAATTGACAGTGAATTTGACGAGAAAGTAACGGCACCACTAGAGAGACCAGCGAATGATTCACTGTCCGTTCCAGTGGTCAAAGAGAGCTTGTTGCGAAAGTATTCTATCGATCACGTAGCACCTTTATTTGCAACTCCAAAACTTGCCCTCAATACCTCTCTTATCATCATCATCTGGTTTCTCATTGGTTTGAGTTATCCACTCTTTAATGCTTCCCTTCCTGTGTGGTTACGTTTACACAACATCAGCACTGCAACTGGAATTGATCAATCCTTCCGTGAATACATTGGATACGCAGTACTGGGCATCCCTGGTTCCGCAATAGGTGCTTATCTAACGACTTTGAGATTCGGCCGCAAAGGTGCTTTGGCATCCTCTACTATCCTCTCTGGCGTTTTCATCTTCCTCTTTGCTGCAGCGAAGAGCAATGCTGAAGTGGTGGCATTCAACTGCGTAACAAGTGTGACCACTGGTGCTATGTATGGTGTTCTATATGCTTATACTCCAGAGGTGTTTCCCTCACCACACCGGGGTACTGGCAGTGGATTAGCCTCAGCTGCAAACCGTTTGGGAGGTATCATCGCTTCCATTATCCCAATGTCTTCCGCTGCAGGCCTTGATACAACTGTACCTTTCTGGGTCTCGGCGGCTCTGTTCACTTCAGCAGGTGTCCTTGTTTTGTTTTTACCTGTTGAGAGTAGAGGCCGTATGGCCATTTAAAGTGCGTTTACTATACAATAGATTGCTATCCTCATGCATATCATGTGAAACTAAAACGTTAGCATGTACATTTCTTTTTCCAATTGTATTCAATTTTTCTCTTTGCTATATCCTTAACATTAAAGTTAACAGGGACTACTTATTCAACGCATTGGATTCCATTAATGTCCTAACTACCTGAACCACTTATATTACTTCCTTCTTAAGACAAGACCTATGCAGGTGAATGCTTCCTGTCATTATGAAAGTTCTAATACCCGCACTTGGTGTCAACGTAAAATAATGACCCAGTCTATGGTCGGTTTATTCAGCCGCATTCTAATGCGATAAGATGGCATTAAAATAAATGGCAATACTTGGGTAGCTAACTATTGGTGCCCAATACAGGTTACAAAAGCGTAACACGTTTAGCCTAGTACCAACGTGTCGCTCTTACCAGGGTATCCTTTTATGCTAAATTTGGCGGTAATCAGTGGATGAAGGATTTGTTGTAGGTAAAGTCAGGTAATGCTCCGCGAGGTATTATGTCGATGGCTTTAAGCGTTTTGCGTGATTTGTGACATTGTCGTGCTGAGCTCATTAGCAATGATGTTCGCACCTCGATATGGCCACAAGTCGAGTGTATTTGTTGCGAGATAGAAAGAAAACAGAAATGCAATGCACCACTCGAATACAGCAGAGGCGCTATCTTCTTTGTTGCACGACGTTGACAAATTGCCTTGAGCGTCATATTTGTTGGATGATTTTGAGCATACCTACATAACAGAAATCATTATAAGTCCCCCAAGAAAAGTGCAAATTATGATAAATAAAATCGCAACTTACGCTCATCAAGACTATCATACAAATTAGGCAAATGACTGCAAGGACAATGATACAGATTTTGATACGATAGCTCCACTTTAGTAGTCGACTTTTAGGATGATCCTTGTGAAGCAAAGCAATCATTGCTACATTGAAGCCCCCGCTGATAGCTAGACCGACGAAGAAAATGAGGGCAAAGGTCCAGTGCAGTGTGCTATGGTTGAATGCGTCAAAGATGGTGAGAAGAATGAGTCCTAGGCAGGCAATAAATCCAAAAAAGATCGCTGCAATTGCTAATGGTTTTTCTGACTTTCGGCGTTCCATTGGACGTAGCAGCTTTCTCCGCCGCAGAACGTAATCCAGCACGAGTGTTACCACATACAGCACTCCAATAACAGTACCAATTACGATGAACAGCGTCTTATGGACAGCCCCTAATTCATTCCTCAGAGAATTAGTACAAGCTGTAACAATAATAATAACTATATGTACTTACCAACGTCACTAATATAAACGATGTTACTCTCATTGGCTTTATATTTGGGTTCGCCTGCGGTGACCCATAGTAGCAGTAACGCCAAAAAGAGTGCCAAAGCACAACAGAAGTTGAATATGGGTAGAAAAATTAACCACTTTAAGCTTTTGATCATTTAATTCTTCAGTCTTGGTGATATGTTCTAATGTTGCTGAATTGCCCGTATAAACTTCAGAGGAGGCAAAGAAAAAAAAAAAAGAAGGGAGGAGGAAGGAAAGAGTGTTGTAATTTAGCAGTAACGCTCATTCGGTATTTTTGACCGATGAAATCATTACCTGTTCAATCAGAATATTTATTGTCCGCTGCGAATTTTTTCCAGTGTTAGCAGTTTGCCAACAGAGTCGTTTCACTCATTCCCAATGGACGACGACGCTTGAGACCTACGATTTACACTATTCTAGGAATCATTTATGTTGACTTTAGCTGAAAATGAGTATGTATCTTTCGTGTGACAGTCAGATCAAGAAAAACTTTAATGAACGGACGACGCAACAACTTTTGTCCGGTCGAACTGCGGTTAAAAACTTGGATTCGGCAGCCGTTACTCCGTTCAATGGTATGACTCGCACCACACGAGGCAGTTTAGGTTAATGATCGAATCATATCCGTTTTGCCACTCACTTTAACCTGGAGTTTTCTTGACTCTCAGCAATGACGCACGTGCCAATTAGCCATCCAGGTACATTGTCGCCACAGCAGCAAGGATCTTCAGCCATTAGCTATCTTAACACCTTGTAACTTATAAATGCTACCATTGTCGAAGATTTGATCCCATTGTCAAAGCAATGACATGCGAATAACGAGATCTCTCTTTGTGATCGTAGCCGTCTAGCAGGCTTTGCTTCGATGTGTTCAATCTTTCTGAGACAAGTAGGTTCGATAGAAACAGTGTCAGTCCGGAAGAACTTTCACGATTTTGACTAATATATTTCATTAGGTAAGTTTCACGTCGTTCCAATTGAATGTCTGCCTCCTGAAGTGATTTCACAACTGCGTCAGTAGACCACCAGTTCTTCTTCATACAGACTATGGTTAACAAACAATACGCCATTTTTTCAAGCTCCGGACACTTGGGAATGAAAGTATTAAAATATGGAATTGTATGATGAGGCTACCCTATCATACTTCTGGTTAAAAAATTTTTTTAGTCAAGGCCGAGAATCTTGAGGAGAGCATCGCAAACGATGGTGTCTACGCGCAAATATTCATTAGTACGGTATTTACTTTACAACATCGCCAGACGAAAATACATACCAAGAATGCCAGTGCTGTTGGTGCTGACAACTGGAGTAGGAGGATTTGGCAAAGTGGTGGGGCAATCTGTTCTGGGGCTGCTCAATGAAACAGCTTCCTCGAATGTAGCTGCCCACTATAAATCACAGAAACGTTAGATGAAAAGTGCTAAGCAAACATAGCATTCACTATTCTACTTACGGCATCTCTCTTGGTCAAGAAATTGGGAAGATTGAAAATCTGCAGATATTGATGGTTAGGCATGTCGCTTGAAGACACAGACATAAAGCATGGGGGCTTACCTTCTTGATGGTTGCTGGAATAGAAGAGTGCTCAAATTGAGAGTCGGATTGAGGACCATTAGGCTTGGAAAGAACGCTACCGGCTTCGACCCAGGGTGAGATCAAAAGCATAGGTACACGAACACCAAGTCTGTCAAAGTTGAAGTCGGAGACAGTGATGCCATCTGGGTTAGGAGCTGAGGTAGGTGTTGGTACGTGATCAAAATAACTGATAGACATAGAGCAATGGGAATTAGCATTTTGCAAATAGTGGTCGACACTCGTTCAACACATCCAACTTACCCTCCATGTTCATCAAAAGTGACGATCAAAAGGGTCTGGTTCCACTGAGGAGAAGCACGAAGTGTCTCATACACGGTCTTGAGCAGTCTTTCAGTCTCGGCGACATCGGATGGCGGATGAGCATCATCTTCTTCCACACAGTTCAAAATACTGAAGTAAGCAGGATCAAGGAATGAAACGGATGGCAAAGTTCCAGCCTTGGCATCGCTCTTGAACGTGTTCCATTGCTTATAGTTAGAGAGCGAAGTACGAAGCTCGTCAAATACGATCAAACTGGGAATTTCTTCAAAGTAGTTTGCCCACGAGATACCAGAGTCGGCAAGATTGTTGTAAATGGTATTTTGAGGGTAACCGGCGATGTAACTGTTTCAGAGCAAGTGTTCTAATTTAGCAAAATGATTATACTAGGAGCTCGATTGAAGGATACGTACTGTGTTCCATCGGTGTTGATTTCACCGTGGGAGGTCGCTGAATGGACGAAAAGACGGTTGGGCATGGTTGATCCAGGGAAGGAAGAGAAGTAGTTGTCCATTAGAAGGTAGTTTTTAGCCAAAGAATAAAAGACTGGAATGGATTCTCTAAGAAAGCATCAGTAATTGAAGATTACCTCAATCTCAGGGAGAAAGCATACTAACGGATCAAATGCATTCATAACTTGGGCTAATGTGGTGGTATTTGTCAAAGAAATGTTGAGAGATTGGGCAAAGTCAGCAACAAATCCAGCCATGGGAGCGGAAGAGAGACGGTTAACGGACTGAGCAGTGAGGTTGCCAGTAATCTGTCTTGTCACATCATCGAGTCCATGAGGAGGGTCCAAAGGATCCTGAAGGAGACCATGGTGTCCAGCATAGATCTTTGTTGAGGTGGGGTCAGCAGGATTGACAAGGTTGTACTCTTTGCCTGTCAAGCCGTTGATACCAGAAGTGTAATTGGCCCAACCAAGCATACGATCGAAGCTTCGGTTCTCCAACACAAGAAGTACAACATTCTTAATCTTTTCAGATATACCATTGGCTATTGAAAGTGTTTAAGCGTTAAAAATATGTTCAATTTACTGTATCTATCGGATGTGCAAAGAACGCATGTATTTGCTCAATGGACTTCCGATAGATCTGTATATTTGCATAAATAGTAATGTAACTAACTGGCAAGATCTTTGACGATGAAAGGAGTAGCGTTAGTGTCATTTTCATCAAGGTCGCCAAGATTCCACTAAAAGAAATATGATTAGCAAGAGAGCAATCTTGGTTTGGATTAGCGACATGGAAATGCTTACGTTCTCCTCTACGCTCTTGAGGAGAGAGTAGTGGTTGTATTTGTTCCCGTCGGTCAATGAGCTACGGCTGACAGCAGGGCCAAACAAGACAGTGAGGACTTGGTTGCTCTAGAAAGGTATTGTTGATAAATATTCAATTCGGGGTATGGATGGAGAAGATCATTTTCATTGCTCATACGTACCAAGATATTTGCGGATTCGTCAAATGTGAGGACGAACAAGGTGTTGTCGCTGAATGCAGTCTTGCTAATACGAGGTTCCAACCACGATTGGAGCCAGTTAGATGCGTAGGTGACGTTGGTGTTGTGAGCATCGTTGTTGATCTGAAAGATAAGAGTTAATCTCAAACTGATGACATAGAAGAAATGGTTTCAAGTGACTTACATCCGGTGTGAAGAACACATACTGTAAATAAAAATTTAGACTCCTGAGTATAGTCGGGACTCATCATATAATCATATTCATCTTTACCTGAGGAACAGCATTGTTAGCAATATCTGTGTCAAGCTGATCGGCATTGACAATTTTAGCACAGCGGGTTGCATTCTTGGTGATGGAGGGAAACGACATGAAAGGATTGTGTTTACTAAAATTGTGAAAAAAAAGTAAGATATTGTACGATGCAAGGGTACTTGGCTCATGGTACCATGCGTTACTTACCGGTAGTATGTGCCGCTGGAGGTAGCAGTATTGCAGTTTCCGGGATAAGCTTGTTGATAGCTCTTCCACGAGATGCCCTTGGCTTCGAGCAAATCCACGATGTTGTTGCGGTTGATAGTGGAGTCATAATCGAGGAGAACACCACTGAAGGATCCGCTGACCATGGCCACCTAATCATAGAACATGCGGCGCGATTAAAAAACGTGTTATACCATAGCGGTCGTGAACGAAAATCAATGACTTACATAGTTGGGCTGAGACGGATGGGTTGCAGCATAATAGTTGGTGAGAGTCACGCCTATATGTGACAGTAACGGTATATATTTCAAAAGTTAAATGACAGCGCTGATTAATTGCTCCAGTTCATGTGAAAAAAATTATCCTGACCATTGTGCTTTTGAGCCAAAGATGCCAGGTAAGGGTCAGCCTTTGCCTTGGAGTAATCGGTATTCTCCAAAACAATGATGACAATGCGATCATAGCTGGAGCCCGGAACAATTGAGCTTGCAGCTCTGGGCGAAAGGGGAATGGACAAGGCAGAACCTATCAGGCAAGCAGCCACTGAAAGGAGTGAAATCTTCATAATGAACCACAGATTTGTGGGTTCTGTGAATAACACTTAAATACTTGAAGAGAAAGGATTTACAAGATCCTCAAAAGGGCTAGGTACTTGTGACACAGACAGCATGAGCAATATTAAACGCTTCATATTCACTTCTTACAATACAAATGCTGGAATTAAACGGATGTAACATGCATAACATTGTAGAATTCACATGAGAATCGCATTACTGAATTGGCATTTTCTACAATAATTGTCAGAGATCGGAATAGTAACACCATGCATGCTTTGATATGAATTACGATGGTTGGATGTACTTTGTACCACTAATTCACCGCATAGGAATTGTGCTACTTAAAAGTTTTCTCAAAGTACATAGAAAACATCTCACGCACTCCATTATCTATAGGGTACTACTTCAAATATGGCTCATCATCAATATATTTCTAAGAAGAGCCCAAACATTCAGTAAGGCAGTGGTCCAATGTTATGAGCTCTATTAAGAGACACATTAACATAAATGCTTAGTTGACCAATGAAAATGGCATAATTGAGCACTGTAGCTGTAATCAATGAACCGGCTCAGCGGTACTTGGAGTTGGGCTAACACAGGTACTAAAAGGTAGGCTGAGGTCCTTGCTGGGTATGTGCACGTGTCAGCGAAGCGAGCCAACCTCGGCTAACCGACCATTAGCGAGACGGGACACGTGTAGAGCTGTGTCCAGGTATTTGCTGTACTATGACTTGCGCACTGACTTTCTTGATATTCTAAGCTTTCTGTTCATGATTTTTAGCATTTGATCGTAAATCTTTGATGTAAATATAAAAGTTGTGATTAGATTAGCTCTCGTCCGTTATCAAAATATATCAAATGACTACATCCCGTTTGTAGCCTCTTTATCAATCAAGTAGAATACATTAAATGCGAAGAATATTGCCAAAAGTAGTATTCATCATGGTTTTGGGAGTGCGGATTAACGGACAGATGGTCAGCCGTACTGTCCACAACGTTGTAACAGGAGACACTTTTACAAATACTTGGTAGACGCTATTCTTAACCAAAAGAAATACCTTTATCCGTTCTATGAGTCAATGGTCGGATACAAACAAGCGAATTGATATTGGTCTGCAAGGAAAGGATAATAAAGATTGAAACCTCATGGTAGGTGCTCGCACGTTTTGGTGGAGGAAGTGGGTAAGCACACCATATATAATATTATAAAACGGCTTTGCTATATAAAAACTGTAGGCCAATCAGTTAAAGGTACACTACAAATATCGAAAGGATGACAGTCCTCACTACAGCTTTATATCTTGCAGAACACTAGGGCAAGCTTTGGTATGACTTGCGTCAACATACACAATACTGATATCTGAGATGAATGAAGCTTTGTGGCCCTCGTCTTGCATTATCGCAACGTTGGCAGTCTCCATACTCCGCCTTGATAAAAAAGGTGTGAAGTGCTAATCAGGAACTGTGTACACTCAATTTCTTGGATCACTGGTTTAACCAATGGCTTTCAATTGGAATGATGGCTTTTTTGGCCGTGAGGTTGGCAGCGTGCCTGATGTGATGGCATTTTATACTAGCCAATGGATGCCGAAAGGTACGTAAACAGGCAGTGTGGTACTCAGGACTTGCATTACTTACTCTAATAGTCTTTATCATGTAGCAATACAGTCCCTTCTCAAATTCGCCATTCATGGGGCATTAACAAGAAGAATATAATACGGATAAAAGTACGCGGGAAACAAAGTGTTATGATTTTATGATGTAAGTGGTAAAGCATTAGAATAGGTGCTATATATTACAGTTGTGATGCAACCTCTACTTTAAACACGAAAGTGAAAATTCTTATGCTATCGATATTTGCATGATCAGCACACAGGATACTGTGTCTCTCTATGTACATTATAATGTCTTGATCATGATGATATCGGTTTGTATACAGTCTCCCATCTTGAAGTCGTGTTCTCCAACATGGACGAAGCCTGACTTTCCATACACCTTTTGTGCTTTCAGATTGTCTTCCCAAACTCCTAACCACATGGTCTTGTAGCCTTGTGAGATTGCAACTTTCTCGGCCTTCTGAATTAACAATTTTCCAATACCCAATCCATGAGATTCATGGTGGACATAGAGTCGCTGTAATTCGATTGGTTTTTCGGCATCTTCTACACAAGGTTCGCTGCTGCCTTTTGTTAATTGAACGAATCCTAGCACATTGTCGTCAGCAGTGCAGGCTACCATGACGTGCTTCAAGGGATCTTTAATTTCCTCAGAAACAGACGCCTTAGTGTAAGTCTCCTGTAGATAAGTCTGAAGATCTTCAGCAGACAATGAGTAGCCGAATGTTACTGAAAAAACTTCTCTTCCAATAGCGGCTATGGATTCGGCATCGTCGACAGTAGCATCACGAATAGTGATCGCATTCTTTTCTTCGGTTTGGTTTTGTAAGGTTGAAGTTTTCGATACTTCGTCAATATTTTCTTCAATGTGTGGAGCCATGAAAAGATGTAATTCAGTAACCTTTGTTTACTCTAGTAAATAAACCTAATAAAGCCCAGCACTGTTGATTCTTCTGGTCAGTGTGAGTCAGAATTGCACCAATGTGCTGGCCCCAGACAATGATGAATAATCTAAAAAAAAAAATATTCTCTAGAAAATTCAGGAGGTTCCATCAAACTTTCGAACATGAGCCAAGAAATGCTTTGCTACGATCATTTCTTTTCATCGCGAACTTTCCACAACAATTCGCTGATTTTATATAAAATATGATGATGACTATTCCTATATCTCTTTGGTTATTTTTTCAAAGTGATATTCAAACAACAGAGCGAAAACCATACGGAGTACTGACGCTGTAGTTTTTTCTTTTTATAAAGAAACAAAAAATTGAGAATTATGTGGTGCATAATGCTTATTTCAAGATTTCTTGGATTCAATGGCTTGCAAGCACATTTGTGGAGACCAAGGCTGTTAGTCGTAATCGCGGGGAAGGAGCTGTAGTTTCTGACCAGCCAAAAAATGGCTAAAACGAATGTCGTTGGTTGACTGCAACTATCGTTGGGTGAGTGCTTGTATCGTGTCAGTTCTGAGTCTGTTGAGTTAGATGTTCTTCAAATACTGGAGACCTCAAGAACGGTTTAAGCCAAACCTTTCTCAGATAGCAATGAAGTATTTAGCGGTGTGTGCCACCTCCACACCCAGTGAAAGACGTTTTTCTCAGGCGAGGCTATTTGAGAGCAAGGAACTCGTCTGGTTGCAATGATAAATATGCATACTAAATACTCTACGAAGGTCAAATGGCGAGGCTCCACAGTCTAGAAGGCGCCAACCGGAAGAATGGCACAGCATTGTGATGCATTTTTTGATCAGATCAGTTAGTCAGTCATATTATAAGCACTCTCTGGGTCATGGAAAAGCGAAGTGTGTAAAATACGCTAGAGATAGTTACAAGTTGGCAGACGACTTCAGTAGATTCGCACTATCTAACAAGGATAGAATTGACGAGATTAAAGTTGATGGTTGTCTTGCCTTTCAAGCAGTTGGTTGGTGCATTATTACTCCAAAGTTCAAGAATCTCTTTTTATCAATATACGTATGCAAGTTTTTTTAGGACCCTATCTAACGGTCTACATAAAAAAATTTGCTTTGCGGAAGACCTTTACGAAATGATGGAAAGTGTAATGCTAAAGGTACCATTGTCAATTGTGCAACATTACGAATACTACTGCCTTAACAACGTTGTTGATCATGAGTACCGCTTCTGCGACTGTCTGTCCCCTAATCAACTGCAGTAGACTTACTCTAACTGAGCTTAAATTCAACGCAATGACCAATACTTGCGGTCGTAGCAGAACCTTGACATTAATGATTTTACACATCATACCTCTCAATGCTGTACAACCTTCTCTCTGCAAAGGTGATGTTACTCTCATCTTGGTTGGAATGTCTACAAGATAGCGAGTACAAATTCCAAACCCGACACGTCGTGGCAATGACCTTGCAAAAACTTGGGGGCGACTCCCCATATACCTTTTAGGCGATGCTCCAAAAAAAGCTGCGCTGGGCATGCCTCAAAGGGGTACCCCGAAAAGCGTTGTGCATAAACTTGGGGGATGTCCCAAAAGCGTTGTCACAAAGTTGGGGGATGTCCGAAAAGCGCTGTCACAATCTGAGGGTAGGACCGAAAAGCGTTGTCACAAACTTGGGGGATGTCCGGAAAAACGTTCACTTCGATCAGCCATGAGATGCTATCGGCCGCTTGGTAAGCGCATTTCTATGTAATAGAGAATTTTTTTTCATACAACCATTCTCTTTAGTCGTGCAGAAGCCGAACAGAAATATTCACAGTGTGGCGGGCGTAATATTTAAATTCCTTCGTTCATCTTTGGATATTTGTATACCAACTTCGCTGCGCGCCCGTCGGGCCTTCCGGACCGGTTTTAATCATGGTTACCATACTCTCCTCATTCAAGCGTTCTAATGGGTGTAATGGAGCAAGACACCAATGGCTACTGCAAACACACAAGATCCCAGACTTAAAAATAGCTATTGGGATACTAGCAGAGTTCAACCTTGTAATGCATGTTGCAGAGTACAATCCACAGGCGAGGATCTCTGTCGGCCTCTGCATTCCCAGATTAAACGTGAAGATTGCAACTATAGTTGAATCAATCCTTTGATCCTGTCGGTATTAAAGCTGTTGAAAATTATATTCTCGTTTATCAATGGTGAAATGTGAAAAGAACACTTCAGGGCAAAGCTTTCTCAGATGGGTAAAAAAGTAACTAGCGGTGTGTGCCAGCTCCTCTCATAAGATGCTGCTCTCGTGTTGTTACAGGTATGGGCTTAACGCAAAGCATAACACGATGAAACTAGTCCAAAATGCAGTTGAAATGCTGAAGCTCGACAGCCAGAATTTCTAGACGCCTCTTTCGAATTCTTTTCAAAGCGTCAGATCTTGACAGTTCAGACTGTGAGGTGCGTCAAGATACTGTTATCGTATCTATGAAAGCTGACAAGAGATACAGATATATTGAACTGAGAGCGGCAAGAGTGCCTTTTCCTGGTGGCAACTTAGTAAATGACCTGAAATGTTTGAACTACTTGCTCATACAATGATAAAGCTTTTAACTTGTATGTCTTTTTGCAAACGCAATCTAAATCTCATTGTCTAACAATATTTCACTAGTACAGAAACAGGTCTACCTTCAATTCTTAAATTAAAGGAGCTGTGAGATCCAAGTCAAGTATGACGAATACTGTTTGGTTCCGCTCTAGACAAATGTATGATGCTGATGACACCATATTAAGTAGAATAGAGTTTGTAGTTATTATACACTCATGATCTACATATTTACATTTCATATATTTCATATATTTCTTTATCTTAGCCATAAACATCAGAATTTAAGCACGGTGGAGAAAGTGTTAGAATCAAAATTGAAAATGCATTATACGAAGTTGGATTGGACGACAATTGACTACGACTACACCATCAAGTCGCCGTATTCAAAGTCCATCAGCGAGTCTGTATGGTTTCAACAGCTGTTATTATTTGAACAAAAGTGATAGTTCGTATCCCAGCACAGACGCTGTTTTACAGGTGACAAGAAGCGATGACGAGTTGTGCAGGATCTTTTGTCACGAACTCTTTCCAAGTTTTGTGCTATTTGGAAGATGTCATAGCTCGATATCCAAACCCTGGTCATGCGACAAGATGGTCGGTTTTTCATATTATGCGATTCCTTAGCAAATCAGGGGCTTAACGAGCCACCATGATTTGACTTATTTTTAGTCAGCTGCAACATCAAATTAGGTACATAGTCGATGCTGGTCGAGAATTGTCATCGCGGGAAAAGTATTCCATCCAACGCCATGTAAACATTATGCGCTATTCAGAGTATTGGCCTTCGATGAGCCTGACACGAACAGAAATGATGGTAGCCATCACCGTCCCTCCTGTAAGCCATAAGATATAAACATTGAAATAAATGAATGAACGAACACAACCTAGCTATAAAAAATTTCGAAAGCTATATAATGGTGCTTGATATGTACTGCAGTGCTAGAAAGTAGAAAGCAGGATGTTTTATCCTGAAGGGTCCTCCTAAACTTGATGAGAATTCTCCGCTCATGACGACATTGAGGGAGATGAGATACTGATGGCTTGTGAAGCTGCTCAACGGCCAGTCTCGGTTGAAAATAGCTTACATTCGTCAGTTTCACAGTGATAGGCTACAAATGCTTTATTGATTCCGTTATCGTTTTCCACATTGCCAAATCCACCTGATTTTGGCCATTTGCAAGTGATTTTGAAAGGCATACCAAGCCTCCATAATGCCGGAAAATATCCAGCGACAATTACTCCAGGTAAGAACGAGTAACCAAATCCTGGCCTCAACAGTGCTTATGCCACCTGAAGCTCTGAAATTTTGTTACGACACACACTTTTACTACAGGATTGTGACCACGCGCTTTATGTTTATTATAAAAAATGATGCAGTACTGGAGGCAAGATATTAAAGCAGAGAAAACATAAAGGCCAGAATGCAGATCAATAAAAAAGAGCATAGCAATCTTTGGTCATGATAGAAATTACAGGTACATTTTTTATGGCGTAGAGACGCAATACGGTATGCAAAGACGTTGTTGAGACGACGGCGAAGGTGAGGTCTTACTGTAGCTTGAGCTCATCAAATTCACTTCTCTATCATCCACGTACGATTCCACTTCAGCGATTGTGCTACGAATTAGCGCTTTAGATTTCCACGTAAGTTCAATCACACGGAGAAGTGTTGGGAAGGTAGCGATGCTGGTCGGAATATTGTATGTTGGGGTGGACGAAACGCGGCATACATAGCCAAAGGGGCAATCCAATACGAGCACAAATGAATGGAGGCCAAACTGCATAATTCCAGTTGTCGCATTTCTCCAAAAGAGCTTCGCTATAGGCATCCATGCCTATGGTTTCGCCGTAGTCACTGTCACCAAGGCCATCTACATATCGAGCCGTATCTGTTGGGTATAATTTATTCGGTGTTGTATCTTTGTAAAATTTACCCTAGCTTGGTTACCAGAAAAAAAGGAGCCACCATTGTAGCAATGGCACGAGATTTGGTGGCCATTTCACAGCAGATAAAATAAAAATTGTAAGGCAGCTTTTCTTGCATTTTCCTCTATTCTCAAAATTTCTACCGATTGAAGGAGACTAAATCGGTAATCATACCAAGATATCTGAACATGGGGATGACGGATTCAACCCAATAGGTCCTTTCATCATTATCCGTGTATTGAAAGCTGGGTTTGGTCATCCTCATTATACAGAACTCTTGAAGGGTGCCTAGCATGATCGCAAGGAACTGGCCATGATAGGTTGAAACGTCGATGTTCTGGGCGGCGCACCTACCAATAGCTTCCAATGGGGTTTCAGCCTCCAATACTCTTTTCAGAAACTCCATCGCATTTGGTACCGCTTTAAGGCTCAAGCGAGTACGACCATCTTCTTTGTTGGAAGCAAATTTCTCCTCCATTCCTTCGCTTACGGACCCAGATATTCCGAAGAGGACCATACGTTCCAACTTATTCCCTTCGGCTCTCCTGAGTTTGGGTATGGACCGAACGTTATCAGTCCGTGAAGGGATCGCTGTTTCTTTTCCTTTGTTTCGAAAAAGCCGGAGGGTGACCGGTTTTCCTATGCACGCAGGATCCATAGCGTTTTGGAATTCGATTAGATTGACCATGTTTAAAGGAGAGATGAGAGCGAGACAAGGTGTGCGTCTTTCAAAGGATGAAATCTCGTATAAGGGTTCAGGAGTGGGAAGTTGCCGATTTCACGAAGGTGTTCTGAAGGAGCAAAGTGTACCGGGTTCGAGAGGGACGTTAAGAATATCCTTTCACGAACATGTGTGTTCAGATGATTTTTCCTCTCGAATATAGGGCTGGCAACTGATGGATTCCTCAAAAAAAGAATTATAATAGTAGGAAACGCGTTGCTGCTCAGCAGGCGCTTCCTTTCCTCAGGTGTTAGGCTGATATCCTGGTCCGGGAGAGTGTTTTTGGAAGTCTGCTTTGGGTATGTCTCTTCCATGTTTTAGTAAAGCGCTGCGGGTTGTGAATTTTTCTTGGCAGGTGCGGCACTTGGAAGCTCAATCAAAGACCTGGAAGCTGTCGGTCCTGCAACTATAGTCCGAAGCTAACGGTTATTCCATTGTAACGCTCGAGTCAGCTGACCTAGTCCGAAACTCGTTGTCGATATATTACAGAAAATCTAGTTTTATACATTAGATAGTGCTTGCAGTATGAATATGATAAACCTGCACTTACTATGATGATTTCTTAGAAGCTTTTGGTACAATTGTAGATGGAGTGTAGTACGCAAGCAAGATGAGTAGCTTGGCTAAGGAATCTTGAGTTGCGAAATGGGTTAGCGAGTAATGCACCGCATTGTAACTGCGCGCATGAGCGAAGATGATGAAACTTGGTGGGGTTACCTTAAAGAGTGGAGATTCACTACTAAGTTATTCGTCATCATCTATTGATGACGCCATCTACTTGAATTTACTTTACTCATAGAAGATCACTTCCGAGCTGGACTCCTCTGGGAGTAGTCTGGCGTTATTGCTTTGCCTCTCATGTCACTCTTCATGAATTGCTGCTACTATAACCTTGTGATTTGTGCTCTATGTCCCTTACAGACGTCAAATAACAGCTGATTCAGACAATTTTACAAACACAAATCTCCGACGATGAACTCTTGTCGGGAGTAGACCTCCCTCCATTCCAGGCACAGGCGCAAAAAAGGACAACACAGCGACATTCCAGAGGCCTCTACAGCACCAAGTCAAAGAACCTGCCAACATGATTCCACCCACAAAACATAGATAGCATGGTCGAACATGTATGGTTAAGTTGTTATAACTCCGACAATAATGGTGACAATAATAGATCTGCTAAAGACCAACTAACGGTATCTAAGTCTAATCACACGAACAACATACACTTCAAACCCTATGAACATAACATCGATGAAAAATTAGTATAAGTAGCAGAACATTTGAAGTCAATAAACAGTAGTCAAGTCATATTTTTAAAGAAGTAACTTGGATTGCGAAGTAATCACTAGCAGAGGTGAAGAATAGACTTATCAGCTACAGATTGGACTCTACAGAGGCGGAGATCCGACACTCTTAAAAAGAAGAGGCTCTCTGAAATTCACAGTTTGTCCCCATTACCTCAAATCACTGCATCTTTTCGCAGTTTGTTCGTAGGATCAGAGTAGTTAATTAAGTCTAGGTGCAGTCCAAAATATCCCACAACTAAATCACTACATCTTTTTGCATTGTGTTCGTAGGATCAAATTTTGTTGATTATTTTATTATGTTTGAGCACAGTAACAATACCGCAGCATCAATGATGGAACCAGAATGTGATGCGTTTCCATCGTATCTCCGAGTGCTTCCAGATCTCCGGGTTGTCCTCTGCACTACCCATGGGTGTTGCTACACACGACAGTGGCTCTCCCGGCATCTATTAGAACAGCATCGGTTAAAAGGTAGAAGGCGGCAGAGAATCGAATCATCGAGTCGATTGAACGACATCGCTACCTCTAATACCGATGTTGTGCAGCCCCAAGATGGTACTAACGAAATTCGCGGGCTGCCGACCGTACTGGGCTTCCTCTGCCACCTTCCTGACTGCGACTTTCGTTCGACTAGCAGCGACCGGATTCGAATGCACTATAATAAAGTGCATCAGTGGAAAGTTTTGCACCAAGGGGCTATGCCATGGAATGAGGCGTACGTACAGACGCTATTTCAGCAGACACAAAGCCAACATTACTTTGCAGTAGTTCTGGCAGACCAGGCTCACCCGTCCGCTACCCCGCAATATATATATCCCCGGGCCAATGCACCAAACAACGCCGCCCCAGCTTCTACCCGCAAGTGAGTACCTGTCTGTTGCTTACCTCGTGTGAACAGGACCATATATGAACCTTTTTCTATATTCCAGTGACGTTCAATCTTCTCCCCCCACTGTTACTGATAACGAATTGGATCAAATGATGAGAGAGTACCATGCTGACCTTCAACAGGAACAAGATTGTGTAGAGACTGCACGAGATGTCTCCGAGCATACGCCGTGGATGAAGCGCACCGGTATATATGCCCATCTCTTAGGGCTAGAGCGTGATGAACTCGGTCCTAGCTGTTACCTCCCTGGGGTGCAAGAGGAGCCGTCGTTATTCCTGATCTGTGAGAGTATCGGACGGGTCCTAGAAAAAGCGATGAATGCCCTTACGCATAACAGGAACAAAATTGCCCAAACCCTCAGACGACATGAAGCACGACTGCTCAATACTTTCACGCGGAGGGAAATCTCCCCCCTGGATTACATCACTCAACTGCAGAATCCGAAGTCTCTTCAAACATATATCGAAACTTGGCAGCGGTTGATCTGCTACTGGCACCGAGTCGTTGAGCAGAGCCATCTCCGAGACACGCTCTTTCAACCGAGTGATCGACAGCTCGAAGCATGGTGCAAGGCAACCGACGCCGCGAGCGAACTCGCCAGTCCAACGGACCCCGATCGCGACGAGGTATGTCCAGGATGAGATGGAATGATGTTTTGTTTCGTTTCTAACTCCTAGACACGCAGGCTTTCCGTGACAGACTCGATCGGGCTGTTCTCGAGTTTAGCCTTGCAATCATCCAACACTCTGTGCCACGTCGTAAGTTTGATTCTGTCCTTGTGTCGTATGCTGCTGTGCGCTTTTGGAGCCATAAGCAAGGCTCGTGGATGCCCGTCCGGAACTATACATCGATTCTGTCGCAGTTGATCTACGACTGCCAGATGGTGGTACTTGCCCAGGTGCTAGCGATGGCAGGGGATAACGATAATGCGGACATTGGTGCTATGATCGTTGATATTCGGGACCAGTGGCTGTTGAATGACACGGATGGTCCCGTTGTTGAATTGCTAGAGAATTGGGTACTCTCCTTCCGGATCGGTCAGACCGAAGTTCAACCGCCACAGATCCACTGGCGTGCCGATGGAGAGACACTGGTATGGTCGGATGTGATTCTCCACCTCTCAGACCTCCATAGGATCATCTTCGAAGGGGTTGCGGATGCTCGGCGAATTTTTGACGAAGAGCTATGCCTGAGTAGCCGGTCTAGTCCTGCATGTGATATTCCTGGTCTGGATCTCAGACTTCTCGTCGACAACTGGGGTGATAGAAAGCACGGCCAGTCGTTCCTGACCGATTCGCGGAACGCAGCCTATGTCGACCCGCTTAACGACTGGGTGTACTCTCGTGTAGAGAAGTCCCAGGCGTTGTACGACACCTTCTGGTTGGAGACGGACGCGAATACCTGTGTAGTACGCGCAGATGCCGTGCAACAGTATGAGGATGCGGTGCAGCGGTTTCTGCGCGCTCTTATGGTCCCGTTTTTCCTTGGGTCCGGCCAGCAGGGTCGACAAACCGACTTCATTGGTCTTAAGTGGAGGAATACTGATTACGTCCCACGAAACCTGTTTCTCCTTGGCGGGCAGATGTTGTTTACCCTCTCCAACCGCAAAATCCGGTGCCAGAGCAATGCATCTCGATGGCCAGTTCGTTTCGTTCTCCCGGAAGTCGCTCAGCTTGTTACGCAGTTTCTAGTCCTAGTTCAGCCATTCCGTACGTTCCTCCATAGTGAGACACCGGGCTTTGGAACCGTCTCTGACTACTTGTGGTCCCGCGGCCCTGGTCCGTGGGAAGAGGATGCGATGACGCGGGTCGTGGTTGATGCAGGGAAGCTCATTCTGGGTAAGCATATCCATTTCCAGGCTTGGCAACAAATCACGATGGGTATCGCACGACGGAAGTTCGCGAGCGCCGAGGCGAATCTGCTGATCGAGGAAGATGGAGATGACGAGGAGCCAAATCCTGTGCTCGTCAGCATGGCGGACCCACTCCATTGGCAGGCTGGCTATGACCCCCACCCAAATTATCATGTCTATGGAAGACCGGAGAACTCTGCGTTAACGGACGCCGAATTCGAAGGATTCCGACGTGTCGGTAGGCTATGGCACCAGTTCGTGCGCGATCCTATCCATTTCCAGCCTACACTTGTCCAGGATGTTTTGAATGGAACGTAAGTCATATTTTAATGCGTCCTTCCGTGATGTTAGCATTTTTTAACATTTGCATGGTAGGAGTGTGTCAGTTAATGCTGCGATTGGATCGTTTACTACTCCGTCTAAGCGACGCCAGGATGAGGAGCAAGAGAGCCCGATTGTACGGCGCGTGGCGCGACGGATGGCGCCTGCTCGGACTTGGCGATGATGGCGTATGGACCAAGCGAGGGAAAGGGTCTTCTTTATCTCCTTCCTTGTCAGCTCCCTGGTATAGCTTACACTGTTAAATATAGTCTAGTTTTTTATAAGAGCGCTCAGTGCTCATGTTAATAGCTTACACTGGTAACTACAATCAGTCTTTTATTTAAGCGCTAAGTGCTTATGGCTTACACTGTTAACTACAGCCTAGTTTTTTACAAGTGCTAAGTGCTTAGTGTTGAGCAGTTCTTATGGCTAATAACAGTGATCAAAGCAACCTGTTTGCAGTCTTACCTCGTTTTCTATACTATATGTTGATCTGCTGTAAGTGTAAAGAAAATTCGTTGTCCAAAGTCGATATTTTATTTACCCAATGTTTAGCTGACTGATGGAACTTCAATTGTATGTTTTAGTGTTTACATGTTGCATTCTGGACACAATGAGCCAACCTTGAAGGTGTTTTTCTTCATACTGTCTGTAAATTTGTATATCTGAATGATAATTCGTCGCAACCATTGACAATATGAGGTATGTTTCTCTAATTTGCTAGGCGTTATCACTCTTCATAGCGGATATAGTTCTAAGGATGGGTGCTTTCATTTTTTAATAAACGAGCACCTTTAGCCGACATTTCGGAAGTCATTTGTTCAATGCGAGCATGAAGTACAGTGTTTCTTTGGACATGAAGCAGTTCACTATAGCCTAGTTGCCTTGTAAATTTGCCTTTAATGGAAATGTACGTATTTATGTCATAAAAACAAATGGCATACATCTTGCTGCTACTTTTACACCAAATGCTCAAATCGGCTATCCAAGGCAACAGTAGTATACTGAAGAGCGCGTAGATGTCGCAGGGCGAGTTTGAGTCTATATAACTTAAGCATTCACCGGAGAAAATTAACATTAATGCTTGCCACTAAGGTCGAAGTTATTATCCATAACCGAAAGTCAACTTACCTGGTCCTGGCGTTCAAATGAGCTATCGCTGAGAAGGACAAATGGATTGGTTGAGTTGATGCCGCATAGGAGTGGTCGAGTTTAAATCGTTTGTATCTGGCGATGGCGATTATGAAATAGTAGGAGAATATAACATAAGAAAGTAAAATGGTGTAGAAATGGACTGAAGGTGGAAATGAACGGAATGGAGTTGGGGAAGGGTGGAATGTAGAACGACATTCTTGTCATTCTCGATGAACTGGAGGTTATGATTAATTTTTGAAACCCCGCTGGCGGCAAGATTTTGCTTGCCCTGATAGCTTTAAGGAAACTTTCATTGCGTGATGGAACGACCGTTAGCGAGAGACATAGCGAGGGGGAAACTTTTAGGATTAAAAATTTAAAGGGATTGCCTATTTAACCATTGAGTTGATTCAACGACGTCGCTACCTGTAGTACTCAGTTTTTAAAAGTGCTCATGTTAATAGCTTACATTGTTAAGTACAGCCAGTTCTAGTAAGCGCTAAATGCTTATGCTTACGCTTGTGCTTATGCTTATAGCTTAAACCGTAAACTACAGTCTCTTTTTTTTTTACAAGCGCTTAGTGCTTATGCTTCTTGGCTTACACAGTTAACTGCAGTCAGTTCTTGTAAGCGCTAAATGCTTATGATTATAGCTGGCACCGTCAACTACAGTCTCTTTTTTACAAGCGCTTATTGCTTATGCTTATGACTGACACTGTTAACTGCAGTCAGTTTTTTTTAAAAGCGCTTATGCTTATAGCTTGAACCGTTGACTATAGATTCCTTTTTTATGAGCGCTAAATGCTTGTGCTAATAGCGTACACTGTCAATCACATTGATACCTTTTTTAAACAGAGGAAGTTACGATACGATTGATTAAATTACTTCCTTAGACAAATGGGATCAGACTCTGTCTATCTTACATTCTACGTGCTAGTCCTGAATGGACTAAGGATGAATCAAGGCAGATGATGATGAATGGTGATGTTGTTACTTTGTTGTAGAATAATCTAATAGAATACATCATTAATGTTATGTGACTACCCCACTTTGGAGTGTTTTCTTTACACTGAACTGCTTTCTTTACTCTGCAGTTATTTCTTAACTCCAGAGGCTTCTCCCTTACTCTAAAAAAATATCTCTACGTTGCCAAGCTCAATCACATGGAAATTAGATGACTCAGATAGTATTACTCAAAAAGACGCCGATAGAACCAAAAAATGAGACGGTAAAATAATAAAGAGAGGTGGGAATGATTTGGCTGGGGCTTATAGAACAACAAAGACGCAAGAACTGTAATAAAGACAAGTGCGAAAATCGGAAAGATGCTTGTAATAGAGACGGATGTTGATACCGAAGTGATTTTGAGATGGCTTACATGCCTGAGCCCTCTAATTAGAGAACGGAGAAGATGTCCGAGTGGATGGATGGCTTACCTACCGTAGTACTCTGTTTGGTTGAACTTTAAGGAATCTTTTATTGCGAAAGGGTTACGAGCGTCAGCGAGTAACGCGTCGCAATAACATATACTAAAGTACTCTGCGCGCGAGCGAAGCGAGGAAGCCTCGTTGCACGGCAGAGTAAGAGATCGGAAGAGAGGAGGACAAGGAAAGTGGGGGTATGGAGAAGGAGAAGAAAGAAAAGTATACGAAGAGATTGGAATTAAAAAGGAGAATGGTGAGAAAGCGAACAAAGGGGCACACGA